TACGCAAACTGCAATGGGTCTAGTTTACCATTGATTAGAGAGAGGATATTCTCTTTTAGTATCTTCTCAAAGATTTTCATAACTAATGAGGTCAGAGCAATTGGTCTGAATTCACTTAGTTCCTTTGAATTATTCGATTTAGGAACAGGTATAATAGTGGATGTTTTCCACATAGTAGGTATTTGGCCAGAATTTGCACACATCTGAAAAAGTGTAGTAAATACACCACTGAGCTGATGGGCACAGGACCTGAGTGTGTCCACAGATGCCATCCGGGCCTGCAGCTTTACTTATGTTTACCTTTTTAAGTAATTTGGTAACGCTTTCTTGGGAGATCAACAGATTGTTATTGGGAACAAGGGACATTCGGGTTTTATCAATCACATCTCCAAAAAGTGGCCTCTCAAAAACCATCATTTTCTTACATTGGTTCACTGATGCTTTTCTCCATGCTGCTCTGAGATCTCCTACTGAATAGAGATTTTCTATTTTATCCTTATAGATCCTTCTAGTATGTCTTATTTCATTTTTAACTTCTCTGTGGACTTCTTTCTTTTCCTGTTCATCTCCTAAATAATGAATTCTTTTCTTTTTGTTTATAACAGACTTAAGCTCCTTTGTTACCCATGGCTTGTTGTTAGGGTATATAACCACTTCTTTAGTAGAAATTGTACAGTCGACACAGAAAGTTATATAAGATGAGACAACATCAACAAGTTCACTTATATTCTCACATGCATCTGTAAAACAATCCCAGTCAGTACATTCTAAAGATGCTTGGAGAGAACTTATGCTCATTTCATTCCACACTTTAACAGTTTTCCGTGTCGGTGACAAGCGTCTAAAAACAGGTCTATATACGGGCAGCAAGAACACGCTGTTGTGGTAAGAAGCCCCGAAAGGGGGGAGCGACACAGATTTGTAAGCGCCATTCAATGAGCCATAGCAAAGATCCAATCGCGTATTCCTCTGTGTTGTCGGGCACGTCACATATTGCTCATAAGTTTTAAGTGTTTTCTCCAGTTTACAGTGGTTAAAATCTCCCAGAATGAATTTAGGAGCATCCGGACAAATAGAGTCGATCTTAAAGGTTACATCAGCAATCAGCTGAGCAGCAGTTGTAGCGTTAGCTTTCGGATGGATGTACACTAACGTAAAAAACAGCTGCTGAACTCACGGGGGAGATAGAACGGTCTGAGTGATACTGTCAGTAGCTCCAAGTCTGGGGTACATATTTTCTCCCTGTCAATGACAGTATTGCAGTAACTTTGATTCACGTAGAAACAGAGTCCTCCGCCGCGATTCTTCCCTGTAATTTCTGCGGATCTATCCATGCGCAGCGGGCCTCCGAAACCCGTCAAATTCAGATCAGTGTCTATGTCTGATTCTCCAAGCCAAGTCTCCGTAAAAGCGAGCAGGCAAGCGTTTTTCACCTCGTGTTTCAGTTTAACGCACGCCTCCAGCTCATCAATCTTGTTTCTGATAGACTGCACGTTAGAAAGAAGGATAGATGGGAGAGGTGGAAGTTTGCGGCGGCTGTTTACCTGGAGATTCTTGAGTCTCCTGCGCACGCCTCCCCGTCTTCCTCTTTTGCGGTGTTTGGTGTTCCCGAGTCCCGACTTCCAGAGCTCAGCAGGGATACTCTGTATTGGTCGTGAAATCATAGTCGAGGCGCGCATGGACAGAAGAAATTCTCGGCTGTAGATTAGCCTACCATTGACGCCGTGTCCCTCCACGCCAAAACCGGTGGAGACGCCCATCAGCAACACGAATATGCACAATAGTGCAAAAGTCTTTAAACGTAGGTCCATGATCGTTCCCTGGTGCACTCACGGTTCAATTCCACACTTGTTAGTTAACATGGACGAGTGTTTGTTAACAAAGACGGGTTAAAAAAAACATTAAAACGAGTTAAAAACGGTAAAACACGAGACCAGAGACTGCCGGGTCGCACGCTGTGGAGCGCCCCCAGTAGTTAGTACATGCTGCAGTGAGCCTCAAACATTTTGGTCTTAAAATGTTTGTATGAACCTGCTCTACATGATCCTGATTTTTTTTTTTTTTTTGCTATTTTGTCCATAAAAAAAAATCCTATTCATAATATAAAGCCCATGGCTGGATGAGATCCATCCTGAGTATCTTAAGTCTCTGGATGTTGTGGGTCTTGGCTGACACGCCTCTTCAACATCGCGTGGGGGTCGGGGACAGTACCTCTGGACTGGCAGACCGGGGTGGTGGTCCCTCTGTATAAGAAGGGGACCGGAGGGTGTGCTCCAACTACAGGGGAATCACACTCCTCAGCCTTCCGGTCTGTGCCAGGGACTGGAGAGGAGAATCCGACCAAGATTTTCATCCCGGTCATGGAACACTGGACCAGCTCTACACTCTCCATCGGGTGCTCGAGGGTTCATGGGAGTTTGCCCAACCAGTCCACATGTGCTTTGTGGATCTGGAGAAGGGATTCAACTGTGTCCCTCATGGTGTCCTGTGGGGGGTGCTCTGGGAGTATGGGGTCCGGGGCCCTTTACTAAGGGCTGTCTGGTCCCTGTATGACCGGAGCAGGAGCTGTGTTCATTGCCGGCAGTAAGTCAGACCTGTTCCCGGTGCATGTTGGACTCCGCCAGGGCCGCAACTGTCACCGGTTCTGTTCATTGTATTTATGGACAGAATTTCTCGGTGCAGTCAGGGGCCGAACAGTCTGGTTTGGGGACCACAGGATCATCTCTGCTGTTCACAGATGATGTTGTCCTGTTGTCTTCATCAAACCAGGACCTCCAGCACTGGGGCAGTTTGACCCGTGTGTGAAGCGGCTGGTATGAAGATCATCTCCTCCAAATCCGAGGCCATGGTTCTCCACCGGAAAAAGGCGTCTTGCCCTCTCCGAGTGGGTGGAGAGTCCCTGCCTCAAGTGGAGGAGTTCAAGTATCTCGGGGTCTTGTTCATGAGTGAGGGGAGGACAGAACGTGAGATTGACAGGCGGTTCCTTTTTCCTGATATTACCATCGCTTGGTATTGTGATGTCCACCACCACAGCTCTGCCCTGTTTCTTATCCACCACCACTATGTCTGGTTGGTCCATCTCCATCCTGTCAGTCTGTATCTGGAAGTCCCACAGGATCTTGGCTCGGTCGTTCTCCACAACCTTTGGAGGTGTTTCCCACCTTGATCCTGGGGTCTCCAGCTCGTACTCTGCACAGATGTTTCTGTACACTATGCCCGCCACTTGGTTATGTCGCTCCATGTTTGTTTCCCTGCAGCATCTTACACCTGCAGTTCTGTGCTGGACTGTCTCAGGAGCCTCTTTGCACAGTCTACACCGTGGCTCTTGTTTAGTGTGGTAGATCTGGGCCTCTATTACTCGAGTGCCCAGGGCCTGCTCCTGACCTCCAGAATGAGCCTCTGTGTGTCCTTCAGACCCTCTCAAGCCACTGGGATGGAACCCTCCATGCATGGTCAGGAGCTTTCGTGTCGAACATCTGTGGTCTGTATCTCCTCCTTTGGCCAGCTTTGATTCCTGCAGGGTATTTGATCACTGGCACGGCAGAGCTGTTGATTGCCTGCGCCTTGTTCTTGCCATTGAGCTGGCTTCTTAGGACTTGCCTCACTTTTTGCAGGTATTTGGCCGTAGCCGCATTCCCTAATATATATATATATATATATATATATATATATATATATATATATATATATATATATATATATATATATAACACACACACACACACACACACATACCACAACATCTTGTGAATACCCTGTGATAGCAAATATAAACGAGACCGCAGTGTCAAAAAACAAGCAGGACACCCCTATTTGGACGACTGAAGAACTGGAGCTCAGAGCCCGCGGCCAGACCAGAGCTCGGAGCCCGGACAGCCGTGGATCTATCCATCTTGTTGAACAGTAGCTAATGTTTATTAAGCAAATATATGCAATAAGTGCATGCGCAATTTGTTTCATTTAGTTTTCTTTAAATAAATGATGTCATGATAGCAGCAGTTGATCCTAATGAAGGCTCAGGGTCCAGGTCCACGGTTCACCACTGCCAAGTACAAAGGCGACTGCAGAACTGCACACCAGAAACTAAAGGTTTATCCTGTACTGACATGTGTCAGTGCAGCAGCCAGTGCCAGAATGATGATGATTCCGAAGCCATGTTGTTGCATAGACTGTATAAAAGAAGTGGACTAAGTGAGTGTGACCCACAGAGTTCAGTGCCACTCAAATGAGGCTTGTGATGTTCACAGTTACAGGAGCCAATCTGGAGCCAGACTCTATATTATGAATAGGATCATGTGTCGTGGGTTAACACAAACATTTTAAGACCAAAATGTTTGAGGCTCACTGCAGCAGGTACAGAGAGAGGAGCCACAAGATCCTAATGTAAGTCCATTGGAGCCAGAGTCAGAAGGAGCCGGAAGAGCCTCCTGGAGAACTTCCTGTTTGGCACATGGCGGCTACAGCGTTAGATCTGTCCACTCATATATACAGTCTATGGTTGTATGAAAGTGATGATGATAATGATGATGTATAGAAAATGTCTCATAAAAAAAGTTGTGTAATCATATTGTGTCTAAATGTGTGTTTACATCCAACATCCAAATTTTATGTTAGCTACTTTTAAACTCTGAGTTTTCTGACCAGCTGCATGTGATGTTTATATTTTGTTGATGTATTTCAGCAGGATCATTAAAAAAAACACACAAAAAAACATGTTTTTGGAGGAACATGGAGTATTACATGTGAATATTACAGTGAAATTGCAAGAAAACAACCAAACCGGGTCATTTTTGACCCACTTATTCATCTAAGGGTTAATTTGGGTAGGTCTTACAGGTTTGTAACTAGCACCATTTGATTCCCTGACCCTGAAAATGTGGGTTTAGCAGTTAAAATCTTGTAATTACGAGTTTATTTTCCCTACTAGCATCAGGATCCGCAGCGGATCCGCTGTCGGTCCGCCAAATCCGCCCCACAGTCCGTCCGCTTTGCGGATCCGCTCCGTATTTGTTCCGTATTCGCTTTCTGACTGTTGCTAACCCTAACCCTTGGATGGCCTGCTGTTTCAGAGAGAATCTGCGGTTAAATCATCTTAGATCCGCACTGTGAACGTACTTTTAACACAACACTTTGTTTTTGACACAATGATTTGTACTATCAATGCGCGGATCCGCGGCTAAACCGGCTTTCCACCTGAGTGGAAAAAAGCTGCATCCACCTGTTGTCCGCGGATTTAACTGTAAGTAATAGTTTAAAAGTTAATTGTATTAGTCATCATTAATGTACATAACGTTAACGTTATATTGTGGTGTGTGTACATCTGTGACTGTGTGTGTTTTATCAGTTTTGACGAGTGCAGTAGGAAAGTTAGCGACAGTAGCAGCTAACGTGATGAAGACGATGTGAGGTCAGGAGTCAGGATAACTCCATCTCTTGAGTTAGATCCCAGTCTAAATACTATTTTTATATAACGCTACTTATATTCTTGTATATTTTTACGATCACAGAATTGTAATTCTGCTCCGTGATCATTGGTCGTGTCTAACGGGCTCGGTTCTGGCTGGATGCCGCTCTCGGCGCTCTCCCTTCGGCTGTGGAGCGACGGTGACACCGGTGTCTGATCTGATTGTGTTTTTAACCAGAGATAATTATTATTTGTGTAGACTAGAGTGTTGACTGTTGAGTTGAGACTAAAGTGCAGTCATGTCAGTGCCTTAATACAATAATTTAAGGCAACGTGCCATAATACAATAACGTAACGTAATAAAAAAGCACAACTTTTAACAACAGCTAACGTTAGCTAACCAACCAAAACTTATGTTGTTTTTCCCCAGATGACATCAGGAGCCCCTGTCCTTCTGCTGAGTGTCCCCATCAGGAGCCCGGCACGCTGATCAGAAGTAAGTACTTTTAATGATTTCTGTGACAGTGAAGATTTAGTTTAGAGCCAGATCTGACATTTGTCTCTAACTTTCTGTTATGGGACTTGAGACGGTGCTTCAGACTTTCAGTGAGAGATGTTGACATGAACACTAATGTGTCACATCTATATTACACCGATATTGACTATGAACACCATCATAAATTGATTATTATATTTTAAATGTTGTGGTAAAAGTAAATGTAGTAGAATATTGTGTATTAACAGCAGTGAAACACGTCTCATGTTCATACTCAGGCTTATACTAAAACAAAAGAGTTCAGTTTTACTGCGCTAAAGTATTTCCTATGAGTTAAATAATGTTTTTCATCTCTGTTTCAGAATATACTATGGTTAATAAGAAGATGGACATAACAGCATGATAAAGACCCTCTGGAGGTAAATACTGCACTTGTATTAAACACTGTGGCCTGAAATGATCCAAACTGGTATTTGTGTTTCTCTTATTTGATGTATTACAGGATTCCCTCTGCTGGGCCAAGTTCCAAAAATGTAGAGACAGACCCTCTGTAAGTTTACTGTATTATCCTACTTTTATTAACTTTCATAACTAAACATATGCACATTATAATCACACCTGTTGTTGTGCATATTTTTTCTTTCAGAACATGCTGTGGTTGAGTTTAAAGACTGACCCTCTGTAAGTGCACAGATCTCTCCAATCAGGTATTCACCTTTCATGTTCAAATCACACAGCCACTGTCATGACTTACAATGTTCTTCACAAACCTGAACTCTAACTCCTTACAAGAATAAGAGGTGTAATGGGGTGTTTAATACACACTGGTGTCATTTCAGATGCTGTGAGAAAGGGGAAGTCCAGAGCTGGACACTGACAGACTGGATCTTCACCAGTAGGACTGAAGAGGAGCCAGCCTCACTACACCTCTGCCTCAAAACCTCTGCCTCAGACTGAAGCTAAAGACAGAGGCTCTGAAGCTCCCACACTGCACACTCTATAATAACAACCATCCGTCTAATTGTACTGTGGTGGTAAACACAAGTTAAGTTTTAGTTTTAACAGTATGGTATGGCTACACTCATCTGTCCAGGCTTTTACTCATATAGCTTATATTTGTTTTTTGCCATTTAAAAAAAACAAAAACAACTTTGCTTAACTTGAACTATTTTTAGTAAAAACTGTAAATTGTCATTTTCATATTAAGAATGAAGCATTGGTTAACTCAAAGGGTATATAAGTCCTATAACATTAATAATAATTATTCATGTCCTAAGATTTCTAATTAATGATTTAAATAAATATTGTTTACAATGTAAAAAAAAAAGTTTCTTTTTTTCTTAACTGAGATTTAGTGATAGGATATCACTGATCCAACTTTGAAATTGTTTAAGTTTATGTTTTTAAATTTAAGCCTTTATATCTTAGTTTTAATACTTGCTGTAAAAGGTTAATGTACAATTACAATGCAAATGCTGCTGATGTGTATTTAGGTCAGTAGGAAGTGGATCAGTATTAAATCTGAAGCATATTTAGGCTCCTCACGACACAATAAACAGATCCGCGGCCGATCCGGGGCAGATAACCCGGTTCTGAAAGCGGATCCAAAACGGGTCCCGGGCGGATCGGAGAGATACGCAGCGGATCAGCCGCGCCTCCGCCGCGGATCCGGGCTTATTTTGACGGATCCGCGTCAATTACGTCGTAATTACGAGATTATTTAAAACAATTACATCATAAATCATCCTATTTTTTTGACACTCTACGCGAGCGTAGGCACGTATCCCCATCAAAATACATAGAGAACATGAATCCATTGTTGTAGGCTATTTGTGCGTTTACCGTCAGTATTGCGGTATGTAGCCCAAAGCTTATATATACACGGTACTTATTTGTTATAGTAGGCGTACGCGTTAGAGCACTTACTTTAACGCTGCTGCAGTCCGTAGCCATGCACCGATTCCTTTTATGCGCAAATCTTTCCTGTTAAAATACAGTCAACAGAAAGTTGCTCCCCATGCTCACTACGCCGCCATGATCCAAGGCCTTACACTCAGCAGGTGAGCGCGCTCATATATAGGCCACACCACACCCACCGTGCCACCCCCAGACACCGCAGTGTAGTGCACAGAGTTAAAGCGCGTGCACATTAGTCACGTGAGGAAACCAATAAAAAAAACACGAATGGCTCCTACAATCGGCATAACGTGCTCCCGGGGTAGTTCTGTGTCGTATGAAACAACCCAGGCCCAGAAAGACTGTTAATAAGCGCTTTAAAATTTACTTTTGAAATCCTGGCGTTTGCCGTGGGCAGCCTGTACAGAAGGTAAATACAAGTCTGTTCAGCTGGTTAGTTTCACTGTGGGCCTAAAGCGGCTAAACGCGCCCAGTCAAGTTTGATCGCCTTTCCAAAACCACAACCGCGCGTCAACGCAAAGGCAGCTCCACCGGCAGCTGCAACAGGACGTACGCGCGCGACACTGGCTCTGTGTTTGTCAATGGGAAAGGCGATCAAACTTGACTGGGCGCGTTTAGCCGCTTGTATCAGGTCCACATTGAAACTAACCCCCAATTCACACCAAAGCGCAACGGCGCGTAAGCGCAGCAGCACAGCACACGAGCAGCAGACGCGCTGCTTTAGAACTTCATTTTAACCGGTCTGACAGTTCACACCGACAGTGTCATACGCGCGTCCAACGAGCATCTGACGCTGACGCGCTGCTCGAGATAGGTTGAACTTCTAATTTTGCAGCGTCAACGGCGCGTCTCCAAGGTTTTTAGCAGGGGAAAGACAGGAAATAAACACGCGGTGTCAAAATAAACTTCCGATGCCCTTTCAAAATAAATTAAATTAAATTTAACCATAGTCAAGACAGCGACGTAAACAACGCGCACGTGATTTACGATGTCAGACACCAATTCTATAAGGACTCAGGACTAACCCAGGACAAAACCAGGACTAACCAGGACTAACCAAACCAAGACTCATGTCTGAATGTGCTCGGAGGTCCTTGTTTAGCCCCGAGTGTCCGCGGGCGAAAGAACCGGTGCAGAGCTTGGTGAAGAGGTACGTGCAGCCGTCGCGCTTTTCGGACACCTGCTCCGCGGGGCTCAGGGTTCGCTATCTCTCTCTCTCTCTCCAGGATTAGACCTGGTTTAGACCTGGTTTAGTCCGGGTTTAGTCATGGTTTAGACGTGGTTTAGACCTGGTTTACACCTGAATTAGTCCTGACCCGCCCTTAAAATTCCAGAACGTTAAAACTCGCCCGTTTCAGCGACTATTTTCCCTTATCCATCTGTATCAACATATAAAAGTATAGGCCTTATTACCTGGACGGACGTATGATTTTAATCACACTCATAATGTATGTTAATTATACGTGATTTTACCTTATTAAGGGAAAAAACTGAGGTGTTTAATGTGCGTGCTAATAGATTTAAACCTCATTAAACGCAAATGCGTTGCAGTTGTACACTTAATTCATAATACACTTAATACACATTCTAACTTAATACACTTTAACATAAAATAAATGATAAAAAGCAAGTACAAAATGTGATGTCTGAATACAGTGAGAAGATGTGCAGGCTGCGTAGCAGGAGCGACTCTGACGCTCTGGTGTGAATTGAAACTTTGAAATTTACGCGTACGCGCAGCTCCGCCTACGTTAAGCGCTGCTGCAGCTCCTGGTGTGAATTCGGGGTCAAAGTACAGAGAGCATCTTGTTGTATTTGTGCGTTTACCATCAGCAGTTCTGTATCGTGTGAAAGAGCCCAGGTCCAGTAATACTATTAATTAGTGCTTTAAAATTTCCTTTTGAACTCGTGTTTGTCCTGGTCAGCCTGTGCAGAAGGTAAATACAAGTCTGTTCAGCTGTTAGTTTCACTGTGGAGCTGATACAAGAGGCTAAACGCGCCCAGTCAAGTTTGATCGGTTTTCCCATTGGCAAAGACGGAGCCAGTGTCGCGCGCGTACGTCCTGTTGCAGCTGCCAACAGCGCAAAGGCGCGTCAACGCCAGTGGAGACGGCTGTGGTTTCGGGAGGTTACGCGCGTAAACGCTGACACGTGCAGTGAAGCCAGACCCTTAGCTTACTGGCGTACACTGTGCACATGGCCTCACACTTGTCCCGAACGCAAGGGATGTGCAGGCTGCGTGAACTCAAACGCGTGCGTGCAGCTCCGTCTACGTTAAGCGCTGTTGCAGCTCCTGGTGTGAATTCGGGGTAAGACGTGTGCATGGATTGGCATATGCTGTGAAGTGGTTCTCACAGGAAATGTCAGATAACGGCTGTGATCCTTAGCCTTCTTGTTCTTGAAAACTTCATTTCCCAGAAATCCTTTTAAAGCCACGTAGGGTTCACCAGGAAGTTTCCGCCCACAAAACATGTAGCAAAACAACTCTCAACCCACCTCATGGATGTATTAAAATCATTCAACGTAACCACTGCAAACTACAAAAGACAAACACATAGAGTGCCAGCTGTTTGCCACTGCATAACGGAGTAACAACAGCAAAGTAAGCGAAATGCTTTTATTGATCGAAAGAAACGAAATGCATCGTCGCAACTCGGCTACTATATGAACTATAGTTACTATATTATGAACCCAGCTAGAAAGCTTCGTGCTGGTCTGTTTCGATCATTCGACCCACGTACGACGTTATTCAAGAATATAACATAGATGATGTACAACTTATATTTGTCATTTGTATACACAATTGTTTTCATAGCCTTTCTGTTAATTGCTATGTTTACATCGTGCAGGTAGAATTGAGCTAATGTAATTAACAAATTTATGTTCTAATGAAACACATTTCATTTCTTGCTGGAGGAAAAATATTATGGATGGCTGGCCAAAATAACCCAGACTTGTGTTGGCCCAGTAGTGACACAGCTCTGGGTTTAATTTACCCAGGCTGGGTTATTTTTAATGCAGTACTGTTAATGTGTGCAGCCAAAAGTCACGTGGTTCCCCCCGTACTTTTGTTAAGCAGCCTTTTTCTTTCGGTCTTTCCATACCCTCAAACAGGTGAGGCATCATAACTAGGTTTTAACTTAAATTGATGAACTTAAATTTAAGAAAGGATCTACATTACCTTAATTATGTTAAGTTTATTCTGAATTTAAGCAGAGGCATGTCCTTTACTTTTCAGTCTCTTAGTCTAAAGTCTAGATGACATAGATAACACTGTAGCACAGGTCTTCCACAGGTCTTGCTTTCTTACACTGGCTGAGTTTTTAAATACTTTATATATCCCTCTCTCATTTATTTTTCTCAGGTTTTTAAGCATGGCTCTGGCTGGAGTTCGGGTTATTGAGTTGGCTGGTCTTGCACCTGCACCATTTTGTGGCATGGTTCTCGCAGACTTTGGTGCCAATGTGATCCGTGTTGACCGTACCAAGGTTTCAATGACAGTAGACACACAGGGCAGAGGGAAACGCTCTGTGGCTATTAACCTGAAGACCACTGCAGGTGTGAGTCTGCTCAAAAAGCTCTGCATCCAGTCTGATGTCATCCTTGAACCATATCGGAAAGGTCAGAAGGGCACAAATCCTTTTCAGGTTGATTAGACTTGCAAATAGGGCTGTTTTTCTTGACATTCATAAGAGCCATTTCAGAAATAGTTGCAAGGACAAGATAAATACGTTTAAATTATATGCCACATTTCATTATCACAAAATATATACAGTAAAGTAACAGATTTTTCAACTACAGGTGTAATGGAAAAATTAGGGCTTGGCCCCAAAGAACTACTTGAAGAAAACCCTCGGCTCATCTATGCTCGATTAACAGGATATGGTCAAAATGGACCTTTAGCTATTGCTGCTGGACATGACATAAATTACCTTGCAATATCAGGTAGTGAGTGTGACTGAATACTTGTTCTTCTTCTCCTAATCTTGTCCCTCTGCTTCACTTGGCTTCACTTGTCCTTTGATGTCACAGGGTTGTTGTCACGCCTGGGACGCAGCACAGAAAAGCCGTACGCTCCACTGAACCTGGTTGCAGACTTTGCAGGTGGGGGCCTCTCCTGTGCTCTGGGGATCGTTCTGGCTCTGCTGGAAAGGACTAAGTCAGGGAAAGGCCAAATTGTGGATGCCAGTATGGTAAGAATGAGGGATATTGTAACTTTGTCTAAATAAGTACCCATACATATTAACTTTTATTATTGTCAGCAAACACCAACACATTTTCTTTATACAGTACATTTGCTCAGAAACAAAATTAACAGTTTAAAAACAGTGAATAAGTCATGTAAACAGGTTCATTTTAAGCTTAATTTTGAAACCTGACAAAGTGGTAACATAACGGAATGAACATGATTAAGTTTTTCTGAATCTGATTGGGATAGGATGGTTCTGATCTTTGCAATGTTTCTGAGGTAATAAAATTAGGTTTTGGAAAGGTTATTAATATATTTGGAGAAATTTAGAATCCAGCAAAACACCTAGGTCACAGACAAGTTCACAAGTTTTGACAGGCAGAGTGGTTAAGCTAGACTTTCTCAGAGATTTTTGGACCAAGAAAATCTTGGTCCAGTTGCAGAAAGCTTTTGTTCATCCAGGAGCTTATACTGTCAATGCATTTTGTGAGTTTCTTTTATTTCTTCGTGGGAAGAATGAATGATAAGAGACATTATGATGTTTGATTATTAAACCAAGGGGGGAGCATACAAACATTAAATAAACCTTGGGGGAGTCCATAGGGCATGACTTGATCTGAATTCAATATTACCAATTGACACAGAGAAGCAGCAAACTGCGAGATGTGAGGAGAGTGGAGGGAATTTCTTGTTAGAATTAGACATTGTTCCAAACAGTAGAGCAGAATGTTGTGGTCTATGGCATTATGGTATCAGAAGCAGTGCTAAGGTCAAAGAGCACTACAACAAAAACTTTATAATTGTTTTGTGTTTATTTTGAGATTGTTTATCACTGACCAAGGCTGCTTTGCTGATAAGATTTTTTTAGTTTTAGTTTTTTGCAAAATGTGCTCACGTGAATGTTACAGGTGCAGAGGCTTTTATACAATGGTGAGACTAGGCCTATCATGATAACAAATGAAAGTACACTATATTCTTGCCAAAAAATATAGATGAAAAATGAATATTGAATGCAATCACTTCACTGACAGGATAACCCTAAGACAAGACTTATCCCCTCAAAATTGATTCCATCTATCATCATTGAATGATAAGCTGATATAGTAATAATTTTCATATCAGACCTAGCTGGGACACATAGACCACAGAGTGAATTGGATGGTGGAGGATGGTGTTGTTCATGTTGTATTTCCAATATGAAGACAATTTAAAATGCACTTTATTTGTTTAATCCATGATTTAAAGGCACTGGTTTCCCAGAAAGATTTCGCATGTTAAATCAGGCAGCTTCAGGCTTTAAAACGCTGGTCTGAATGCCACAGTATTTGACATGTATTGGCCTTAATGAACCTGAAAGTTCCACGGCACTGTTCTAATGAACTTTTTCAGAAAAGTTGAAGCCTAAATTATAATGATTATAATGGTGCTTTGTGATTTTTAGATTATAGACTTTGCATCAATATACCAACAATTGAGTTTGACTTTTGTGTATCTATCCTAATTATTGTATATTTCAAATTATGACATAAACCCTTAGTTATTATGTGCTGCTTATTTTCAGTAGTAAATAAACTCACAAACTTAAGTGATCATGCTAACTATTCCATGTATTGTGCAGTTAATCATACAGAGATGAGGCTTTTCTGTTTCTGTCGCTGTCAGTTATTTGCTAGTGACAGGTTCTCTGTGATATGAGATTATGACAAAGAAGTTACAGATGAATTATATATATATTATAAGTGGTTTCTATAAAGATCAGAAAGCAAAAAAATTAAAGTAAAGACAAACAGCTGACAGCAACAGCTAAACTATGAGAATGGTGGGATAAGAAACTAAACCTATACATTCTTCTTACTGCACAACATTTATAGGAATAGTAATAGAATTGCTGATGAATTTCCATTTTGGTCCTGAGAAAAAAACAAAAATTGCCCCCTCAAAGTTATTGAGGGTTATTGTAAAAACACAATTAATCGTTACCAAACGGATTAAAAATAGACTTTGTTTCTCCATACTGTGTTTAGGTTGAAGGCGCTGCATATGTTGGTTCATTTGTATGGAAGTCTAATCGCATTGGTATGTGGAACAACCCACGAGGCCAGAACATGTTGGACAGCGGGGCTCCCTTTTATGACACTTATCAGACGTCAGATGGAAAATACATGGCTGTGGGTGCTATCGAGTCACAGTTCTACAAAGAGTTACTTAAGGGTTTGTATATGTCAGATTAATTTGTTTACATTCACACATTTAACTTTTAGTATTGAAAAAAATGTAAAGGCACCACATTGTTTTCATATGTAAATCAGTTTAATTTAATTTGTGATGGTATTGTGCTTCACAATTAATGTTAGTATTAGTTACGAGAGAAAGACACATTTACCTTCCAGGGGGTATTCTTTGCTCTAATAATATATATATTTTTTAACAGGTTTGGAGCTGGACTCTGCAGAATTACCACCTCAGATGAGCTTCAAGGACTGGCCCAAAATCAGACACATTTTTACAGAGCGATTTGCATCTAAATCCCTGGCAGAGTGGACAAGCATATTTGAAGGCACAGATGCATGTGTTACACCTGTGTTGTCTTTTGAAGATGTGGGCTTGCACCCTCATAACCAGCAGAGGGGGTCATTCATCAAAGACCAAAGTGGGGAGGAGAGTCCCAGGCCAGCGCCAGTACTAGACAGAACCCCTGCTGAACCTTGTCTTAAAGCTGACCCTATGGTTGGAGAGCACACGGTGGAGGTCCTTGAAGAGTATGGTCTCAAAGCACAGCAGATTGAACAATTACTAGCAGCAGGCATTGTAGAGTCTCATGCCACTAAGACTAAGTTGTAAGTACATTACTGCTAAATCTGTCCCTAAACTCTACTGTTTCTGTACTCAAACAACACTCAGTTTTCAAAAAGTGAAAAGTAGTTTGATCAAAAGGGCATATTGCCTTCCCCAGTATAATTAAAACTCTGTTGCATTTAATAAAATGTTCTGTAGCATTTAGAGTTTCACCTTTCAAATCCCAAACTAACAACATGAGCTCACCCATCATCATTATGTCAAATTATATATTTTAACATCCATTCCATCCACATTGCTATTTTATTATAGGATGAATCTTCTTCGTAGATAATGTATTTTGATATAATGCCATCTTTAAACATCATAAACAGTATGATAATTTCCTACCTAGTACCTCGCTGATGTAATGGCTTTCTCTATACAACAGTGCTTTCCATTCATACTGAGCTTCATAGTGTTTCTCTTCCCTCAGAAGTGTACTGTTCTCTCATGAGTGCAGCAGGTATCTGAAGAATGTGTGTAGCGTGACTCCAACCAGCTGACTCCCTGTGGGCAAGGCATAACACAACACACTGTAACCTCAATAAAAGGTCTATGGCGAAATGTGATATCAAATTCGCCTGCACACATTGCCATAATTTACTATTTTAATTGCAATAAATTGCTAAATTTACAATTTACATTTTGTCCCCGATGGGGACAAAAAGTATTGCAAATTTTACTGCTATATAAACTATAATAGAATATTGAACACTAAGACTTTATACACACATTTGTAAGGTTCACTGGACAGTCTTCCAGGTCCCACATCTTTTTCCTTAATTTTCATTATTTCCCTTTGTAGTTATTTGAGAAGTAGCAAATGTCACCCCAAAAGTATAACTAACATCCTTAAGATTTCTTCTTTCTTTTCTAAAGCAGTAATATCTGCAATTTATTCAAATATTGCAGACAAAAAAATAATAATAATAAATTAACAGGGTTCAGTGCAGAAGTGTGTGATTCTTTTTCTTGCATCTACAGATGTTTTGCTCCTCTGATTGGTTAGTCTCTAAAAATTGTGGGAGAAGTCCAGGCCTTTATATGCTCATGTCAGCTTGATCTAATATTCTTACTTTCTATGTCATTTGAATTAAAAAAAATTGTAAGTGGAGACGTTTTTTTCCTGGTGATTGCAGCACAGCAGTTGTCTTTGCACAGACGATATAGCATGCAGCAAAAGCTTATTTTAGAAAAAAAAATCATAGTAAACATGCACTATTTCCAGGATGCACATTTGAGCCACAATAGGCTTATTTGTGGACAGTTTTGGCCTGACTTGTACTATAAAGTCAGATGTAGTGACAGCCTTGTCCTCCAGGTTGAATCCATCCCCATAATATGTTTTCTAGATATTATTTAAATACACCTGTTAAAAATGTAAGGGGACAGGGCCTCATAATTTAACTTAATTTAACATTTTTAATATGTTTTTTTGATAAACTACACCATTTTTTACTTCTAAAAGATAATTTTTTGTCTTAGCTGTACTATGTGTAGGCCTATGTTTGATTTAAAGTTTGTCTTTTGTCATTTCTTTGAATAAATAATAAATAATCTACTTTCTATATATAACAGATACTTGCAAGAAAGTATTTCAATTGTTACTAGGACATCTTAAGATTACAATGTTCATTAATTAACTTTTTAACACACCACCTTGTCTTTTATTTTCGAAGATACTCCATGCCAGTATTACACCCACTGAGTCACCTGCCAATCCATGTAACTTTTTGAGGAGTCTTTGAAATTTTACCTGCCTCTGGGCTTTATTGCAACTACAGTCAAATTATAGGTTATCATTATGTAATTTTAGTTTACCTTTAATACTTCAGAAACATCAAATCAGAATAATAGTCATCAATAACAATAGCCAGCTCACTATGGATTGCAGGCACACATAATTGACTAATATAATATGTGTTCTAATGCTCTGTGTTATAATGCCAATTATCCTTGCATCATTGAGCTTTACATGTCATGAACAAACTAGACTACATGAATGTGCTTCCTTTCTGCTGTTAGGCTGTGAACACACAGACAGGCGGTCTGCAGGGTGAGCATCACAGCACTCTCACATGCATGTAATTGCCCTTTCGTAGAAGACGCCCCTGAGGCCTTACTCCAGCTGGGAGGAGAGATTCTGCTCCTTCAGTTAAATACACCCCTCTCTCTCCTTCCTTCCCCTTTTCTTTTCAGTGAGTCTGGATGATCTTTCACTGTTAAGCTTTGGATTTGGACTATGCAAGCAGAGCTACACAGTAGACAGAAGGATTAGTTTGTACTGAGCCCGTGGATAGGGCTTTTGGTTACCTCTCCTTAATTGGTTCAACCAGAAAGAACCTCATTCTCCTTTCCCTCTATCTATTCCAAATCCCCTTGTATACACTCTATACCTTTCTTTGTTCATCTGTTTTTTGTGACAATGACTCTGTTATCAGAAGACCAGTCCATAAGGCCACAGCCTTGTCGACTTCTAGAGACTGGGAAACATATGGGCAGTGGTTTCCATCCATACCCCACAGACTGCATAGGCTCCAGAGAAGACTTCATGGACAGTGGGGAGGGCACTGTGTTTGGGATTGTTGAGCCTCCACGAAGATCCAGGGGTCGGCTCATCCTCCACGGCCTGATCATGTTTGGAAGGGAATTCTGTTATGCTGTGGAAGCAGCGTTTGTCACTCCGGTCCTCCTCAGTGTGGGCCTGCCTCGCAGTCTCTACAGCCTGGTGTGGCTCATCAGCCCCATCCTGGGGTTCTTGTTGCAGCCTGTTATCGGTTCAGCCAGTGACCACTGCCACTCTGCATGGGGACGGAGGAGGCCGTATATTCTAACTTTGGGTATCCTCATGCTTATTGGAATTACAATGTTTCTCAACGGAGATGCTGTTATTTCAGGTGAGAATCAGAATTAAAATTAGCTTGTTCCTAAGACTCAACTTCAGAAAATGAATGAACATAGGTTCATATTACTGAAATGCATTAACTGGTATTGACTATTATTTTACTATTATTATTATTTGTATTGATAATTATTTTACTTCCTCTACATGCAAAATTTGAACTTGAGTTGTGTTAAGTTCCTGTCTGTGTGGGAGCATCTGATACCCTTTGGCAGGGAGAAAATAATGAGGCATGACTTTCCCGCACATTAAGCTTCAAGTTCAAAACTTTTAAATGGCTAATTCAGCTGTAGGCTCTGTCACAAGGAGAACATCCTTAAACAAAAGAATGCTTCAACCTTAGATGAATGAAGAGTAGATGTATGTGGCATTAAATTAAACATTTTTCTGTTGTCTTCAGGAAGACAATGTATACTTGTGTAGGATTTTTATCCTAGAAAAATGTACACAACAAATGTTCCCCCATCAGGGACCCCATCTACTAGGTTGGGAACCACTACTCTAGGTGACAGCTATAATATCTACACCTTAATTAGCTTTAATGAAGCATGAACAAATGCTGTTTATAGTATTATATATTATTACTATATTATGTATTATGTAGGTTGTCTGCATAGTCACTTCTTTTTGCTTTTCTGTAAGGCTGGTTTCGAGATTGGTCCTTAACTCTTATTGCTTGTCTTGGAACTGATGTTTGTGTTTGTGTTGTCCTGCAGCTGTGGTGAGTGACAGGGCGCTGAGAAGCATATGGGCCATTGTGGTAGTCATGTTTGGAGTGGTGCTGTTTGATTTTGCCGCAGACTTCATTGATGGACCAATCAAGGCCTATCTGTTTGATGTGTGCTCACACCAAGACAAAGAGAGAGGCTTGCACTACCACGCTCTGCTGACTGGTATGTAACACACGTATCTTACATAAGAATTGTGCATCTTACCAAGAAGGTAGGCAGAAGGTAGACAGCACATTTTCTAGTTTCCAAAGAGCTGCATAGAGATGGAAAACAATGAAACATTGTATGAATACTCAGTTTCTCACTAGTCTGTCAACAAAATTAGTAAAATAGCAATAAATAATTAAAATGAACACATAATAATATACGATATACATATATATATGTAATATTATACTGACTCTGACTATTGATTTGAGCAATATTTTAATGTTGTTACCTCATCAAAAACATACCTTTTATTATTAGTCTGTGTACTACGGAAGCCCTGAGAGGCAAGAGAAGAAAAAAAAGAGGTTGGTTATACATGTTTTTTTTTTTTCACCAACTGAAAAAAAAAAAATCGAAAAAAAAAGTTTCTAGAATTTGTTTTGGTTTTTTTTAGAAAAAAATAAATAAAATTTTTCACTGTTGATGTGACTGCTGAAAAAAAAACAGTATATGCCTGGGCCTGGAAAGAAATAAGCTTCACTGAGCACTTTGAACGCCACTCCACAAGGAAAACACGAGCAAAAACAGAAAACAACTCATCTATCTTAAAACTCAAACATCGACCCCTTCACGTGATAGGGCAGCCCTTTGCCACATAAGCTAAACAGGAGCACATCAACAAAGTACAACAGCACAACTAAAGTACAATAGAAAAACAGCGTAGTGTAATCAGTGATGCATCGAGCTTACTTCTAATATTACTCATAAAAGAGAAGTCAAAATGAATGAATTCATGCATAACCAGGAGCAGGTTAGTTTCATATCCCAGCCTCCCATGTCCCACCCCGGCGCCTAACGCCATGAGCTAGTCTTCCACCGGTTTGCCAACACTGAGGTTTGGTATTTACAGGAATATACTGAGCTGTGTTTTTTATTTCTTTTTTTTTATCAGCCACATCAACGGTGAAAAAAAAAACACACGAGAAAAAAAAAAAATGAAAAAAAAACAAAACTTTTTTTAGAAAAAATAATAATTTTTAGAAAAAACTTTTTTTTTTTTTTTTTTTTTTTAGAAAAACAACTTTTTATTTTTTATTTTTATTTTTGTGAGTTTGAGAGAAGAACTCTAAATATCTAAATATGCAGTGTTCGTGTGTTAAAAGTGTGAATGAAACAAAACTATATTTGATATATGATATGATGCCATTATAGTGAGGCTGGATGGCTTGAAGATGTTGTGAGCAGTAGTGCCACATGCTCCCAGCTCACAGTAGCTGGTGCAGCAGTAATCCAGCTCGCAGTATGTCATGTGCTGCAGTCATGGGTCTGAGCTGAGATACACAGGCTGACCACATGACTCCCTTCTGCTGTGTGAGCATGCCCCGTTAACTTTCACATTCATGCGCCTTTCTTTGCAAGCTTCGTAATCCTCTGATCTCGTGGAGTAAATGCCATTGCCATGGAGGGAGGTTATGAATTGTGATTGCAACCTTGTGGTACATTGAAGAGGGGAGATTAGTAAATAATTGTGAAATGTGAACGAATAAATATACTGAAATGACCATTGTCTCAACAACTCTCATACAAAAGCTCTATATCAGTATTGACTTATTATTTTAAAATTCTGGATCAAGAAAAATAAGGTTTCAAAATAAAGAAAATAATGTGTGTTCCTCTTCTAATATTGTACATCCACATTACTCATTTAGTTCACTGCTCTGCTGCATACAGTTGATATGGAGCTGCCGTAAATTCAGCTAGAAGACATAACTGCTTTGCTCACCGCTTCCCCAGAGATTACCTATCCCTCAGCCTTCATCATCTCAGTCTAAACAGTCCTCCCTGTCGCTCACCGCACCTCCTCCTTGTCCAGTCAACCCAGTTTAACCCCCCATTGCAGTTGCATGGCTGCTTTGGTTTGTGCTGCGCCCCACATCCTTTCCAGCACCCACTCGGCTTCTCATTGTCCCCCTTACTCTCCTCTGCCTCACCACTATCACCTCCAGTGTCCTCTTTACAGTTGCTAAAATTATTTTTGTGTTCTGTGTCCAGGTTTGGGTGGAGCTTGTGGATACCTGGTTGGGGCTATGGACTGGGGTCACTCATTACTGGGTGAGCTGCTGGGCTCAGAGTACCAGGTCATCTACTTCTTCTCGGCTCTGACATGGGGCATTTTCCTCACTGTTCACTTGTTCAGTATTCCCGAGCAGCCTCTTGGTAAAGACAGGGGTAACTCTGAGTCATCGCCCCTCAGTGCCATCCACCTTCTGGGTTCCCATAGTAACAGCAATGGTTACGGAGCTTTGGTCAAGGACCCAGTCATTACCCCCACCTCACCTACTGCAGACCTCAGGCCCCGGTCTTTCTCTGCCTTGGGTGAGGCCAACTCAGTGACCTCTAGCGCTAAGCAGCCTAACAAGGAGGTATGTGGACTTCAAACATGCATTAATGCTAACCACTCAACAGCAAAAAAAAAACTCCTTCAAAAAAAGATATTTAAACTGTCCTATTAACCTCAAATTTAACACTTCAGAAGCATGTGATGCATAAAAGTGCAAAAATAAGTGCAATTCTTTGACAAGAGCCTATTTATTTGTAGATTTGTAGACTGTAGATCACACAATCATATTTCAAAAAATACTATGAGGCTTCTTTTTCTAGTTTTTTATGTTATTATTAGTATAATGTGTCATAAACTTCATTGCACATACAGTTCATATGAACCCACCTTACACTGAAACCACCGGATAACTTCAAGGATATTAAGAGAGGCATGGAGGAAAAATCTGCTGCAGCTGTCAAGAATGAACGTAATAATATATGATATTTTATGTGCAGGCTCAAAAGAGGATGACATTCAAGTCATTGATGAAAGCGATAATCAACATGCCCAACCACTACCGCTTCCTGTGTGTGAGTCACTTGCTGGGATGGACGGCCTTTCTCTGCAATATGCTCTTCTTCACTGATTTCATGGGACAGGTAAATGCATATGATCTATTTTACATGGAGATGCATTCTTCTATTTACCAGTATACATTTTCTGTGTAATGTAATGTCAAAGTAAATATTTACTCACTTTTTTTTTTTTTTTTTTTTCACAAATTGCACATAAACAAAAAAAAAACGAAAAAAAAAACAGTGAGGCACCACATCAAAAATTAACACAGAAACGGAGATTTAAACAGCTATAGACATGTATTAACTGTTCGTTCCTTGCTTTCACTTTCAGCATTGTCCATCATACCCTCTTTCCACATTTCAGTTTGGGCGTATTTGGGTTTTTTCACATTTTCAAAATGAACTGAGCACAGGTAACAGTCCAGTACTAACCACAAAGTATTTATCAAAGTAACTATGGATTTTTTTAAGTTCCAGCACTGATCATTTCTGTCAATAGCCATTTTTATGGGGAACTGATGATTGGATAATCGTCTTGAGCGTCTCTGCCTCTCTAAAGTTTTGAGACATTTAGTATTGTTGTTTTTGTCTTCCTTGTGACTTTTTGTCCGGAAGATTCATGTCTACTATAAAGATAAGGATTATTTTTATAGTAAGCACCTGTTCCACCAGGTGGTGCAATTATCACTGACAGAAAATTTATCGACATTATATAGCAAAAACGCCCACTAACAATCCTAGTCTAGACCAGGACTAGTATTACGGAGGAGGACTGACATCTTAAAAGGAATTCTTTACCGCAATAGGCAACATGTAGGCCTCCATTTATAGCAGGAGATTTTGAAAGGTATTCAAAATAAAACCACCTGTTGAGAGTGAATGTGTGTGACTCATCTTGTGTAGAAGCACTGGTGCATGTTTTGTGTATAACAGGATTTAATGACTTTCTTTCAAGATCGTATACAAAGGAAACCCATACGCAGAGCATAATTCAACATCTTACGTGACATATGAAAGAGGAGTGGAGGTTGGCTGTTGGGGATTATGTATCAACGCGGTATCCTCAGCCTTGTACTCCTGTAAGTAACCATTATGTTTGATAGACAAATAAACGATTAGAGGTCATAGCATTCAATTCTATTGTCACCATTAACTCCTCTTGGCAATCTGGCAACAGAAAATAGAGCACTGTTAATTGATGTTTCCATCAGTGGGTTGAGTGGGTCACGCAGCTATTCATTAACAGCCTTGGTGAAATAAAACAGACACATATCAAAAGGAGTTAGAGTTTATGTTTATGTGTTATTTTTTTCTTTCTTTAAAAGTAGTCCTAAATCACCTGATCAACTATATAGTACATTCTATTCTATAATCCATGATCTCTGTTTTTGATACAGTTATTTTACAATTAAATTAAAGTACTTCTGATCTGATTGTCTTGTCTATTGTGTGCAGATGTTCAGCGTTTCCTCCTCCCATACATCGGATTAAAGGGTTTATATTTCATGGGATACTTTGTGTTTGGCCTCGGCACCAGCCTGATTGGTCTCTTCCCTAACGTTATTGCCACTCTCATCCTCTGCAGCGTTTTTGGCGTCATGTCCAGCACTCTTTACACAATCCCATTCAACCTAATAGCAGAGTACCAACGGGAAGAGGAGGTACAAAATAACTCAGCATTTTTCACTTTGAAGGAGGCTGAGGCCAGTGCAACAGTCCAGAAGTCTGCATGACAGTGTTTAAAGGGCACTAGTTAATCTAATTCAATTGACCTAACTACATTAAGGAAATTCACTAAATATCAGAGCTGATTTACTGACTTTTATTCAGTGAATAAAGCAGAAACATCAAATAACAATGTAAAAGGTCTATAGTCTTAACATGTATTTATACTATTTACTGCACCACTTATGACAGTCACTAACCTTTTAGAACTGTCCTCTTTTACTGTCCCTTTTCTGTATCTGCCAGCTTTTGGTGCTGTTTTTTGTGTGAGAGCAAGGGAAGATGTTCTATGTGTCAATGTTTATTTGTTGTAGGAATGATACAATGTTGACATATAACTGGCAGTCAACCATCAAATTTTATCAGACGTCATCATTGGAGAGATAAACTTTTTTTTACTGTTTGTACTAAAATATTAGCCTGCTGTGCTCAATCAACAGAAGAAGATAATTAACTGAACCGATATTTAACCGTATTACTGGGGAAAGTAGAGCACATCTAAAATAATCAATCCTAACACCTTAGGCTTTTAAGTAGCTGTTTACTGATGTAGGTGAAATGTTTGGACATTTCCCTTTTATGTATCATGTCTAATTATGTGTTGTGTGTGTGTAGGAGCAGATAAAACTGAGAGGCAGCAGAGGGAGCCCTCGTGGGACAGGAGTGGACTGTGCAGCTCTCACTTGTATGGTACAGCTGGCTCAGATCATCGTGGGAGCAGGACTTGGAGCTTTGGTCAACTTGGCAGGAAGCGTCATTGTGATTGTCCTATCGGCCTCAACCATGTCCCTGTTTGGCTGCATCTTCATTGCACTTTTCATAAGATATGTCGAGTGACTGCTGAATTTTGAATTTGTATTTTAATAAAAAAAAAAGTTTCTTTTTTATGCTATTTCACTTCTTGTGTTAATTGTTTCCAGCAGTGACACCCTCTACTACTTTTTTGTTCAATAATGAAAAATGAATGGGTATAGTAGAGGTAGGCAAATATTGTGAATATAGAAATTTGGAATTACTGATTAAAAAAATAAATAAAAATTGTATACTTCCATATACATACACATACATAAGGAAATAAAGTGTTAAAGTCACATAATTGGGTAATATGGTTGATTTCACATATATCTGAAACCTCAACCAATACATTTAAACACACATTTTTGTTGAAATTCACAACATTGTCTGAATACTATTCTGGGATACTCCTAAATAATAAAGACATTCACTTTTGTCAATATTGCCCACCGCAACACTGGACGGCCATAGAACGGCACATGCTGATATAACCCATTCATATAAGGTAATGTAGACATGCAACTTCAACAACATTTCCATTTAAAAAAAAATATATTTACAACAAATACGAATGAGTAAAACATTTTCTTTGACTCATAGAACAAATTTATGTGTATATTCAAGGTTTTCCATTTAGTTTCTGGCGTCTTTTCAGATATGACACCTGCAAGCTTTTTGGATTTTAAAAGGCCATTCATACAAAATAAATTTAAAACATCTACCTGCTGCTAAGTGTGATGAAAAATAAATACAAATTTCGAGTTGCAATCACAAGTAATTCATCTTCTCATTTTAACACCAAAAGCATCTTGCAGGGGTGTATGTGATGATGTGACAGCTGCTCTGTGCAGATTCCCATAATTTGCTGGAACACAGCTTTGACACAGATGTCAAAAACATTTAAATTACCTGTAATTGTTGCAATTCAGTGTGAAAGGCTAATTCTGTGTGCTGGTAGAGATATGGAGTTGTTTTGGATAGCCAGTTTTCACTTTTAACCCATCTCTATAATTGTCCATCATTAACTATCCACTCATGAAGTCTATCCTGATGTCAGTATAGTCTTTAATGCCTCTCCATTACAAATCCCAAATTTGAAAACAAACACACATACCCATGTTGTGTTTACATGTTTTCATTGCATGAATGACTGATCCTAAGCTTAAAGGAACCATAAGATTTAGATTTTAAATTCCATAAACATGATCTCTGTCCCCATACAAGCTTTAACTTATAACAATTGCAATGCAGATTTTTTTCTTAATTACAAAAACATTGGACATGATGGCCAAGTTGTTTATGTTATAACTGGGTGCTTTTGCTCTCAACAATATTGTTCAGTCAGACAGCAGAATCATTTTAATTTCTCATTTGTTGCTAGTTTCAGTAGTGTTGGTAAAAGTACTCTCTGATCTGAATTCTCACCTCCTAAACCCCAGGATCTGCAGCACATCATCAATCAGTGCTAGCGCAGCCTCTGCAGCTGCAATATTGCAAGTAAATCTTGTATGTGTTCCTGCAAGTTAAGGCACTGACAAGTCAGGTCCAGTTAAGATTGTACCCTTTTTAAAAGTGTAAGAGGCTTAGCACAGCCTAAATACAGTTTCTTTAACCACTGTTTTCTTTACCTTAACCTATATATCTTAACATTAAGTCATGTTGTTGATTTAAATATACATTATTTGTGCCATTAAAGTATCCATCCATCCATCCATCCATCTATCTATCTATCTATCTATCTATCTATCTATCTATCTATCTATCTATCTATCTATCTATCTATCTATCTATCTACTATACAGTAGAGACCTGAATTTGTTCTTCTTTAATATTATCAGTTTACTTGGTCAACTCGTCTGAGATGCAGTATGCTATGCACTTCTCATTTTATCTCAGGTTAAGTTGTCTCCAAGCTGTCCTTCTTAGCCCCAATGTGGACCTCTTTACCTCCTTGTGTGGAAGCATTGTCCGGCTTGAGTTGCCGATACTAACGCACAGTATTGAGTATTCAAGTGTCCAGGTCCCGGACTGATGGTAATGAACTCCTGCCTCAGACTCCAGAGTTTCTGCCTCTCTTTACAACTCTAGGACTTGTTAGGACAACACTTATTTTCGCTAACAATAAGGATGCAGAAGCAATGACTAATATTGACTTCGTCTGCAAGTGTCTCAAAATTTGGCAATTTTATTTATATTCCAGTTTTTGCCAGAGAGAATGTACTGGCTTTATAGACTGAAAAGGAAATGCCTAAGCAAAAAACTGCAGAATTCCCCTTGAGCTTAAGTGAGAATAAATTATATGGTTAGCCATCCAGTCGCCTCAACAGGAAATTCAAAAGACGTCATAATTTAATCTTGACAGGGAGCTGCTAGGTACTGTTTTGTGGCAGGTCCCGTCTGTCGTTGTACACGACAGCCCCAGGTGGGTAGAAGACCACTGCGGACTGTTGAGAAACGCTGATAGGCAGTCCCGCTTGGACTTGCTCCTCTCCCTCCGGCTTTGTACTCGCGGTGATGGGCCTGATGTTCGTTGCCTTTGCAGAAGTCATGCGCCAGAAGAGTTTCCTCAGCGCCTTTCTAAACTCCCTCCTCATCAGGCAATAAAGAATAGGGTTCAAGCAGCTGTTGGAGTGCGCCAGACACACAGACAAGGGGAAAATGTAAACTTGTGTTGTATAATATTCATAACTAAAGTGCACCACGCTCATTTTGATAAGAATGCCCCACGCTGTTAAGGCTTGGTTAGGGAGCCAGCACAGGAAAAACGACAGGACTACTATTTTCACAGACCTTGTGACTTTGGCTCGTCTCTTTGCGCTTGAGTTGTTGATGTTTTGAGGTGTGATAAAACGTAGAAGAAGAAGATAGCAGGCTGAAATTACGCCAAGCGGAAAAACAAATCCGAGTAGCACTTTTTGTGAGTGATATAATCCCAACCAGAATTGCGCCGTGTTATTGTTGTCGGGGAACTTGACCAGACACAAGTCTTCATTGGAGACGGTGACTGTGGTGGAGTATACAGCGTGAGGCAGCGCGGCAAAAACAGCAGCGAGCCAGATACACACCGAAATGCAACGCGCAGACGGGCAGTGCGCGCGTCTTCTCCTGCCCTTGAGCGCAGAGGCAAGGGAGTAGTACCGCGCCACGCTCATTGCCGTGAGGAAAAAGACGCTGGCATACATGTTCATTGCTGTGACATACGATACTACTTTGCACATGACCTTACCGAAAAGCCACGTAAAATCCAGTGCGTTTTCCACCGCCCAGAATGGCAGCGTGAGCACGAACTGGAAGTCTGTCAGTGCCAAACTTGTAACAAACAGGTTTATAGAGGACTTTTTCCAAGCCTGTTTAGACTTCATTAGGTACAGGACCAGTAAATTCCCAACAAGCCCCAATGCGCACACCAAAGAGTACACCACCGAGATCATAATCCTCAGTACAGCCGCTGCATCGCCGGCCGCATCCACCTGGCTCGTATCTGACAAATGAAAGTATCTCGAAAGTGACTGGTTCATGGTCGAGTTGAAAACACAAGTTAAGTTAAAAGAAGTGCAAATCCAGCCCGGAGATCTTTCCGAAATGTCCGCACTGTCTTCAGACATTTTTGCTTAACTCGTTTCAACATGCATGCGATGGTAAACCTTCCGTTACGAGTCGAAAAAGAAAAGAAACAATTCTCCAAGGCATATATGGCATGCTCTTATGCTCATTTTTTATTTGAAGATTCCTCAATGCATGCGTCTCCGTGCGCCATCCTACTAGCAGATCTGACTCACCTGGCGCTGTCCCTAGTGCTGATTGTAAGACGCATGAAGAAAATTAAGCTTTCTCGCAGGAAAGCACAGAGACTTGTTTGTAGCCATAGACTGGGAAAGGAGGAACTGTTGGGAATATGTGGCTCTTAGAATAAATGCTCTTTAGCCTATGGGTTGAGTGGCATCTGCCTTCTGAAAAGTCTTATATATATATATATATATATATATATATATATATATATATATATATATATATATATATATATATATATATATATATATATATATATATATATATCTGGTAGAATTACAATACATATAGCATTTCCAGATGTCAGAATAATATTGGGTGTCACTTTTCTTAATATCAGTCAAGCTCATTATAATTCACTTTCTTAATTCAATTATCCTACACACAAATTTATACATGAGGTTCCTCATTAGAGCCTGGAATGTGGGAATATTTGCAGTCACAAACAAAGCACTTGCACTTTCCCACCTTGAAATCTTTAGCAGTATTCTACGAGCATCATTATATGTCACCATAATCTTATTCATCTTTGCTTTGCTGTGATTACACCATAGGTGAGCTGTGTACAGTGGAGTACAGTATGATCTAAAAAGAGTCATTTCGACATCATTTGTACACATATGGAATTTGCGTGCCAGCATATTTGCTTGTGAATACAGTTTGCAACACTGACGCTGGATGTCATCATCATCACAGGAGTCATTTCTAATAAGTATGGCCCAAGTATTTTGTTTTTGTTACATTAGTCAGCTGATTCTCATTTAAGTAAAAAGAGGGGAAGCTTAACTTTTGATCCTCCTTAGTCTTGGCAATCATGACAACACTCTTTGAATTATATTTGATATCATACTGCCTCCCATATTCTGAATAGGCTCTCATCAGTTGCTGTAAACCAGCACTATATGGTGTCAGAACAATTAAATCATCATCATACAACTAATGATTGTCCATACATCCAGTCTTAGAGTGTTGCAGTTTTCTAAATAAATCATCCATGTACAGGTTAAAAAGAACAGGAGAAAATATTCCACCTTGCCTGACATCATGGGTAACCAGGAAAGGGCTAGAGCATAATAAAAAATACTTTGGGTTGTGGGACAATGGAGCATATATTATTTAAAGCAGCTCAAAGATGCAGAAAAACAAGTTAATGGAAAAAGCAGTCACTGATTATGGTTGATTGATTATGATTATGTGTGAGATGTGAATTTATGCCAGGAGGAGATGACAGTAGAATGTGTTAAATCTGACCGTTTCAAATGAATGCAGCTGTGCATGAATAATTGTACAGTACCTTTAAATATGTAATCAGTCATACATAAGAAGGTAAAAGGTATTTAAGCTTTAAAGATAAACATGTAATTTGAGTAATTAAAAAAGAAAAAAATAATAATGTTGTGTTTTAATAACCATGAACCATTATTTATTTCTATTTGTTCTTAAATGTTGCTACATTTTGGGTTAAAAATGATTTATATCCTCTTACGGAGTTTACCTGTAATGAGAATATGTTTTGTCTCCTGGGTTTGTGATATGCACTTTGCAACTTTATTTTACTTTACAAAGTTACTGATTACATTGCCCGATTAAGCCAACATTTTGTTTCATGGTGAGCATTAAAAGAGGAAAGACCTTATAAGTCAATGTGGGAACTAATGTGATCTGCCAAGAAAGTACATGACCTTGGTTTACAGCATACAAGCTATAGTATTTTCTTTCTCTCTGTGTAAAATAGAAAACAAAAAAGGGTCCAAGACTTTCATTGATATGGTGGAATTTTCCTCATGCTTGTTACCTAAACTTTATCATATGTCCCTGGCCTCCTTGATCTATACTTACCAGTGAACACAATAGCAGCCTAATATATATGAGAACTCGTTTCGTCAATATATTCTCAAAGGAGCCCTAAGGAGAATGTTACTCATTTACATTATGCTGGCCACTTTTATGGATTATTATCTGCATAGTCTGTTTTTCTTGCTGAATGTTGTATATAAATCAATGATTATTAGTGTCCAAGAGCCAACTAAAGGTGCACAACACAGACAAACAGACAGATGAAAGCTATTCTAGACTTGCCAGGTGAGATATTTCATTACTTCCACTTCATTTTCAAAGGCAGTCTTGAATCTTTCACAGGCCCTTATATTGGACTTTAAGTATAGATAAATTAAAATGACTGAAGTATGCATTAAGTGCAAGCTGGTGGCTGCTGTATTCTACCTTTCATTTAAAATTCATAAAGGTTAACACTCTCATATAGGGTGTATGTATAAGGAAATGTAGGAGTATGCAAATCAAGTCATGGCCAGGTAATAAACATTAATACTTCAGATGTGATCTTGAATCTAAATTTAGTCATTATAGTTTTCTCATGTTTATTGTGATGTTAGTGATGTGGGTGGGTTCATGTTTTAGTAATTAAAAAAACAGAACCAAACACCTTAGAGGAACAGATTTGTAATTCACTGATTATATGACAATAACAATAACAATAACAATAACAATAACATTTCAAACAACATATTACCAAGTTCTAGTGAAAAGTGAAAGTGTAAGCAATGACCTGTCTAATTTAATAAGCTTTTTTTGTTCTCTCAACTTCAGATTGATAGCCTGCATTTCCGAGAGCTCGGAGGTTTATTCAGTGGATGAATGTTGTTCTTTTCTTTTCAATTATAAGGAGCAAGGAAAGAATTCTCCTGAATTGCGTGTGTACAGTATCCGTCAACTGGCGCTGTTTTGTAGCGTAAGCTTAAAAGGATTGTGTTTTGCTGACCCCAAGTGGCATTTCAATAAACTATAAAAACTGAAGCGCCTAATATTTCCATGGGTTTTAACCGTAGTAGAAAGAGCGTAGAGTATGACAAGCCAGTACTGACATGACCTCTGTCTGTCTGTGCGTCCTTTGTTCTTTCTTTCTTTCCTATTAGGAGTACTCAGAATGTGAGACAAAATATAAGGGGTACTCTAAGTTGGAAACTAGATATTTTAAACTTGTGATCACGTTACGGACAGATTACTGATCGACAGTTTTCTTGAAAAAACTATTCCTAATCCAGCATTGCCCTTTGATATCTGTTATCAAGTCTTGTGGACACACCCAGGAAACGGCATGAATCCCGCACATCTGAAATAACATTATGACACATTTACTGAAAAAAATAATAAAAAAAACAAAACAAAACAAAACATAGAACACTTTGTTTACAAAAGAGGACACGGTCTATAACAAAATTAATTTTTCCTTCACAATCTCTCCAAACTACCACAATTACACTAACAAACTACAATGCAATATAATAAAATAATTAAAATGGTTCAATCACAACAATTCTTGCATCCGACTTGTTGTGGACAAACCACTTTACCCTATGTGTGAGTGTGAATGTGATGTAGGAGTGCTGGTTGGCCAAACTGACAAATTATGTCTAGGCCTCATTCAGATTTCATTATCAAAATGATAAAAGTACAAAGTCATTTGTACTTTAAACATTCCAACAATGCCCAGCAAATGTCAGCTGACCGAATCATACACAGAGTAGAAATATAAGAGAAAGTGAATGTAAGCGATACACACTAATTTAACCAGTAAACTATTACTATTTATTTGTCTCTTTCAAGTGACTTATAATGGTTTCCACACACAAACACGCAAATTAGCACCACACCCTTTTCACAAAATAAATAAATAATAAATACAACTCAGCTCATTGTAATGGAATGTGACATGATTGTATGCTGGAATTGATCAATAATAATATGCTGGCTAACTCAATGAATAAATACAACCAACACTGTATTAACTTCAGGGATTAAAAAAAAAAAAGTTTAGACAATCTCCCATGAGTATTGGCTATTCCGGTCAACAGAGCCATCACATAAAGGGGTGGCTGTTCTAACCTGCTCCAAATGAGAGGATCAAATTTACCTAAGCAATCCTTCATCAACATGTAGTCTGTGTACAGATGGCAGTTTAGCATTGCTTTAGAAAATAAGTAACAAAGTATTTCTCATCTCTTTGGAGGCTTTATGTGATACGGTGAACATAAAAAAAATACTTGGTTTATCTTCTAAAATATTGCACATGTACACCACAGTTAGGGGCTGTGCCTCTACATCCTGTACATTTCTAGTGGCTGTCCTCACGAGTTGTACATGAGTGGAAAGCATCTTCATCACAGAAGGACATTTCCATCAGCTGTTATCATCCACCAGCAGCTGGAGACACTCATTTTTTCCATTCCTTTTCTTTGGTTGAGCACAAAGGCACCACCAGGCAGACATCACGTCTGTCCATGTTATTCACAAATCTGAAGAGTTTTCCTCTGCGGATCTTCACACATAATACCATTCAGGAAAAATAAGCAGATGTGTTCATTTCTTATGGTGTACCTCTACAAATGGCGTTTATCCAATGTTTAGGCCCGTGCCATGGTCAGAGTATCATACTGAAGCACCAAGTGACAAAAGACAGCAGCTGGCTCCAGAACAGTCACATTCCTCTGAGAGGCACTAGTGGAGAGCGGACATACTTTCATTTCACACAGAGTTTGTTGTATGTGGTTGCTCTGGGGAGTCAGCTATTAATGCGGAGGTAACATCCATGTGGAGTTTTTCTGTGCCATTTCTCGGCTCATTGGTGTGCCTCCTCTTTTTATTACAGAGTCTTCCCCTCCGGCTGTGAATACAAAAACACAATTAAATCTAAAAGAACTAAGGGGTAGCAACTAAAGTGTTACTCAAGTCATACTTACTGTGAGAATACGCAAATAAGGACTACTAAAAGAATCAGTAGCACCAATCCCACAACGGCACAGATGATAATGATTTGACTTTTCTCACCTATGAGCACACCAAGATCAATAATCTCACACCTGGATCCAATAAATCCAGGATGACACCTGAACACCACATGCGTAGGAGAAATATTCATTATATATTCATTTGGATGCACGGCATTTTATTAATTTATATTTAAACAAACCAGTGTTACCTGCAAGATACCATATCCATTTCTTTGATGTAACGACACTCCCCATGGATACAGTAGAAAGTAAGTTTTTCTGGACATGTGGAGAAGTGCCCGTTCCACTGCTCTGCTGTGTCTGTTTGTTGATAAAGAAAACAAGTTTTAAACAACTTTTTATCATATAGTGCATTCATAACAATCATATTTTACATATGACACAAGATAAATCTTTTTATTTCAAAGTCTTTTGGCTTACTCTTGCCCCCTCACTAGGTTGTGTGACCTCATGTATAAATAGACTAGTGTAATGAGATACGTAGTGGAGATCTGGTGAATCATTCTCCAGGAAGGGTCACAACTCAATATCCTCTAAGTTACTTAACATTTTCTTAATTAAGGAAATTGAAGTCAGAAAATAAAAAAAACTATTATTATTTATTATTTTCTTCTAGATGGTGAGTCATGAATAGAGAACGTGACATTTTTAAGTGTTAGGACACCACATAGGCCTCCACATAAGCACTACTATCTTTATGACCAACTGGCATTAAAAGGTTCAAAAAGAGCTTGTAAAAGTATACTCCCATTCAAGTGAGAGCAATAAAGCGCAACAGCTCAGTGAAATCGGATATCTAGTATTCCGCTAAATCCAAAATGAGAATAACCCAGTTTCAGGAAAGACAGTGAATGAACTTGGAAATTACTTGTGAATGCAAAAATGTTTTGCTTGCAATAAAATATCAAATGAAAACATACCATAACAAATGCCCAATATAAAAACTTCAATAACAATGAGGCAGGTCAAAAACTAAAAAGTTGCAGAGTGTCAGAGTCTTCAGTCGATCACTGATTTCACTAACCCCAAAGCTGATTAAGGTGGAGTGTTTTCTAAATTGCTCATTTGTTCATTTCTTTATTAATCAAAGTAAATCTTCAAAGCTTCAGTTTACAACACAGCTGTATATTCCCTCCCACCTTGATCTACCTGTGCAGTTGTCTCCGTTGCTATGGTGATCACACTCTGTTGCATTGGCAGTAGGCCCCGCAGTCGTATTCCACACTGCCTCAGAGGATCTGCATAGAACCAAACCTAGGCCAGAAACCAAAAACTCATCATGTTAGAAGTAACCATGTGTGATGCATAGTTCAAGTTCCCTCAGTACAATATTGCTGGGACACAAAACCAACTACACAACAAATCTCCTCACTTGTTATACAGGGGGAGATACAGTAGGGTTTTGCTTTCTACTATTAATGTTGCTACTTGTGTATTACAAGGCTAGGTAGTTCAGACAAACCTTACATCAGTCCAAGGTGCTGCTTAATTTAACTATAAACTAACACAACTTGCTCTGTCATTTGGTGACTATACTGAAGTGAAACACAACTGAAAGTAATTTGGCTGTAAATATTTTAAATCTTCAACATGAAAGAATTTAACTTTAAAACCCAAATCTAGTTGTTGCTTCTACTGATGACATTTAAAAACTTACCTGCCAATACACCCACATACAACATGTACACTTTGGCCATCTCCCCACTTGACTGGCGTACTCATCTAGGCATAAAAGTATGAGGTCATACACAGACGACAATGGGGTCAAGACAGTCCTCTCTTTTTAGGTTAGTCCACATGTCCACTCGTACAGCCCAGTAAAGTCAGAGTCAACAGGTGTGACGCACTATCCGCCATGCAGCAGTAACCAGTGCTAGCTCGAGACACTTTTGCACTGGGTATGAGAATAGAAAAGACGCACTGAAACCTAACGCCTGCTCTCTGGTCCCCGCCCACACCTTTAAAGGGAAATACAACTCCAGAGTCACCTGTTACACTTTGACAAAGAAGGGTAGGCGGACGTGTAATTACAAAAGGAACCCGTTTGACAGCAAAAATTACTTCATTTATAAATATAGATGCTTATATAGGTCATTCTTTTATCTACAAAAATACAGCACAATACAAGAAGTGGACAGCTGCCCTAAGGAAGGGCCCTTACCAAGAGGCTCCCTTCTTCCTTCCCCAGGCCCTAACACTCGAATTTGCGCGTTCCCGCGAACAGTGCCGTCCGAAATGATCAAGACCCTAGGAAGAGGGGCAGGACGTAGTCCTAGAGTAGATTCGTGGTGGTCCCTAATCAGGTGTTTGTAAGCCCCACATGCTACACGCACCAAACAAGTTTAGTTCCACTTTGTTTAGGTGTATGTTGAAACAAGCGTCGTGATTTAGATATTGAGTTTTGAAGCAAGATAAGATTTACTTTTTTATTTTCTTTTTTTTTATTCACTGGTGAGATGGTGGCTGATCTGGACCTGTTCTATAAACACTCATCAAGCGTCTATAGCATGAAAATTATTATTATATTTTACTTTAACACAGTCCAAATATTTACACAGCACAAATACTAAAACTATACAGAAGGTGGCGTTATAATACACCACTGAATGTACTGCCCGACATTGGAGCGAGTGAAGTGCGTCCGCAAGCAAAGCGGTGATGAATGGACCAAAGGGGTCTTCACAGCGGGTGCAATATGAGGGGTGAAGGAGTAGGGACTCATTTGGGAAAAGGGCACTCGACTGACTGAAGCGAGGCTGCCCGCCTGTGACACTGGGCCATATGACCATTGCGTACACCAGTTTCTTAATGCGCAGTATGTCTTGCCTAAGGACACAACTAGAGCCGCTGTTGCCCGTCTGTGTCATCTGGTATTCCCAGTGGTCAACATCTTGGATTAAAATGTATTAAAAAATCAGTTGATACAATAGACAATAAAAGATAATTTAGTTATTAGTCATTTTTTACTTAAAGCATAATGATTAAAGCTCTTCCTGCTCCAGCGTGAGTAGTCATTTATTACTTAGCATTGCTAAGTAATTTTAAACTTTTGTTTGAAAGCTAAAGAGAAAAAAAAGAAAGACACCTTTGAGGAGATCCTGTTTTTTAAATGACACATGACCAGTAAGAAACCAGTAAGGCTGAAGGCCTCATCTATAAGCTAAATGTATAGTTGTATAATATAGGCATATGTGCTTATGTCTGAATTACTTTTTTTGTTTGTTTGGTTGGTTTTATTTACATGGTGGTACAAATGCAGTCTTTTACACATATTTTTTATGTTTGTTTAAGTATTTAATAAGAAAGGCACACTAAGGCTGAGGCACTAATATTAATTTGTGGTACAGTGCAGAATATATACTCCAATACAAAGTGGGAAAAAAACTGAGGCACTCAAAAAGTACAAAATAATTAAAAGCCTTTAATACCACATGGCAGATAAAGTTAAAATACGCCAACGCGTTTCGGCCCTTCGGCCTTCATCAGGGCAAACTCGAGATGGTTCTCACAGTGCAGATTTAAAGTAATAGGTGTAGGTCACATGTTCACAGTGGGCTGGCCCACAGTCCCCTAGATGCATGATGGGACATGTAGGCCTAACAAACCTTAATTATAGGCTAAACAAATTCAAATACAATAATACAAGACATAAATGGTGCAAATCCCAACAACCAATACATAGATACATTATATGAAAATAGTATAAAATAGTATAAAAAGATACATAGTGTAAGGATATATATAGAGTGCGATAACTCAAAAGTGCTTCAGCTATAGTTTGTATAATATAGTTAAGGGCTAGTCTTAAATAATTTCAAGAAGACAGGGATATAGAACAAGGATCGATTACACATTTAAAACTCGTGGTTTTAAAGGAAGGGGGAGAAATCTAACTCTCCATTGAGTCCTAGAAACTGTGTGGCCTTGAGAGTGTAGATCCAGTAGGTTTCTCTCTGTAATAGTTTTTTCAGTCTATCTCCTCCTCTTATTGTTTCTTTAATATGGAGCAAAAGATGTTCATTTTGTCTTCTTATATACTTTAACTTCTTGGGTTCTTTTTTTTAAAGACAATGCAGTAAAGTGTGCTTTCTGTTCCAAATCCTCCATGAAAAAACTGCTCATTATTGCGGATAGTGGATCTCCCATTGCAAACAAAAAAAAAACAAAACACTACAATCCAACACAGGGCAGCAGGACAAAAACATAGTCACACTACCATACATCAGAGGAATAACCGAACCCATCCAGAGAGCCATGAAAAAACACAACATTAGCACTGTAGTAAAACCATACACAAAACTCCGTCAACAGCTCGTACACCCCAAGGACAAAATCCCACAAGAACAAAAATGCAATGCCATCTACGAAATTCAATGCAAATCATGCACTAAATCATACATAGGGGAAACAGGCCGGGCATTTCACATCCGAAAAAAGGAACACCAAAAGGAATGCGAGAAGGAAACGTCAGGGAGACTCACCAGAACACAAAAAGAAAAAGCAGAACAGGAAAACCTAAAATCCGCCATATCAGACCACTGTACAAGGAACAACCACATTATGGATTGGGACGGGGCTCGGGTCATTGGATCGGAAAACAACAAGTTCAAACGCTGGATCAAGGAGGCCATTGAAATCAGGAAACGAGGCACGGACAGCATTAACCGGGACGACGGCGCGTTCCTCCTTTCACACACCTGGGACACCCTCCTCCAGAGAACACCGGGCGACGGGAGGCGTGGTCAGTCTAAGCGACCTGCCAGGTCCATCAGGCTGACCACGCCTACAGGAAGTAACAACAGCTGATATACGACACGTCACCACCAACACCGGTGACAGTTCTGAAGATGGCTTGCAGCTAGCAGCCGAAACATGTCAACAAGGTAAACACACTTTACTGCATTGTCTTTAAAAAGAACCCAAGAAGTTAAAGTTTCTTTAATATGTTCAATTGCACAGACTTTTAGGCTTTTACAGCTGCCATGGTTGGCTTCTTTGTAATGCACGGCCATAGGATACAGGGGGTTATATGTCCTTATAGCCTGTTTATGTTCAGCCAGTCTGTTTTTCAATTTGCGTTTTGTTCGGCCTACGTAAAAACGACCACATGGGCATTCAAGTCTGTATACCACATAGGTAGTGTTACAATTAATTAATGTTCTAATAAAAAACTTTGACCTGAGTTAATGTCCATGAATAAGTTCGTCTGTTGTACATGTTCACAAAAGGTGCAGTTACCACATCTGTAGCAACCAGCCTTAGTGTCCAACCATGTCTTTTGTTTCAAAGGAGGGAGATAACTGTTCACTAGTCTATCACTGAGATGATACCGAGAGGATTAAGAATAAGAAAATTTCGAGTTTGCCCTGATGAAGGCCGAAGGGCCGAAACGCGTTGGCGTATTTTAACTTTATCTGCCATGTGGTATTAAAGGCTTTTAATTATTTTGTACTTTTTGAGTGCCTCAGTTTTTTTCCCACTTTGTATTTGAGACTGGTCCCTACACTGAAGAGCACCAAAAGGACAATTCTTCACATTTTTTGCATATCCAAGTAGCACTCCTGCCTCCAAAGCCTTATATACTCCAATACTATGAGAGATCTTCTGCAGTCTACAAAGAAAAAATAGATAGAAGTTACTTTATACTGAAATAGTTGGCAAAGGCAAAGCTCTCGATTTACCAATTTGTGTTTCTACCCTCACCTATGGTCATGAGCTCTGGGTAATGACCAAAAGGACGAGATCGCGGATACAAGCGCTCGAAATGAGTTTCCTCCACAAAGTGGCTGGGCACTCCCTTAGGGATAGGGTGAGGAGCTCAGACACATGGGAGGAGCTTGGGGTAGAGCCGCTGTTCCTCCACGTAGAGAGGAGCCAGCTGAGGTGGCTCGAGCATCTGTTCCAGATGCCTCCTGGGTGCCTCCCTTGGGAGATGTTCTGGGCATGTCCCACCGGAAGGAGGCCCTGGGGAAGACCCAGGACACGCCGGAGGGACTATGTCTCTCGGCCAGCCTGGGGGCCTCAGGGTGCCCCTGGAGGAGCTGGAGGAAGTGTCCGAGGTGAAGGAAGTCTGGCAGTCCCTACTTAGGCTGCTGCCCTCACAACCTGACCCTGGATAAGAGGTATGGATGGATGGATAAAATATTTGGGCCTCAAGGTAAAAATGATTAAGAAACCCTATAAAGTTAAGAACCCCTATAATGAATATACTTAAAATATACAGTAAAAATGGAGAAGTGAGAGAAAATGTTTCTTTAAATAGGAGTTGTCATTTTTACCTACACAATTGCCCAAAATGTAGTGTGGCCCATATAATAATTGCACAGTTTCCACAATTTTTTTATTTACATTACTGGATTAAATTAATGTTGGTAACAGTGGTTGTGGAAGATATATAAAAGGATATATAAAACATATAAAAACTTACGGATGTTTGTCTTCATTCCTGTTTCAAACAGGAAAGACCCCGTTTCCTCCCTTCAGCTTTGTGTTTTTAACTTGGCAGGAACATCAGGAAGCAGGGATGCAGCAAGATTGCAAGGAACAATTTAGAACCTGGCTTAAACATCCGTTTTGTATCCAAGATAACAACATTGGTCCTCATTACTTTTATAATGAAAAAAAAAAGAAAAAGGGAAAATATTAAATGTTTTCACAGTGTCATTTAATATAAAAATAACAGTACAAAACCAATTTTTCAAAAAAAAACTAAAAAAAACATACAGTACAAAACATGTCTATTGGGCTCCATATTGTCATAGTCTTCTTTCTGTATCTGTAAAAAGGTATACTCATGGTTATTCTAGAGCCAAATTCGCCCAGGCCCCAAAACAGCGCTGAACTAGACAGAAATACTGTATAACTGGAGCAAGCCTGACCTTGAGATGTGCTGTATACTCAGATGCATCACACAATGGAGCATGAACGTGGCTCTCGGAAGGGGTTGCTGCCTGTGGGGACCCCCACCAGCAAAGCATCTTTGCCTGCGTTCTGCAAACAGTACTGCTGTAGCTCTGCGGCTGCTTGAGACACCTGGCAAAAAAGCAAAACAAACAAACAAACAAACAAACAAAAAAAAAAAACATCTAAAACGTGTCCCAGTTTGACTTGGTCAAAACAATAAAGTATTTATGACAATGGTAAAAAGGTTCTGATGGTATAATAATGTGTAAGTATAATGTACAAACATCTTTAAAAAGTATCCTCTGGATGGTGTTGACTTAATTGTCTCCAGAATTGAGATAACCCAATGAAGTGTCTATGTCGTAACACAAAAACAATGACGACAACAACATTATTATAACAATATTACTGCTTTACTAAATAATTTTACCTTGATCCTCTCCACACTGGCCTCTAACTTGAGTTGCTCCACCAGTCGCCTCATGCTTGATATATTGGAGTTAGAAGCCATGTTGATGTGAACTCCAAAGACTTAAACTATTGGTGAACAGTGAAGTCTGTAGCCAGCAGCCGGAAAGCACCACATGACCTCAGTCCGCTTGGAACAGCAGCAGAGGAAATTATACATAAACTCACTGACGCCCACAAGTGTTTCGTCAGAGGAAAAGACTAGAAGGCTGTATTATTTCAGACACTAGGTAAACATAGATAAACACAGGTTCAAATAAAATGTTGCTTTGATAAATATTATTTGTTGATTATTCTAAATTACAAGCATTTGACAAAAAGCTAAACTAAAATTATTTAAACAGAATAGAATAGAACAGAAAAAGACACAGAGCAAAAGAAAGTCTATTTTGTTACCTCAAACTTTAAACTTCTCTCTTGTGTTGAAATTATTATTTTTTTAAGATATAGGCTTTTTTTGTTTGTTTTTTTTTTTTTAGCTTTTCAGAGGAATGTAAAAAATGTGACTATCAACCCCGGGGTCTCCTACATGGTGGCCAAGTTAGCCATGTTTTCACTTGGTGTTTTTGGTTCTCAAGCACAGTAAGTATAAAGAAGTGAACTAAGGGAGTGTGACACGATCTGTAACGTGAAATGCTGTCACATGAAGCTCACAATGCTAGCGTTTAGGGGGATGAATTTGGAGCCAAGCTCCATATTAGGAATAGGAATTTATTAACAGACAAAATGGCAGCAGTTACAAAGAAATGGGTGACAATTTCTTTAAAATACATTTTTTGATGTAAAGTAAATCGTAGTTAATAGAGCCAGAAGCCCTGTCAGGAACACTTCCTATTTGGAAGGCGGCATCTAGTGGGTTAGCTATATCCATACTCAAGACAATTATCCAATCAGAACATTTTTTTAAATGCTTATCAGAATAGCACAGATATATAGAGTTTAAAAGAAACTCCCATGTGGCCAGGATGTCTGCTCTGCTCTCTCAGTTATGCTCCATGGGCATCACAGTCTTCACTGACTCATAAATCAGCTTCTTCAATGTCATCTGCATATTCTCTACCTCCTTCTCCTGTTTGCATCTTTGTGCCTCTTTTGCTTTGTTAATTTCTCTTACAGGCATTGTGAATTTTTAAATTCAGGTGCATCTCTTAACCCAGCATCTGAAACTTAACCTCCTCAAATTTTGTAAAGCAAAAGAGAATAAGCATCAGCTCTGTGTTCCCACAGCACTATGGCCTCACATTTGTAGGGTTGTAGGGTTGGTTATAGTTAGTTTATGCATTTATAAATATCTTTTAAATATGAGAAAATAAGGCTGTGAGAGTGGGGAACAAACACTTTCAGCATGGGCCACTGGATGGCAACAATATAGGCTACATCAAACCATTGTACAGCTCCAGGGCCACAAATGGCCCTTTGGTTGACTGTGACGGGCCTGTTTAAGCTAATTTGGAATTACAAAATGTATATTTTATCATTTTTCCTCATGCATGGACTAAATCTGCATTGCTTTTATTTTAAAGGTGTTTTATTATTTTTTGTAAGGCAACCTCACTTTCATAACATACACGCTTACCAGTCTTAACAGCTCATAGAAACAATGCTATTTGCTGCTTTTTTTAAATTAATATTATTATTGTTAATAATAATAATAATAATAATAATAATACAATTAATATTGTGCAGAATTAAGTTAAGCATTTTGGCCCAGCCCTCCACAATATTTTCTGTTTCTCATGTGGCCCCATGGAAAAAATAATTATCCATCCCTGGGCGACATGGAGTGAACTATGTAATTATAACAATGTATTTGTACAATGTAATTATATAAATTATATAAATTATATTCTTCATATTTTCTTAAATGGCGAGGAAATTGCATGGCTAATTGTGAAGAACCTTTCTAGTTGATATATTCATTTTAAATATGTTTTTAATACATTTAATCTGTTTTAAACAATATTTTACATTCGGCACCAGGTATGGCTCACGTTTTTCTTTCCCTAGCAGAGGGGGCCATGAGATGAAACGCAAATTAAATGTAACCCATGGGGTGTAATCGTACAGAATATCCAAAAGTGCGTAATGGTGCCATCAAAGTTGCCGTTTTGATGCGCATGCGCCTCACTGTCGCTCGCGGTACTGCAGTCGGACCGAGCAGCTGGCAGCAGCTCTAGGACCACGTGGGGAATGAAAGTGTACCTGCTCCGGTGCCTTCTTATTGGTCCATTGGTGATTAACAGGATTGGCTGTAAGTAGCTTTAGATGATGTTGAAGTCGACGAAGAGCTTTTTTTGAAGCAGAAAGTGCGAAGATAGTGGGAAACATGAGATCGAGTTAAAGCTCAAGCTAGCAATCAGGTGAGCAGAAACCCCGACACAAAAGTAAACACCGCGCACGGTGTCAGACATGGTGGACGTTTTTGCCGGAAGGACCCTTCTGAATAAAGACGGTGATTTTGTAGATCCCGAGGAGGCGCTGCGGAATAAAGTGGTGGGGATATATTTCTCTGCGGGCTGGTGTCCGCCCTGTAGAGACTTCACTCCTATTCTGTGTGACTTTTACACGGAACTGACTGAAGAACATGACCCTCCTGCTCAGTTTGAAATTGTTTTTATCTCTTCTGATAAGTCCACGGAGGACATGGTAGAGTATTACCATGATATGCACGGGGATTGGCTGGCTTTGCCTTGGACAGATAACTACAAACAGTAAGTCTTACTTAACAAGTAGGCTTTTTTTGTTAATTATGTATGTATTTATTAACTAGGATGAAGCTTGACTACATCTAGCAGGAATTAGGTAGTCTACTAGCACACGCTCACATTTGTTTATAAACCACTTATAAACAGTGCAATCAGATATCTTACTTTATGGCCTTTATGCCTGTGTAATAAAATATTACCATAATATTTAAAGTAAACTAATACATATCTAAGGATTTATTCATTTTAAGAGTGGATATTTTTGCATGTTCATGTTTACTTGTATGGTTACATTCTTTTCCCTTCTTGTTTTGCAGTGAATTAAAGGAGCGTTACAAGATAACTGCAGTGCCCAAACTTGTGATTGTGAAAGAGAACGGTGATGTGATCACAGACAAGGGCAGAAAGCAAATCAGAGACAGAGGCCTGGCTTGTTTCCGGTCCTGGTTGGATGCTGCAGAAATCTTTGAAAACTTTAAGGGCTAACCTATGTGATTGAGCAACCTGTGCAGCCATGACAAACCCATTAAATAGTTACATTTTCAGTTCTATGCAATAAAGATTCAGGCACATTTGCTGTACATATAACAAATTATATAGAAAAAAAGATTGGGCTGACATAGGTAAACAAAATGTAGAATGACAATAAGATTAAGCCTTCTGCAGAATGTAGATGGCTTTTTATAATATGTTTTTTAATCACTTTTCTAAGTATTGTTGGGAAAATATAGCTACTAAAGCTACATCTTGTCTCTGTGTATTTGTTTTTGGTGTTTAAATAACAGAAGCCTCAGCTTTCTATGCACAAACAAACCAATTCCCTTTGGGTGTTTTGAGAAGCTCAAAGCCCACAGGAACAACGGTTTCTAAGAGGCTTGCACATTTGCTCCTCCTGGGCCCTTTTTAAGTATGATCAAATTAATGAGATCTCCCATTAAATCCAATGTGTACCACATAGTTTTGGAGATATGCTACATTAGAATATAAATATTATGCAGTATTATATTTCAAACTGAGTGTTTCAGTGATATTTCAGAACTTGTTTTGCTCAAATCAAAAGGAAAATTAATGCAGTAATGCAAGATTACTTTCTCACTATTTGGTCATTTTCAATTGGCAATTTTACTGAAAAGGTACTGTATAGAATTTCACAGGCATGAGCTATTTATCCAAATATTGCATTTGCTGTTAATTTGTTCTTAATTAAAAAAAAAAAAAATCATTGGCCAGCATGGCCAAATTATTTGTTATAATTTGGTGTTTTGGTTGTCCACAATTATCCAATCAGACAGCAGAATGAGCCTCTCATGAGTCTCATTTCTGTTGCCAGTTACAATGCACACAATAAACCTGAACTCCACTACCTGAACTTTAATTAGTGCTAATGCAGCCTTTGCAGCTCAGTAAGTGAATTCTGGAGGTTATGAGTGATTGAAGGAGGTTTATGCTAATTTAAAATTATATGTGTATACAAATACATTTTGTACTGAAGTCTTTAAGAGTAGACGCTTTATTCAACGGATTTCAAGGATGAGTTGTAATTAGACAGCATACCACGTGGAGTCGCTATTGTCAAAAATTCTTAATTTTACTTTCCTGCTTTTCAAAATAATAAGAATTTTGCTGGTTTTAGCGGGATTTTTTCTGAATTACGGCAGTTGTAATTTTCAGACAAAGGAAGACATAAAAACGGTTTGCCTCTTTGAAGAAATATAATCTAAAGAATTGTTACAGTGTGCCTGCTCTCATGGAGTTGATTAGACTAATTTCAGTCACTGGAAACCCAATGAGTGAATTTACTCGGTGGTTGCCCAGTTTGGCTACTGTCTCTTGACTAGATCAAAGCTGTATTGATTTCTTGTAATGCAATTGTCATTTTTAACAGGATCTCTTTAGATTAGAATGAATGTCTATGTTGACTTCACATTTGGACTCAGACTTCTTGTTAGAATGAAAGGCGGTAGTGTTAGCTGCTGTTGAAACGGTGTCTTGAATCAACTAACAAGGCAGTCTTTATTTGAGGAGGAGGAGGGGGCTGGGAGGGTGGACTTGAGGCTCCTAGTTCAGTGTGAGTAAAGACATTTGGAGACACACCGGAAAACTATTGTACACCTTCAAAATACAGGACATGGTTTTAAATCCCTCTGTTTTTTGTTTTTGTTTTTTTTTTTTAATTTCGCACTTTTATAAGTTAGTCAAGCTTTTGCTAGACCTAGACAGTGGCGTCATCTTGTTACACCTAATTTCATTTTTTGGTGTGTTTAGCGTAGGCTAATAGAGTGTCAAGGAATTTACATTGTCAAGGGATGTATTGCATGCCACAGATTAACAGGATAATGTCCAATCCAAAGTATGTTTTATTTTGAAGCCGCTCTGTGCCATCTCGTTCTGCTCCGTTCAATCGCGCGCTTGACGTGCTCTCCACTTGAAACGCGCTCTGCCGCTCCTGCGCTCCACGAGTGTCGGCTGTAGACACAAGGAGGTCTGGGTGTAGTATGGGATTGTCGCATCAGGACTAAACAAAACGTGTTCTCACTAATGGGAATTGATCATGTTCACCTTGCCGAACTAAAGGTAAGTTTGCATTTTTCCTGTTAGAATGTAGCTATCATCGTGGGAAGCATTTTTCATTCTCAGTAATGTATAATTGAATAAACAATTTTTATAGCTGCTCAAGTTTAAATAATTGCAAGCTTCGAACAAGTCAATATTGCTGTTTCTCATGTCACTTGGGAATTTGTTTAACATTTTCATTCTACAGGTATCTATAGGGTACTTCTTTGGGTTTTTTATAGCCTAGTTTATTACAAAAAATGCCTTTAACAGTATTTTTCTATGTATCTAGATACCCCAAATGCTGCCTGCCCCTGCACAGAATAAGCATCTAGGCAATACCCTGCGCAGTGAGAGCTGCTGAAGAAAAATGTTTTTTAATCCTGCTTAGTGCCCTCACAAACAGCAGTTAATGTTTGGTGAGCATGCTGGTGTTGGTGGTGGAGTTGTTTTCCTCTGTTGGGAAGAAAGGAACTAAAGATTACGGGGATTCGGGTTGTTAAGCAAGCAGTGGAGAAAGAATCAGTGAAAAGCTATTATTGTGCAATGTGTCTTATTATGTATTAACGTGGTGATGGATAGCGGTTTATATACAGTCTTGGAGCTGAGATGCCTCATTCTGTCAGTCTGTTTTAGTCTGTGTTTGTGTGTGTGTTCTCACTCGGTAAGCTACTGTATGTGGAGCCTGCATGTACTCTCATGTTACGTGGATCAGATTGCAGTATAACCTAGTACTTTTTTCTTACCGTTCTGATGTAATGATTCCGCTTCTTATTAGCAAATTGCCTTGATGCTGTTCCAGTTGCTCTCTCTCATTTAGATAATAGGTCTTTATAAATGTCTTAACAAGCAGTTTTGAGTTGGACTAAAGGGTGCTTTTCTTTGTTATTGTTTGGTGCTATGGGTATTTACAGTACAACATGAGTGGCTGAGTTTAGGATTAAGGAAAAACATGTTCCTTCATTCTACTGTAGAATATTTACCTTATACATATGCTTTTAATGAGACTGAAGCTACTTTTTGCCTTTGCCACTAGTAGCATGCTGCAAACCACATGACTTTATTGAGGAACAGTTGATCCAGGTCAAATTAATTATCATGCCACCAGAGCTTTATCAGAAAGCACATTATATGGCTTAAAACCTGGAAATCTTAACATGCAAAATACAAAATAATGTGTGTTATGTGTTTATGCTGTATTCTTAATTAGCCCTGTCTAGATGTAGAAAAATTAACTTATGCTAAATTGGAATTGTATAGGCACTATACCAATGCATATACCTGATTAGATGGTTCTATGCAGAGCACTTGACCCATTTTCTCCCATGAGGATCAATGTACCCTAAATATGGAGTGGGGAGGCACTCTGAGGAGCAGTGAGAGAGAGCAAGATGAGAATTGGCCAGTGTTAAGGGACTTTTCTTGTAGTGGAGAATACATGTTTTGTGAACCCCATCCAGATGGCACATTGACGCGAAGGTTCCAGGGGAAAGCGGCCCCTAATGAATAGGAGGCAGATCACCTGAGGGAACACCAGACTTCAAAGACCACTTTTCTCAACAAACTTCAACTTGGTTTCCTGTTCAGTTACTTATGTAATGCTAGCCTTAAGTGATCTTTGGGATGAGCTGACAATGTAGAGATATAACAAAAAAAAAATCTTAATTTTGTACACTTACTATTACCATTATCTAGTGCCAGATGTCTTTGACTTTGTGAAGGGCCTTAACATGCATGTCAGTATAAATGTAAATATTGAAAAGTGGTGCAAGTCTACTTTGTGTTGTACTTGTATCACAAGAGAAATTGGCTGAAAATAAACAAAGGCAACTGAAAGTTTAACACGGTTTTATATGTTCAAGAAATATAATGTAAAAAGGTCATGCTGATCCACATCATAGGCAAGAGAGCAGGGAGACAGATATGGCACGAGTTATGAGTTAAGAATTATTAGGGTCACAGTTTGGGTCAAGGGCATTTTTTATCCAGCAAAATGCAAAATACACAAAATTACAATTTCCCTAATCATCCCCCAAATAGCCTGATAAAAACACACAAAAAAATACTTGAAAAGGAAACCTGAAACTCTTGTATTTTGTGACAAATGTTGAGTGTGCCCCAGGCACATAAAGGGTACTACTGAACCAAAAAAGGTTGCATAGCCCCTGTTGGTGACATAATTTCACCAACAGTAGATAAACACAACCATCCAGAATCTTCTACTTTTAATTCTTCATATGTCATTCTGTATTTGGTGCTGCATACATTATGGTTTGAGTGGCCTTTTGTAGTGATGCTTGAATGCATTAAATGCCCTGCACATTTATCAGCACGCAGGGACCTCTGGGTCACTTCTCAAACACCATAGACTTTGAAAGGTTAACATGAGCACACTGTACAACACAAAGGGGCATATACACAGTCTGACACTGGCAGTCTGACAGCACTCTGTGATTTCTGCTGCTCTAGTGTGACACTCCAAACATCCAGGGGACAGACAGGAAAGAAAATCATGCTTTTGTGTTCCCAAAGAAGAAAATTATAGACTGTTTTTCATATTTGTTTGACCTTTTATGTTAAAAGTGGTGTAAATTATCTGTTTTGGGGACCGGAAGAGTAAAAAATAGATTTTTTTAGAAACTGTAAAAAAGTTGCATTTTACATTTCAAACTCACTCAACTGTTGCATTATGACAAATTATACAACTGTCACAACATTTAGATTGTTGGACATAGAGGTGCATTACAGGATTATGTGTTGCTTTGGAGTGAGAAGAGAGTAATCAAAGCATCAACATAAGTCTGTATGTGGTTATGTCACATGCAGTGATTGTATTTTACCCAAAATAAGTAACTTCTGCTTACTCAGTGAGTGCACTGAAATTTGTGGTCTTCTGCATTTAAAGATAAGACTTAAACTTAGTGCTTAATTCTTAAAAGGCACAGAACAATGTGGTGAAATGAGATTTGAAATTATATTACTATGCTATACTATAATATATTATAATAATTCGATAATGAAAACATTACAAACCATGATCTTTGGTCTGTTAGGACATAAAGAGACACAGATAATGGAATGGAAGACCCACCCTTACAAAAGCTAAACATGTTAATTTTGTGTCACAGCCCATGTCCTCCTGGGGGGCTTTGATGGTGAGATTGGCTGGCTCCTTTCCTTACTTTACAATAGTTAATGGTGCTCTGCATAGCCTCTGTATCCTGTATGTGTTTTTGTATTTTCACTTTTGGCAAAAGACTTTGAAAGCAACAATTTACAAAGAGTTAAAGCAGTAGTGATCCGCATAAATGTGTGGCCATACTGACTTGTCAAAGCCTGATCCTGTCAGATCTCAGAAGCTGGGCTGGGCCTGGTTAGTACGTGGATGGGAGACCACTGGGATTTCCAGGTGCCACATTGGGGCTCCAGTGGCAAAAACTGTTGTTGTGTCCATAGACAAGACACTTCACCCACATTGCCTAGTATGAAAGTGGTGTGTACGTGAGTGATGGTGGTGGTCAGAGGGGTCAATGGTGCAGATTGGTAGCCTCACTTCCGTCAGTCTGCCCCAGGGCAGCTGTGGCTACAGTAGTAGCTTACCACCCCTGAGTGCTGAATGAATAATGAACTGTAAAGCTTTTTGGGTATCTTGAAAGGCGCTATATAAATGCAATGATTAATTTATTAATTAATCAATCAATAGTACTTAGTTTGTATGTTTTTATTTCAGTGCATTGTGTTGTTGTGTATTCTTATTAGACATGTAATTTATCACAGTGTAATGCAAATCCCTATTTTCTTAAGCTTCTAAAGTTCGATGTCAATTAAATACATTGCCCTGGTTTCCATAAGGACAAATTTCATGGTACAGTAATTATAGTAATTATAGTTTATTATAGTATATCATAAAAGCCGGAAGCTGTTAAGTGATGTGATAAACGGCAGGAGGTACCCATGTGCGCTTGATCATATGAATATGAGTGTAATGAGTCTTTCTGGTGAACCAAAGGGCAGAAATTGTCACCACATAATTAACATTCAGACATAATTTGGAGAGGATGTGTAGCTGCTAGATATCTTTGTAATTAAAGGGCTTTGTCATGTTGAATCTCTTTACTGTTTACTTCTATGGAGACCACATTTCCCTATAGAGAACTTGCCTCCAACATTCTTCCTGTCAGCCTGGAGGTCCGGCTGGAGGGATGCCTTGTTGTACCTGATAAAACCGTCTCTTAGACTTTGCACAGCCTAGCATTCACTTGTACCACATACTAATCCTTTCATTGGACACAGCTTGGAGCAGTGCTGTCAAAGAGCTGCCTGTGAGGGGAATGCGGCTGTATACAAAGATACATTCAGAGATATGTACAGTAACACAAACAAGGTACATCTTTGCAGGGAGAGCTCATTTGAAGCTAAATCCAGATGTGTAGGAAAAAGCACCTTATCCATTTGAGCAATTTTCTTTGTAACTGAGATTTCTAAACAGCACTTATTGTAATGCCAATAGTCTTGCACATATTGAACAGCCACACACTTTTGGACATATGTTGTTTTACACATATTATGTCAGTTTCTATGCATTTTATTTGCCACAATTTGGGCAGTTATGTTCTTTTGCAAACTGAATCTCTGAGTATGTTACAGTAATTCAAACTGCCACTAAATTCTGCTTATGAACAAGCACAGATATTTGTCTGTTTAACACATTAACAGCTCAAGTTTCCATTTTTCTAAATACACTGCATGATTTTGTGTTTAGATAGCAGATCAAGTGTAAACTAATAGAACAATGCCACACAATTTAAAACTGACATAACCTCTGAGTTTTCTCTTGCTAACCTTGTTATCTTTTCTACCCCCAGGTCTGTGGAAATACCTGTGCTGTCATCCACACATCTGCTTCATAATGGAACATAGCGGGTTTCAAGCATCAGTTGCAGCCATGTGTCATCATGTAGAAGAAGTAAAGCAGCACAAAGACACACAGGAAGTACAAGCCATACCCTGTGAGTGAGAGTCCATCATGAGTCAGAGAAGATGTCTGCAGTCCTGTCTGGTACTGGATCATCTGGAAAACGGACCAAGCTTCTGACCACTCTGTGCACTTACAAAATGTATAACTCTGGAAATGACCTAATTCAGGCAGAATGAGCTCATAGTGATAAGCGATTCGCCGCCACACTGTTGATGGAAAAGATTAGCACATGGGCTCATATTGTGACCCGAAGGTGTGACATTACATGAGGCTTTGGAGTACTTTCATGTTAGAGGCAGAGATGTTGCGCCGTGGACTGCTAGCCTGGGTGTCTCGTGTAGGGGGCATCCTGGTGCTGCTCTGCTGTTCACTGTCACTCCTGTACGTGATGACCTGCAGCCCACCCCACTCTGATGACCCTCCCATGAGTCATGCTCTGCCCAGGGCGGCACACAGCCTCACAAGCATGGGGGGCACTCGACCAGGCGTAAGGACAGGGACTGGAGGGACTGGGGTTGTGGGAGCAGTACCCCCACAGAGTGGTGGTCCAGTAGTTGTGCAGTCTTATCAAGCACTTCTCACAGAACGAGAGGAGCAGCATCGATTTCACATCTCTTCTTTGAAAAAGCAGATAGCCCAACTGAAAGAGGCATTGCAGGAGCGCAGTCAGCAGCTCAAAGGGGTGCAGGAGAGTCTGAAGAAGGGACTAACAGAGGGGCAGGAGGTTGGGGCCAGGTCAAATGGAGGAGGAGAGGGACAGGGGGCAAAGAGTCAGCAGACAGACATTCAGGAGTTTCTCAAAAGCCAGCTGTCCAAGGCGGAGGTGAGCAGTGGGAGCAGGTTCCCCAGTGAGTATGCAGTGGTGCCCTTTGAGAGCTTTACGCTGCAGAGGGTCTACCAGCTAGAGATGGGTCTGACGCGACACCCAGAGGAGAAGCCAGTCAGGCGGGACAAGAGGGATGAGCTTGTGGAGGTCCTAGAACTGGCTCTACAAAGTTTAAACACACCAGTTCAACAAGAGGGGAAGACACAAAACAACAAAGTGTACACACCCTCAGACTTCATGGAGGGTGAGTAATCACAATATTATATATACTAGGCAAAATATATATACATATAATTTATATATTATATATATATATATATATATATATATATATATATATATATATATATATATATATATATATATATATATATATATATATATATATATATATATATATATATATATATGTTTATAGTAAAATGTTACAAAATAGACTGTATTAATGTTTTGTTGCGTTGAACTACATGAAAGAAGTGCAGTTATTTTGTAATTTATCAGTCATCACTTTGTTGTTGCTCCCCCTGTTTCATATCAGGCTTAGCCACAGGAAATGAACAGCTGATCCTCATTCTCAGTGGGGCATCTCCTACACACTGGCATTTAGGAATGGGTTCATGCGCTCTTTGAAGGTCAGAATCAGATGAGTGAGTTTTCAACATGAGTAATGTTCACCTGGGTCAGAGGATGTGAGTCAAAGGATAGAGCATCTTGCCCCTTAAATGCATGTGTGTGCATTTTTAATACTTCATCATGTGGAGATCCTACTTACATGCACTGCCTTGGTTTACATTTCAAGCTAATGGACGCATCCTGAACATTAAGCTAATGGGATGGTCAAAATGTCACAGGGAGGGTCAAAGGCTCAGGGTTGCAGAGAACGTTTGGGTGTTTGGGTGTCTGTGTTGTTTGGTTGTGTCGAGTCGGGCAGCTGTGGGGGTTGGGTTGGTGGGTGGGTGGAAATGTGGGATTGTTTTTAATCTGTGTAAAGCACTTTGTGTTACATTTTATGAAAAGTGCTTTATAAATAAAGTTTGATTGATTGATTGAAAGGCACTGTATGTAAATTGTTTATGATATTTAGAAAATTTAACCACGTAATATCTTTTGAGGAAATTGGTGCCCATATCACAGGAAGCTGGCTGGTTTAACAGGATTCTCTTATCAGACAAGAAATCTTATTTCTCTTTTCTCATTGTCATCTGACTCGCTCACTCTCACTCTCTCCTATTGTTTTAACAGTCTCCATCTACACTGTCTTAGCAATTAATCTTCCCACTAAGCATTTACTTTGATCGTCCTCTGTGCATAAGTTTAGTGCCATTTCACTAAGTCACCATTAGTTACACTAATATGCAACTCGTTATACCAACAGGAAGTCTGTTGTAGACGAGATGAAAAGCTTTTGTTGATAGTGTTGTCTTTTTTTGCCTCACAGAAGTAGAGTGCATACAGGATGAGTCAGTCAGCCAATTAGATGCACAGAGCACACAGAATATTGCCATAGCTATGACAAAGTGCATAATATGAGTTTAGATTCTAAATCAGATCACAGTGGATTGCAAGGATGGGATACAGGTATGGGAGTCAATACTAAAAGATTATCTGCTCAGGCTTATTTAACATTTGCCTACAGTAATGTTTCAAATAACATAATTAAATTATAATTGCAGTGCATCCATATATACAAAATAGCCTACTTTTACACATTTATAAAAACAGAAGTATGAAACCCACAAAGTGTAATTCTAATGTCTGTTATGTGAAATGTGTAAAGCGTTACTCCTACTTTCCTGACAGATAATGGAGTATCTTTATGTGCAGGTATTACACGCACAGAAAGAGACAAGGGGACACTGTATGAGCTGACTTTCAGAGGAGATGGGGCTCATGAGTTCAGACGCCTGGTGCTGTTCCGACCATTTGGACCTCTCATGAAGGTGAAGAACGAGAGAGTGGATACAATAAACGCTCCCATAAACATCATCGTCCCTCTGTCCCGGCGTGCTGACAAGTTCAAACAGTTCATGCAGAACTTCAGGTTAGAATAACTATATACCTTTAAGCTTATTTGAATGCATGTGTAGGTTATATATCTACTTGGCTGAGCAATGGGAACAAATTATTGTGTATTATTTTCTCTTATTCCTTATCAACACACAAATGCAGACAATATATTTTTGCTGAGCGAGAGTACCAACCTTATTCAGATTAAAATAAGTAAATGAAGACATCAGAGCTGAACCCTGAGCTGTGCACTCTGTCATTACAAGTGTGCAAAAATACTCTTCCTAATGTTGGTGATTTATTGGACTATGGCCCCTGCTGGTGCTGATCACAGCTCTTCTTGTATTTTACATGCTAAATCCTGCTTAGTAGCAGTGTTACTGCCCATTAAAATGGCCTCCTGGGTTGAGCAACAGTAGCTCATATACACTATGGCAAAATGTGGACACACTTGAAAGACTTGGTCTGTCGCTGAGCAATCAGTTTTTACCTTGGCTATATTAAAAGCAGATGCAGAGTGCATCTACTCCACATTGAATAGGCCTTAGGGTTAGTGGTTGATGATATTCAAATGTGTGTCCTCTCTATCAAGGGATTATTTGACCATGAAATTTGAAAATACCAGCAGGCTACTATCTGGTTCAGAGTCATGCATGTCATGTGTACAAGCGCACAAACATATTCCCTTAAGCTTTGTGTTGTGTGGTTCCAAAGTGTCAGTGTTTGGTGAAAGTAGGGAAACATTTTCAGCAGGCATTTGTCACAAGTCATAATAAAGCTCTGAAAAGCCCTTCATGTTTTCAGTGAACCAATGTGTTTCAGTTCAGATGTTTTCAAGAGTTGTTTTATAATGTTTTATGCTAGTTTTTCCGACTTTGAGTTATTCTCGCTTGTAATGTTCTTCACTGTGTGTCTTCAGGGAAGTCTGTGTGCGGCAGGACGGCCGCGTGCATCTGACTGTGGTGTATTTTGGCAACGATCAGATTAATGAAGTCCGTAGCATTCTGGAGAACACATCCAGGTAGGTTTAAGGCAGCATACATCAAATAGATTAAGCCATATGATATTATCCTGTTATAGTTTAGCTTGTATTTTACAGTTGGGGTAAATTTTCAAAAATTTTCCAAATTTGTAAAGATATAGTGTTACTTAATTGAGCCAGTCGCATTGCAGAGATGTATTTACCTCTCGAACAGTGAACTCTGGTTCTCACAGACCAGAGGCATACCTACTGACATGGCATCCTGCTGCCACCATCCATCTCTCCCATGAATAATGGAACAGTTGGAAGTGCTCTGAGGTTATGGCCACCTTCACAGATGATAGAGATAAATGACAGCACACTGAATCATATGACTGACTCATGTGTTGCCATATGTCCACTACAGATTGTCTGATACCTTTGGCGTTACTCTTATCAGACTTGGTGGTTGCTATAGCAATTGTTGTTTTTCTCAGGACCTTTTGTCTGGCTTTGAGTCTGGCTTTTTCCAGTATCACAGAGCATCAGTGTTGGTGTATTTTATGCACTCTCAAATATAAAAATAGAAATATAATTCAAAGTTTAACTTTGACTCTTATTTTGAGTGATGTAAGAATTAAATAAAAACATTTGGAGGGCAAAGTTGATGGTATGCATCTTCACTGCATTAGCATTAGAAATATTGTAGTTTATCCATATAATGGTGTGAATCACATGCAACCAACCCACACACTTGGTTAGGCACTCATGCAAAATTAGCACAGAAGCTGCCTATTTGTTATTGATCAGAAATGTTTAAATGAATTAAACATCTTTGTAAATGATCCAGAATTTAGCCTGGCGCCGCAAAAATTCTCATTAAATATGCTAATCTGATATAGTATCTGTCGAATTTGTGGCTGAGGTTTAATTATAGGTCCATGGGCTGAATTTTGAACATTTTCAGCACAAAGTGAATGTACGATGTTCTGACTTTGAAGGCCAAATTCATGAATTGCTTTTGACATGGACAAAAACACTTTAACTATAAACCTTCATCTGAATTCAGTACTGGCTCTGAGCAGTGACAGCATCATTACCTGTTAGCCTGACTCCTCTGTGGCCATCTTAGAAATGTACTTACTTGTGAGGCTTTATTTTGGTTTACAAACACATCAAGTTACTGGAAAATCACATTAAATGAAGTCATAAACCTCTATTTCATCTCGCCTGATTTTAGCTTTAAGCATAGAAACCAGCATGACACTCAGAGCACCCATTTAAGATCACCACAAATTATCTTAATAGTTTAATTGTAGATGATGTGAGTTAGAGTTAATTAACCTTTGTTCACTCAGTCCTGTATTTTTGTTAATAACAGTCACACCCGTGTACCAGTTAAAATTAAAATCTGGTATGGTCCTTTCAGATTAGACAAATTTTCTTTGTCCCATAGATTTTGTCATAACCATATATGGTTGGATTAATGTATGTTATCTATACCTCTTGAGGAAGGCTTGAAGAGTCAATATTACCTTGATGTGTCTAGCCTCTTCTCAACAACTTTAGGTCAATATTGATTCCATTCATAGTGAGCTAAGCATATACTGAATTCTGTGTTTTAAGATGTCTGTATGGATTTAAGCATCTTAAAATTTTGAAATGACTAACGACAGTTTCCAATGACAATATCTAATACAGAAACTAAATGGCATGTAGCCAATACTTGTATGTTTAAAATAAGAACTTTTGACTGTATCACTTACACAGCCTTACTTCATAGCACCAGCACTACCCCTTTGGGATTGGTGTACATTTCTGAGCTCAGAGCATACAACAAGAGTATCTGTGTAGAAAGATGTCTGTGTAAAGTATGGGATGCTAAGTGTTTAAATGTGTACCAATCAATACCTATGAAGAATTAATGTGAATGCAAGAAAAAAAAACATGTTGGCTGGGCTGACATGCAAAAATAAGAAGAAAGACAGGTCAGATTCTTGAAGTTGAAAAAGATGTTCTCATTAAACAACAGCGTCACAGCTTCTCTATTCTCTTTCTACCTATGCTGTTGCAGCACTTTCTGACAAGCCTTTCATGTAATCATAGCTTTCATTTCAGCTCACAGACAGGTCGACATCCTCTATAAGAGCATATAAAGGTGGATATTATCAAACAAACAGAGCCTTTATATAAAAGGAAAGGATGACAATTAGATTTATGTTTCTCCTTTTTGAATTTCGAAAGGTGTATGAACTATAGTCATTGCTGCGTTGTTAGAGAAAAAGAGGTATAAGAGCTGAAAATGTTGAGGTTATATGAGAATTATAAATATGGATAGAAATAACCAGTTTTCTTTTTTTTTTTACAATAAACAATAAAAGGGAAAATACAATTATATTCAATCAGTCAGAAAGTGAGATAATCCCCTGCAAACCTAGTCCACCATTTACAGTGGCAGGTGTTGTAATGGTGGCACAAAAAAGAGTCTGAACTGCCCTTTATGAGGGCAGCTCCCATTAGTAAGATCTTAAATGTCTCTCGCTGTGGGACTGCTTGAGTTTAATGCCAGCACAGGAGTTTGTTACAGAGGATGCATAATAAATTTATAAAGTTGTACAGATTTTGAGAATACATCTTTTAGAAAATACAGATTTGTGATAGTTTTGAATGAAAATATAGCATAAGTTGGAGGTTGCCAATTTGCTCAATTCCTCTCAATACCTGCTTGTCCCAATCTCATCTGACCTCGGAAGCTAACAAGGCAGAGCTTGATTACTACTTGGATGGAAGACAACTGGGAATAGCAGGTGCCGCTGTGAGGAAGAAATAGCTGTAGTGGAAATGTTGTGGTCGTAAACATTTCATTTGCATTACCTAGTATGAATGTGGTGTGAGTGTTGGTGGTCAGAGGGGGTGGTGATGACAGTCTCACTCCAGGGTAGCTGCGGCTACAATAGGAGTTTATACTATGTGTGAAATGAATAATCCTATTTTGAATGCATTGGGTGTCTTGAAAGGCTCTATATAATTCCAATATATGATTATTTCATTATTAAAGACAACAGTTCTTGTCAGATTGTATATTGTTTACATAAAAAATAATACAGTACTGATTCAGGGAGAAACCCAGCTTTGCACAGTGGGAGAAAAGCCTCGAGCAGAACTAAAAGGATCAGGTTGTCACTGTTATGATGCTACTTGACTGCACTGCATTGCCTCATGCTTATGATGACACAGTTTCCTATGTGTTCACACCTACAATGTGGCCGCTAATGCGCTTAGAGTAAACAAATGCACTTATTTTGAGACTCTTTGCTGGCGCTAGTGGCAGCAAACAGGAAAATCTAATAATAATAACTGAAGATTAAGTGATGGATGGAATGTGCTGCCATGATTATTGAAATAGCTAAGGCTCTCTTTGTGCAGTTACTGGATGCTAAATTAGTTTTGTGTTCTTATGGAAGCATAGTCAGTTATATTTGCTAGTAAATAAGATGAGTAATCAGGAAAATAGTGCAGCTGTAAAGTCTACTGAATAATTTATGAATGCTATCCTCAAATATGCACACAGACATTTTCACAGTGGGGAGTTCTAGTTACATTTTATATGTTTATTAACATGCTGAGATGTGATGAGACCCCATGCTTTTTTAAGTATATTAACTTTTGCTTACATGTAACATTTTGTGGTCTTAAAGCCAACATTGTGTATTTAGTTGGTGTTAGTGTTGACAATTTGGGAGACAAAAATGCGTTAATGTGCAGATTGTGCGCCATCTGTGGTCAGTTGAGTGCCAGTGGGTGGATCCAGCTCTCTGGGGAGTCCTATTTGTATTTATAAACTGCTCACTAAATAGTTGTAGCTTTTCTTATAGTTAGAAAAAACATTAAGCAAGTACGCATTAAACTGGTTTACATGTGGGTGCCTGTAATCTCAAGCAGTATTTTGCATATTTGAAAATAGAAAAGCAAAACAATAGTCTTTCCAAAGCAGTTCAAGTGGTTAAATGCATACCAATCACACAGGGAATAATTTAATCTGCCTCGAAGCTAAGAACAGGCTAACCGTGTTTCCGGGCTCATCCTTCCTGTAACAAAGCCCTCTTGGTATGTCTGTTCTTGCCCACCTTTGTCTAGCAGTTTCCATTCTAGCACTCACACCACAATAACAATGGAGGCTTCATCTTGTTTGCTGTGTCCTAGATGCAGCTTCTCTCAGGGTGTTATATCTGAAATATGTGTGTGTTGGTGTGGGTAGGCATTAGTCAGAGTAAGTTGTTATGGTTAAACTAGAAGCCACAGCTGTGTACATCTGGACACAGATGTTTCTCTTTACTTTTGGTGCGACCCAGAATGACTTGGGAAGAAAGGGTCTTGTTGTTCTGTCTGCTCTATTTGCTCTCTATCCCTGGGAGTTAAACATGTCTCCTCCTTATCAATAATGTGTTTTACTTTGGCTCAAGGGATCTTCTGTACACATACTAATCTTAATTTAGTAATCTTTGACGGCTCTCTTGGTACAGTGTGTTGTGCATATCCAGGACATGTACAGGTCAGGTTTTGAGCCTTGAACCCAGCAATTGTCATGTTTTCCCCATGCTCTCCCTTGTCACTTCCTCTCATTAGTGTAAAGTGTAAAGTGTAAAGCGACTTTGCAAGAAAATAATAACCAGAAATAACCCAAATGCATTATTTTTTATTTTTCCTGACAGGGAAGTAAGCTTTAAGAACTACACACTGCTGCACCTCAATGAGGAGTTTTCCAGAGGAAGAGGACTAGACTTTGGGGCCCGAGCCTGGAAAGGAGGCAATGTCCTGCTGTTCTTCTGTGATGTAGACATCTATTTCACTGCTGACTTCCTCAACACCTGCAGACTCAACACACAGCCTGGTATTCTGAACATACAGAGCAACATATTGGACATAAAGTGGTAAAAAAAAAAAAAAAAAAAAAGGTCATTGCTATATGATCACTTAATGTGTTGTGTCTTCAGGTAAAAAGGTCTTCTACCCAGTGTTGTTCAGTCAGTACAACCCCGCTCTCATCTACGGAAGCACTGAACATGTCCCACCTGTCGAGCAACAGCTGGTAACACAAATAAAATCTCTTTGAGTCTCACCTTTAAAGTGAATGTTATAACCTGCATTTTGCTTTAAGCTATTTCCCAGTTCATGTGCTAGATAGATGCAAAACTGCACTAAAACCTTTCCAATTGAAAGTGCAAGTGCAAAGCCCATTCATAGTTACTTTGGGCTTCTTTTTTAGGTGAGCAGACAACTTAGGTGAATTTCAAGGTTGATGGTTCCCACCTAGTCACTAATACCAGTGCTGTGTTCTTGCCCGAGCATGAATGAGTGTGTGAGTGAATGTTTTACTATAGTTGGAGATGCTATTATTTGTTATTACCTATTATTTGTTACTATTTATTTTGCAGGTTATAAAGAAAGATACAGGCTTCTGGAGAGACTTTGGCTTTGGCATGACTTGTCAATACAGATCTGACTTCATCAGCATAGGTAAACAGGAAGATATTAACTGACAATGAAGGTAGACACTATTGCAAGAGTGTAACAACTCAGGGAGCATTTCTGTAGTAGCAGCCATGTGTTTATTTTATCACTGAGTAATTCATAGTTTTGGTCACTCCATAACAAATCCATGCACAAACTATTCATCACAAATGAAGGCATATAGTGGTTATAATTATTATTTTTTAGCTAGGATACAGTGTTTCATTTTGGGGACCTTACATTCACATAAAATAAACAATGAATGTCATTCCTCTGTATTCTTATTTAAATCTGACTTGGGGAAAGGATTTAAATAAGATGCAGTTCAAGTCCCAGACAGACAAAACAAAAAAAAAGCATCAATAACAAAGGCAAGTGTGAGGTGTACGCAAAACTTGACAGGTTGTTCATGCATGAAGTTTCAAGCTTGAACATGCCTGCTCCTATTGTGCTTGCTTACATACCATTAGTCCACATCATGGCAAAACAACTCAGGATTAGCAGGAAACAAAAACCTGATTAAGATCACATACTACACTTTCATTGCATTTTTAAAAGAAATTAAGGAATATTGCTGGAAAACTCTGTTTGCACACCAACAAACTGTACACTAACTGGTCACCTTAATCGGAACACCCATGCATTTGGTTGAAAACTGATAAATATTCTGTGACATTTGTATTATATATCTTATTTGCATTGCTAACAACACGTATAAAACTAAATTTTACAACTTTGCTACAGAGTGACTTAGACTTACTTGGACACAGTAGCTCACACATCACAATATACTAAAATGACAACAAGAAAAAATACAAATGGTAATAAATTCTAAATAATTAGGAAAATAGCAAGAGACTGGTGTCAAATAAGGCATAATTATATAAATGTATATGTATGAATAAAAGTAAATAATATTAAAATAAGTAATGAAAATATTTCAGCAATATAAAAAAGGTCATAAGGCAGTAGGGGTAATACATTACAGATGCAGATTTATAAATGAAATCTTTACAACAAATGTTTGACATTTTTGTAACTGAAAAGTGGCTGAATTATTTAGACCAGTTGCGTACAGTACATCAGTCCAATGCGTATAAATATTGCTGTTCTTTCAGGGGGCTTTGACATCGATATCAAAGGGTGGGGAGGAGAGGATGTCCACCTGTACAGAAAGTACCTCCATAGTAACCTGCTGGTGGTGCGTGCTCCGTCACGTGGACTGTTCCATCTGTGGCATGAGAAGCACTGCACTGATGAGTTGCCCCCAGACCAGTACCGTATGTGCATGCAGTCCAAGGCCATGAATGAAGCCTCGCACGGACAGCTAGGCATGCTCTTCTTCAGGCATGAGATTGAAGCCCACCTCCGTAAACAAAACCAGCAACAGAGCCCCAAAAAATCATGAAGACCTCCATCACTACTAAATTTGTAATTTTATTAACTATTTCCAACAAGAGTATGCTGTCACCTAAAAACATTGTTACACAATACCATGCTCTCATATTTTACACCCCAAAAATGTATAATGCTACAAATAACACAGAGCCCACGTTCTGTGTATCTCAAGAACTGAGCTATATTGTGGCTTCTGGTGACCAACAGTGCCACCCAGTGGACTGAAACGTGGCATGCAGCACCTCTTGTTTATTGTTCTGTATTTATGTTTCTACATTTTGTTTGTATGTTTTATTTCACTGGAAAGTGTTACATAATGGTGGTTGATGTGACTACTATTTGTATATTTTCTAAAGGTAGGAAACTAGTTAGAATGTAATTTGTTTTTGTTTTATAGCTATTTGTTATATTTCTGTTTCATTGTTACTTGTATATCTACATCTCTAACAAAACACACACATCCAGCTCATTGGCTATAAAAGGCTATATAAGATAATGTTTTTGAAATGTGCAATAACAAAAAAATGAATTTCGTGAATAAGTGTACAAGCACTTCAGACTAGACAGAGACAAAAATATTGTTTTAGAGCCTAGAATAACCAAAGACATTAAAAGTGGCACTTTCTTTGCTATATTTGATTATCATGAAGTAGACTGTACTGTATTTTATTTCAAGTAAGAGTTGAATAAAATGCTGACCTATGTACATATTTTATCTGAAAACATAGGCTTATAACTTTTAACTTATGACTTTTAAACTAGTGAATGTATAGGCTACTTTTTTTTTTTTTCCCCCAGAAGGTAAAAAGTTCCACTTTTACCTTCTGTCTTGTTGTAGAACACAATGACATTTTAACCTGAAACCGTATCTTCTGAGCATAGCATAGCATTTTACTGAAAATAGGTTACATTAATTTTCATTAAAGACTAGGTCAAAATCTATAGGCGTAAACTCAACACTAGATGGAGCCACAGTACATTTGAAATATGATAAAAATGTTGATAAACGTGTTGAGATACAGTTAATGGTGGTGACCGTGCAGTTTGGTGATATTTCAACAGCTAAATGTTGTCGATAATTTCGACTTTTCGAAATGTATAAAACAAATATTGTATAATTACACTTTGCAATGCATTAATGTGAAATTTACACCAGTGTTCGGCCAGCATAGACCAACGTAACAACGCAATGTACTCAATTGTTTGATATACACATCTCGTATTTTTGCAGTCATTAAATTATTAAGAGACATTTTTATCCAAACAAATGTTTGCTGGCCAATTCAATACTACACTTTCCTGTGCGTACTGAATGCACCATGGGCTGACTGGTTCGTCTATTTTTTTCCGTCGACGTTGAGCTTAAGCAGAAAACACGCCTCTCTCCGACTCTGGATCTACGGGGTATTGTCAGAGACAGGTGACACTGTGGTTAAGTACGGTTGTTAGTGCGAAACTATATTTTGGATAACATTTACTGCCTTAATAATGATACGAATCCTGTGGAGGCGTGGACAGTGCCTCATATCAACACCACATCAAGCAACTGAACGCAGTCTTCGGCGCTTTTAGCGGTGCGTAACAACTGTTTTTAAGGGCGTCGACGCTTTTCGTGAACTCTCTCTCCTGGTTCACATAGACTATAGTCTATTCGGAAAGAGAAGTTGAAGAGGAGCTGTCCTGTCCCTGTCCTGTCCCCAGGAGCATCCGTTCACCCGCGAGGGCCGCACTAGAGCGCACCGTGACTCTCCCGCACCGCAGCCAACATGTTCGAGACGAGGGGGATCCCCTTTGTGCTTTTAGATCTAGTCTGTCTGGTCTTGGGTACGTTGGACACATTACGTTTTAGATGTTGTTTTGATTCTCTTGGTTTAATATGAAATGCAAGGCCTTTTCAGTATCCCATCACCTGAAGGTTGACTGCCTCAAGCAATGTAATAAGATGGACGGGAAAACAACAACAACAATAATCACCAGATAGACCCATATACCCAGTTAACCTCGTAATGTATAATAGCGTTTGCTACATGCTACAGTTTCATAGACACAGGCCTATTCCATTCAGCTCTTTCTTCTAAAGCTGGATTGGCTTTTTTTATTAGGCTACCTGTTCTAACCAGTCATAAAAACCCCAGAGGAAGTTGCTGTGTATATACCATTGTGTCACTGAATGTGACCAGTATTTTTGTTGTGAGCAGTTGTAGTGAAGACTGAAGTGTTATGGTGCAGGTTAGTAGCCAAATTGTCCTGAGTTCCAATGTAACAAAACAGAGTGTGTCTGCTCTGTGCTGGTGTCTGATGTCTAACCAGCTGTTGCCGACTGTCAAAGTGGCACAACTGACACCTCGGCCAGTTACTACAGCAGTATTGAGACAGTATACCACATTATCACAAGAAAGAATAAATGGTAGTGTTGTTTAGATTACTATGACTGGTGTGTAGATGTGTGTCTTAATCTTTTGCAATGTTTCTCCTTCAATGGACCTAATAGGCCAAAAGATAGTAGAAATTACAACACTAATGCACTCAGACTTTGGCCTGTCAAAACAATTACTGTCTCTTATCAGTGATTTATCTAAAGACTTCTCTATGTTCAGAGTGCTGATCACATGATGACAGCTTTTAAGCCTTCCCTATGGAAACACATTAATAAAAGGAAAGAAATCTGTGAACCTGCTGAGCTATTTATGTGAACTTAACCTTTCTTTGGTGCAGCCATATATTCTTTAACAAATCTCTTTCTTTACTTTTAATGTCTCCACTTACAGGGGGTCTGCCTTTGGCAGCCTTTAACCTGGGTAAAGTCCGTCCATACCAAAGAGGCTTTTTCTGTAATGATGACAGCATTATGTACCCATTTCATGACAGCACTGTCACCTCCACAGTGCTCTACTCTGTGGGCTTCACTCTGCCCATTAGCTGTGTAAGTAGGGCTTTGTAGAAGCAAAAGTCATTAATATAGTGCACTGACCTGTGGAACAATCTCCACCTGTCTGCCAACAATGCATTGTCATTTTTAGACTTGACATTACTGGAAACTGTATCAGAGAATCAGAATCAGAGAATGTCAGGAGCTGACAGAAATCTCAAAATTTCAAATTTCAAAATTTTCAGGCTGTTGTCATTTTTCATATTGCCATCAAATGAACCATATACAGACATGGACAAAATTGTTGTTACCCCTCTGGTAAAGAAAGAAAAAATCAACAATTTTCACTGAAATTACTTGAAACTAAGAAGCAATAATAAATAAAACTTTCCTGAAAAATAGCCAATGAAAATCAGACACTTCTTTTGAATTGTTGTTCAACAGAATTATTGAAAAAAAAAAAAAAAAAACTAATGAAACTGGCCTGGACAAAAATGATGGTACCCCTAGAAAAGATTGTAAGTAACTGAACAGTAGGGACATGTTAAACTTAGGTGTGTCCTCTAATCTGCATCACAGGTGTCTTCAAACTTGTCCTCAGTCACTCTGTTTAAAGGTTGACATGTGTCATTGTCCTGTTTGGAGACATGATGGATACAACACTGAACATGGACCAGAGAAAGAGAAGAAGAGAACTGTGTCAGGAGATGAGAAAGAAAATCATAGACAAGCAGGTTAAAGATATAGGCCATAAGACCGTCTCCAAGCAGCGTGATGTTCCTGTGATTACAGTTGCACATGTTATTCAGAAGTTTAAGGTCCACGGGACTGTAGCCAACCTCCGTGGTTGATGACAAATTAAAGAGATGGGTCATACGAATTGAACCAAAGAGCTCAGAACAACCTCCAAATTAAATGTGAACTTGAAGGGCCAGGTACATCAGTGTCAGATTGCACCATCCGTCACTGTTTGAGCCAAAGTGGACTTCATGGAAGGACACCACTGTTGAGAGCAAATCATAAAAAAGTGAGACTGGAATTTTCCACGATGCATACTGACAAGCCACAAAGCTTCTGGGAGAAGGTCCTTTGGGCAGATGAGGCAAAACTGGAGCTCTTTGGTAAAACACATCAGCTCTATGTTCAAAGACGCAAAAATGAAACACACCAAGAAAAGAACACTGTCCCTACTGTGAAGCATGGAGGAGGCTTGGTTATGTTCTGGCGCTGTTTTGCTGCATCTGGCACAGGGTGTCTTGAATCTGTGCGAGGTACAATGAAATCTCTAAACTGTCATTTTATTTTGGAATGAAATGTGTTGCCTAGTATCAGAAAGCTTGGTCTCAGTCGTAGGTCATGGGTCTTCCAACAGGATAATGACCCAAAATACACAGCTAAAAACACCCAGGCATGGCAAAGAACAAAACATTGGACTGTTCTGGAGTGCCTTCTGTGAGCCCAGATCTCAATTCTATTGAACATCTATGAAATGACATGCTGTCTGGAGAAGGCACCCTTCAAACCTGAGACAACTAGAGCAATTTGCTCTCGTGGAGTGGTTCAAAATACCAGTTGACCAAAGCAGAAGTCTCATTCACAGTTACAGAAACCGTTTGATTGCAGAGTTTGCCTCAAAATTTGTGCAACAAAATATTACATTAAGGGTACCATCATTTTTGTCCAAGCCAGTTTCATTATTTTGTTTTTTCTAATAATTCTGTTTAACCACAGGTGAAAAGCAATGTTTGATTTTCATTGAACAAATTTCAGTAAACTTTTATTTCTTATTGCTTTTTATCAGTTTCAAGTTATTTCGGTGATGATTGTTGATTTTACTTTCATTGCCAGAGGGGTACCAACAATTTTGTCCATGACTGTATATCCTAGTTGATCAGACTCTATGCTCTCTATGGTTTAAAACACATGTCCATTTTGATTTTCCTGTCTGTTATCTTTAATGAAGAATCCCTATGTTTAGCTGCCATAATGTGTCATTTCTCTTTTAACTGATGTAAATTTACTTAGGTTATTGTTTATTTAGGTGCTTTCTTTAATAACTAATACCACTGAGGATTTCCCTTTTTGGCATAAAAATGCATTTGGCTAATTGTGCACCGACTAATACTTATCTGCTGCTGCTGCAAAACTCTGCTGCCTTGAAAGGATCCACCTATGTGACCTTTAACATGACTCTGACCATTGCATGGTGTTAATGGGTTAAAGGTAAATGCTTTTGTAACCTGTCTTTTGCTTTTTGTCTCCTATTGCTTGTCTGCTAGCTGGACTTCCATTTGCAATACTCAATTTTCAGCAGCCTTTTCAGCGAGGCTTTTTCTGTAATGATGAGTCAGTCAAGTACCCCTATAAAGAGGACACCATTTCCCATCAGTTATTAGGGGGGCTTATGATTCCTGTTCTAATTATCACTGTAAGTGCCTCTGCTTTTTCTACTGCAAATCAAATTTTGTTTTTGTAGCTCACATCATATCTGTAGAAACAAAACACTATTGGTAAAATAAATGAAAACAAAAATGTCAAGAGCAACATAATATGAAAAAGTTTTAAAGTTCAAACTGCTTCAGATGTGGAAAGAAATACAAAAATAAAGACTTTTGTTCTTGTTTATGCAAATTTAGAACTAGTTGACAAGTGAAAAGTTTTAAAAAGGCTAAAAAGAGAAATATTAAACTATTAACTAAAACAAATTCATACAATTATGGATTGTATATTGAATGTGGACTTTTTCCAGTAATGTCAAGCAGTATTAAAACATTCTGACACTGTTTTATTTAGTATGTGCTGTATCCTGTAGTGGAAATAGTTTTTGTATGAAGTACAGTGCATTATTTTTTTCTCTCTGTTCCTCCCTTGTTACAGATGATCATTGGAGAGTGCCTTTTAGTTTATCACAAGAAACTCCAGTCCAAATCCTCCTTCGGCAGCTATGTTGCATGTATTTACAAAGCTGTTGGGACCTTCCTTTTTGGTGCTGCTATGAGCCAGTCACTGACAGACATAGCCAAATATTCTATTGGTCGTCTCCGGCCACATTTTCTGGACATCTGCCGACCTGACTGGAAACTTATCAACTGCTCTATGGGGGCTTACATTGAAGACTACACCTGCACCGGAGACCCTCAAAAGGTCCAAGAGGGCAGGTGAGAATTTCAGGACAGGACCTCAAAGTACAAGCAGCACAGACAGTTAAAGTATGCTGTATAACTCCTTTCAGTTTCTCCACTGATTTCTTGAATGAATTTGTGATCATTCTGTGTTACAACTCCATTGTCAAATTGCATAGGTACTTAAGCTTTGAGTCTAACTTGAATATGTATAATATATTAATAACATTAGGCACATTGTTCTTAAATCCAGGCTCATAAAATGTGTCCACTGAAAATACAACATCAGATCTCCCTGATGTGTGTTCTGTCAGTGGAATGCAAAGCTTGTTTTGATTTAGACCCCTTTCTCTTATCTGCTCATGGCAGAAGGAAGCCAAATGGGAGGGGAGGAAATCCACTCTCATGTTATGAAGCTGACAAACCCATTGACAAGTGTAATTATAGAAGCACAGACCCACATAGAAACCTCATCTGTGTATGGGATTTATGGTAAATATGGGTAGTTTGTGCACCAGGAGTATTTTTTTTATTAGTGTTTGCTTATTGAAAAGGTTTGAGTCATAAGTACTTTGTGTGTGGTGTCACACACAATTGTAGTATTCTCCATTATCTTTTCTATATTTACAGGGTGCGGCACTCACTGTTAATATTTCCTGAATCCTACCCACCAATACTGACTATTACTTTTAAAGGAGGTCGTTTTTAAGCAGAAGCACAAGCAGAGAGCAGGCCTGTGTAGCCAGCACTGGATCAGCTTACAGTAATATGAGCTCTGATTAGCTAAGATTAAATTTCCTGGAGAACAATACAGCAGAGCAGCCTGACCTATGTTGGGGCGGTAGCTCCAAACATAGCCATAAAATTCATTTAGTTGTTGGGAACTTGGCAGTGCCCAAAATTGCTTGAAATACCAATGAGGTTATTATCTTTTCTTTGCTACAATTTATTAAGCAAGCACTCATAGAAACATATCAGCTTTAGAATACCGTGATTAGTCTTTTGTTTTCATTACTTGGGCCTGATTCTGAATGCAGATTATTTTTATGTTACAGGTTATCCTTTTACTCTGGCCACTCCTCTTTTTCCATGTACTGCATGTTGTTCCTGGCTGTAAGTATTCTAGTCTATCCAGATTTTTACGATTGTGCCTATAAATAATGAAACTTGTGTTTCTTTTCACTTCTACAACAAATAACTTGAGTTTACAATTAATGAATTAGTCATTATATTAATACTTACTACACCGCAGTGTTATCTGAATGTAGTAAGTTGTAGTAAGTAGGTAAGTAAGCCGCTGTGGCACCTGATTTTCCCAGTGGTGCGTTCAGTGGTGCCCTGTTCCTGTAGCTGAGAAAGATACTTCTCTATCTGACTTTGTAGCTATCTATATTATTGCTCCTGAAATATGAAAAGGAAACTGAGGTTTAGATTAACCATTTGTCCTTATGTCCTGTCTAGATGTATCTTAATTTTTAGAATTTACCATTTCTCTTTTGTTATTATAATATATTATGTTGTGTGAGCTACTGTGTCCAAGTAAGTTCAATAGTTCATTAAAGTCTTGATGTTAATTATATAGTAAATTATTCAAACATAAATTACTTAAATTATATTTTGTGTATAATGTTGATGTACATTTATGTGTTTATTACAGCTTTATTTGCAGGCTCGACTTCAGTTTGAGTGGGCACGACTGCTCCGACCTACACTCCAGTTTTTCGTCATAGCAGCGTCTGTTTATACAGGACTGTCCAGGGTATCAGATTATAAACACCACTGGAGTGATGTCCTGACTGGTCTCCTACAGGGGGCGCTCATGGCTATCCTAGTGGTAAGAGAAGGGTGTTGTTTTGACAGCCTTGTTCTGGGGTAACAATTTAACGCTTTAACACATATTTGGAATTTTATGTTGCAGGTCTTTTTTGTCTCAGACTTCTTTAAGCCTGGTTTAGAAAATAACAAAAAACATAAAGACATCCCACACACAACCCTTCAAGAAACAGCAACCAATGGAAATCACTTGGAAAGTCCAAACTAAGATGACGATGATATACCTCTGCTTTGTCCAAGCGCACACCCAAAATTCCTGCTCTCTGGCCTTGAAGTCGTATTTTCTCTTTGCATGGATTACCCAAGACTCAGCTTCTTCATTAGTGACTGAGCTTGCTCGTAGAAGCAGAAGTTGGTAAGGAACACTTATGCAGGATGCAATGCCGATGGCGGAAAGCTTTAACTTATAATTTAGTGTATACTCAACTGCTGCATTTATCTGCATGATCGCACTGAAGGGTAAAACCACTGCTAAGAGCGATCTGACTGTGAATATACAAAAGTACTAGGGCTTGAACTGTTATTCACTTTGGCTTCCTTTTCAAATGCAACTAACCACATTGAGCCACACTGCTTTTTGAATGTACATATGGTCCCCTGAACACGTTTTGGTTGTATTTATTATATTTTACATAACTTTATTCTTCTCATGAGGACCCTGCATACTATACTCAAATATATGCTATGTGTAAATCCAAGTCTTTGATTGTGAGTAAAACTATAATTTGGCTAGTTGGCCAATGTTGATATCAAGCCCCGAGTGTAATTATTATAGCCTTGTTTTTGACGCACAAGTCCACATGCTCATAATGTCTGGATTTAGCCTACACGTATTAAGAGTGTTGCCTTAACTTCAATTGTTGGTTTCAGGTTGTAATGAGATGTGCTGAACCAAGGGTTAAACATGCATAAAAATAATCTATTGTCCTAACTCAATGCTACGTTTCTCCATTACAAGTCTTCAAATAACATAAGTACCTTGTATTAAGACCACTATTACTTGAAAATGATGATTGATAATGACTACAATTAATATGGCTTGGAAAAGGCATATTTCGTCATGAGGTGTCCAGTGTTGCCTTTACAGAATGTAAATTGCTGTCAGAACTTCAGGTGTTTCTTATTAATACCAAGAATGTACATGTAAACAGGCACTTGTATGTAATATGTATGTGTAATCTCACCATACAGACATTTATTGAAATTTTAAATATGTACAACATTTTAACATAAAAAATAAAGCCATCATCCTTTTTAACGAGTGAACATCGAAAAATTGTGTTTGACAATTACTATACATTTATTAAAAACTACAAAATGTGAAGAAAAACAACTTGCAAACTAAGCATTTTACTGGATTAAAGCAAAGATTTTGAACTCAGAAGTTCATCTGGCTTAATTATAGATAAAGACTTGCAGCAAAGACAATGTCTCTTTTGATCTTCGTTATCCCTGGAGAAAACAGAAGATGACATTTCAAACAGGGATGCTAGGATTTGGAATGTTATTGGTCAGTTAAGCTTTGATTTTTTTCCTACCTTCTGCAAATTTGTTTTCCAGTTCTGTGTTGCCAATGGCTTTTGCAGCAGAACACATTTGTCTTAGTACCTCCTCCAAACGGCGCATGCAGCGAATGATGCTTCCTAAAATACACAAGCTTAACATAAGAACACATACATTATTAAAGTAGGCTTTAAAAGCTAAATGAGTTTACCCTCAAAAACATCAGTCATCTTGCAGATCTGTGCAAAGGTCGCCCCATTGGCCCAAGCATACACAACATCCATCAGGTGCGGTTTGAACTGGTTCATGTAGGTCTCCTCATCCACCTCTAGCTTAGCATCAGCAGACACCTTAGCTATACGTTTTGCACACTCCTGTGAAAATAATATGAATGAATACAAATAAACAAAAACAATTTCAATTGCTATCATACCTGCATTTGTCGCAGAGGGGCAGCCAGCTGTTCTGTTAATTTTGGCATCTCACTGGCCTACAATATAATCAAAACATTCAGTAATCCAAAATACATTCCACTTGCAGAAAATGTGTACCATAATAAGCTGAGCTAGTGATTAAACGTAAATACAGTAGTAGCAAGTGCCAGACAAATACTGTAGTGCCTACTGTGCAGTCACTGGATGAGAATGTGCATAGTGCAAGACAGAATTCAGTCTGACCATTCAGTAGAACTAGTAAAACTACTGCACATTAATTTCTATTAATAACAATAACCAGTAATCTGCCAACATGCATGAATTCTACAATAAAATATGAAATGCTCTTTTTCTATTTGCTTGGTTTTCTAATTAGTTTGTGTGTTTACATGCTCATACATTTTCTTGGAATACAAAGCAGGACAACAGCGCAGTGGCTTGTTCCACAGATAGGTCATTGAAAAGTCCGTTGAACACCATCTCAGTCAAAAGGAGCTCATCGGCACTGCAACAAACACAATTTATCTTTTTTTTTTTAAACGCAAGATGGTTTTGTAAATATAAAAAATTGTAAAATTATATAATTGTGTGTGTATACATATATACACACACACACACACATATATATATACACAAATATACATTATATATACATATATATATATATATATATATATATATATATATATATATATAGACAGATAGAGATAGATATAGATATATATACCCTAAACATACCTGCTAATTTCACAAGCGACCCTTCCCTTCATCTCTATGACATCAGAAGGACTGGCAAAACCAAGTCGTCTCAGGACCCTTTTTCTGCACTTAAGCTGGTCCATCTGCAGAACAGTGCGAGCCTTTTTCAACTCTCGCTTGGCCGTCCGAACGTCTGCTGCAATCTAATAATAAAATAAAGTTAATTAATAATACTTCAAGAAAGCTTTAATTGTTTCCTAAAAGTAATTTTTACATGCTTTCTGGTTTTACAAATCTAAGTATTTCAATTAGAGTTGTAAAACCAGAAAGCTTGCCAAAATTACTATACCACTTTCCCACATACACAACAGTACAGAGAAAGGCTGTGCAGTTAATCGTAAATGAATCTCTCTTCATCTATATCTATCTATATTTTTCAAAATCCATTTGCTTCTACACAATTTAACAGCATAAGAATTAAAACAGAGTGGAAGGATAGTGATGGAAGGTGACCAAAGTACTGAGTCAAATACAGTGACCTGATTTGTTAAACAAACTTAGGTGTGGCATGACTATGAACTTCATACTGAATGTCTCCTAAATATGGACAGTTTTTTTCTACAAGGCATCTACAACTGTATCTATTTTGAGCATTTCTGCAGAGGTATTGTATATTACATGTTTACACATGATCTAATCATCAGACGCCACATTCCAGCAGATAATTCTACCTTGTCCTGTGTTTGTGTTGTGGCTTTCTGACATTTTATGACATTAACAATCTGGGGTTGGGTCAAACAAATCTGTCAGTAGTATTAATCTGAAAAGGGCAAAGCACAATGGTACAAAAACAATGTCTCACCAGAGCCTTTTTCTCACACAGAGAGTAGACTGACTCCAGGTTGGGGTCACTGTGTAGTGGGTGGGAGTACATACGGTGCTCAAAAGCCTCCACTTTTTGTATCACTTTCTTTAAAGCAGGGTCCTTAATGCCCATGTCATCTATTGGATCTAGCAAAGGAACACCATCTGGGAAACGCTTCTGGACCTCCTGAAGACAAAATATTGAATGAAATTAGGAAGTCATTTAAAAAGTGTGAATGAACAGTTTGAGCTCTTTCTGCATTATACCTGACCTGTATGGACTTGAGCATAAGTTGCCTGTTGTCAAAAGGCCTTAAATCTTTAGGGATGTAAAGTCGCACAGAGCTGATAGATGTAAGAAGGTGAAGCATCACTGGCACCACCTGAATGACAAAGAGCTGTCAAAACACACCAGACTAATGTTTCACAGTCTATATTTTGTATTGTCCTCACCTGCATCTCCCCGGTCTCACCCTGGGCAGCAGGTTTGGCCGCTTCCGTTGCAGCATCTTTGACGCTGTCCTTACTACAGTGCAGCAAAACTTCCACCACATACAAAGGCTCTGATTCTGCAGTTGACTGAAATTGTGCAGTTTTTATATAAATGACAATAATAGTTACCTTTTGTTTTACATTTGAGTGCTGTATTTACCTTTGTGTTAGATTTCTTGCAGAAGTTAACAACAACTCCCCAACCAAAATCAGCATCTTCATTTTTCACCTGTAAATAAACCAGAAAAAATTTGAAAGTATCCTGTATAAAATGGTTATATTTATAAACCAAGGTGTACTTACTTTGACTAGACGGCCAGGCTGCAAGAAGGGCAGGCAGTATTTAGGTTTATGGATGAACTCTTGGATTTCTTTACCCAATTTGGCCAGCTGTTGTCTGATCTTAAAGTAAGTAACAACGCTCTCTTCATTGGGAATCTCAATGGCATGGTATTGTTCTTCCAGCTTTGTCATTTCTGCAAAATTATCATTTTAATGCAGTCCAATAAAATATCAGCTATACACAACATGCACAAAACAATGTTCCCTTACTTTCGACAACACCAGGCAAAGCTCTGTAGTGTTGGAACTGGTAGAAGGACTTCTCCAGCATGTACTCTGGGTTGATCTCCTCCACACGCAGAAGGTTCAGAACCATGTTATAAGTCAGGTGGAAGGCACTGTTCAAAGGGTCTGCCGAGCCCTAAGAGACGCCATGAAAAGCAATACATAAAATTGTATTAGTAGGCATGGGTTGCAGTTTATATTTTTGTATTGGATATTACACAATCCTCTTAAGCACAGACAAAGCAGTTTTTGTCATTCATGTTACCCAACGAGTCCTTTAAACCTTTACTAAAAACACAAATGTTTTCTTGTAGTAAGTATGCACACACATTTTTGATAAAGCTCTTATGACTGATAACTGGGTGTTGATAGAAAAAGTTTGCACCTTAAGTAGTTGTTTGCCCACAGCTGGACTCATCTTCTCGTCTACCATAAATATAACAATTCCTCTTTCGTCCATTCCTCTTCTTCCAGCGCGACCAGACATCTGGATATATTCTCCTGATGTAATCTAAAGCATGTGACAAAAAGCTTAAGAGTTAGGTTAAGTGGAAAAGGGCTTTTCCCTGACAGCATTCAAGTAATCCATTAACTATCAACAAGTTTATATTATCACTATCTATGACCCTGATCAAAAATGTTTTTTCCACTGAACTTTGAAGACAAAATTTTGGCCTATACCTCTGCACTTGTCACAGTATTAACTGATCATACAAAGACGGGTACAGCAGGGATAGTGAGATTACATAAAAGTGTCTGCGTGGAGCTCTGGCTCTGTCTAAGCCAACAGATGTTCATGATTTACTTCAGGGAAAGTTGAAATCCCTCCTCATATTTTTATAAGTAGCAGCTCCACACAGCCCACAGCATTTGTAAACAATCTGTTTACGTGGCATTTTGTACTGGTGGGCTTTAGGACCTTATAAAGCCCTGAGCAAACTCCAAACACTTTATGCTGCCAGAATGCAACATCAGTGTGACACAAAACAAGCAGATGTTATTGTCACATCTAAACAAAAAGAGATGAAGTTTTAAACTCCAACAGATAGTGAGCTGGTGGTAAAAATACCACTTAGAAAACCAAAAGGCTGCTCAATCATAGCTTCGGCCAAAGCATGATGTTGTTGTGTCCTTGTGTGGAAGATTGAGTTATCGTGAGTGGTGGAGGTTGGAAAGACTGACTAGCTGCAGGAAGACAGCAGTGTGTCCTTCAGTCCACCATCCCATTCAGACTACTGATTAATTGTTAAGATGCAGTGAAAAATAGTGTTCTTACAAAACGATGATTTTTGCCATCAAATTTCCGTGCACTTGTAAACAACACAGTTCGAGCTGGCATGTTGATGCCCATAGCAAACGTTTCTGTGGCAAACAGGGCCTGAGAAGAAAACACACATGTGACATTTTACATTGTCCACAACCAACCCCTTATCTGGTGACTGACTAACACCAGACTAAAATGACCCACACTTCAAACTGAAGTTGTATCAAAACCGTTTGGAGTACAACAAATGGCTGCGCTCTTTGTAAAGGTAAGGCTCTGTAGTTTTGACCTCTGTTTACTCTAATTATAAATGGTAACAAGCTATACACAAAGGACAATTTTATCTGAAATCCTGCCCACATTATTTTTAGTAGTATTTAGTAAACATAAAAATAGGTATAGGGTATAGGTATAGGAATTAACAATACTAATACTAATAATAATAATAGTAATGATGGAAACTAACAGCCTGACAAGGTAGCAAAGTACGTGCCTGTTCTTCATTAACTGTTTTATGAAACTAGCTGAAAGTATAGTCTTTTTCAATTCAAACATATTTACCTTGAGAAGACCTTCAGAAAAAAGGATCTCTATAGTTTCTTTGAGAATAGGCAGCAGTCCACCGTGATGAATTCCAATGCCTCTCTTCAACAGGGGCAGCACATGTTCCACCTATTTAGGAAAAAAAACAAAAATTAAAGCCGCGCTGGTGGCCCTCGCCCCAGCGCGCACGACCCCCCCCCACGCAATCCCAGGGGGACTCGTGACCATCCCAGCGTGCCACTCTCTCTTCCCGGCATCCGTCCAAGCCGACAGCTCGTCCATTAGACACGTTACATAATTCACCTTTAAATATTTTTAGGAGTCATTGTGCCCCTGTTGACCAACCGTGGAAAATGCCCCATGTCCGTAATAGACTTTTTTGATTGTAATCATACATAAAATTTAATTGCCGAATTTGGTACAAATCCACTCACTTTGACATTTCAAGTCTATGCTAGGGGGCGCAATAGTGTTCACTTTTCATATACTTCATAGTGTATTATGTTTAGACCGTGATCACGCATTAGTGATTCAAATTTCAGCACGATCGAACTAAGAATGTCCCTGTAATCATTTAAAAAAAAATTTTGGGGGGATTCTTTGCGCCCCTACTGGCTAACCGTGAAAAATGCATCATGTCCGTAATAGACTTTTTGCTTGTAGTCATGCATAGAATTTAATTCCCGAATTTGTTACAAATCCGATACTGTTTACTTTTCATGTCTATGCTAGGGGGCACTATAGTGTTCACATTTCATATGTTTTATAGTGCATTATATTCAGGCCGTGATCAGGCATTAGTGATTCAAATTTCAGCACGATCAGATTAAACATGGGTATGTAATAATTTTTTTTACTATTTTTTGGGGGACTTTTTGCACCCCCGCTGGCCAACTGTGAAAAATATCCCATGTCCGTAATAGACCGTTTTGCTTGTAATCATGCATAGAATTTTATTCCTAAATTTGGTACTAATCCGATAATGTTGACCTTTCATGTCTACGCTACGGGGCGCTGTAGAGTTCACTTTTATTAGATTTCATATTTCATTACATTCAGGCCTGGATCACACAATTGTGATTTGAATTTGAGCTCTCTAGGCCAATGCCTGTGGCCGTGACAGGTCACTGAAGAAACAGGAAATGAAGGCGTTTTTCACCGGCGTGCTACAGTTCAAACCGTAAGGAGTATCAAAAAACCTTCTGATGCATTTTGTGAGTTTATGTCTGTAGATGTGACATGTCAAATCTGAGCTCATTTGGACCAAACCCCGGGGACTTGAATCTTTTTGTAGACACCCAAGTCAAAACGGTGGTGAATTTTTTTATCCAATATGGCCGACTTTCTGTTCATCATAGGGGTGCACAATGATTGGCTTTTTTGTTTGTCTCCTTAAGTTCTATCACTGTTCCGAATTTCGTGACCCTATGCCAAAATTTGCGTCTGAGCCTCCAATTAATTTCAAAATTTTCAAATTTCAAGGGGGCACTGTTGAGTGGGGGGGCTTTGGGCATTGTCGCGATGCTCACTTTATAAAATTTTTCACCGGACCGGTCGATCTGATACCCTGTTTGGGGACTTTTCGTCGACGTTCAGGGGGTCAAAATCGCGATCGTTTGCAAAGAAAAATAATAATAGAGCTGAAGAAACCAGTGAAGTTACTACGTTACTGCCTCGGGCCAAAAAAAAAAACATTGAGACAACAAATGCAGTATGAGTTAGCAAAAGAGCAACAAAAGATTTTAAAATATGACTGGAAAGCACCCTTTGGCTATAGTTGGTACCTGAGGGAGTTTCTTGTCCTCATCAGACAGACAGTCTATTGCATTATTAAACACTTCCTCCACCAGACGTTTCTCCTCATCTGAAATGAAACAGATTGGGCATACACACACAAGCAATAGAGTTCACACTGTACAGCTTAAAATTAAGAAAAGTCACAGAATTCATTTTGCCCTTCAGCCATATAATATACTATATAATATAACATATAATATATATTTTCTGAGTATAACATTTAAGTGCAAAACAGTTAAACATACCTTTATTAAAGTCCAGCTTTGCTACTTGTAAAGCATAAGCCTCACACTCTTTTTTGCTGAAACTAAAAATGATGACAGGCTGAAAGTTTCTCTCCATGATCATTTTCACTATTTTAAATACGCTGGATGGTCCTAATGAAAATACACATTTATGTCAATTAGATCATTATATACTTAGTGCTGGTAGACTATAGACATGAAAGCAAATGTGAAGACAAACCTTTAGTTCCTCCTTTGCGTCCTCTGGGGTCCCACTTGCCTCCTCCACCACTGCCTGAATCTCCAGCATCACGCAGAACCTGCATTGCTGTGTTAAAATTATCTTCCCTGAAGTCACCCTAAAAGACAGACATTTATCCAAATAAAAAAATTTTCACAGGGGCTTAAAATAAATGTGTACTTCAGTCTCAAACAAGAACAACTAAAACTGACTTACATTCTCATCAACTACAAGGTGGAGCCCATCGCCTCCTGCTGGAAAGACATAATGCTGCAGTGGAGTGGGACGGTAATCAGTATACACTACATGGCATGGCTAAAAATACAAAGGTTTACAGTTACCACATATTTTAATACATTAATAAAGCATGATTTTTTTTTAATCATTTGGGTTATTTACCTGCTTATGTAAGTAGCAAATCCATTCAGCAAACTGTCTGGCATTAGGAATTGTGGCTGACAAGAACACATAATGCACATTGTCTGGTAGAAGAATTATAGTTTCTTCCCACACAACGCCACGTTCTAGGAAACAAACAAAAAATTTACCTTTCCTTAAAAGCACAACTAATTCATAAAGGCAGTAAATATATTTTTTTATACTTTACCTGAATCTCTCATGTAGTGGATCTCATCAAAGACTACCCAAGCAACTTCCCTCATAATCTCAGAACCCCTGTACAACATGCTTCTCAAAATCTACAAATAGAAAAATATTTTAAAAATCAAACATCTTCCTTGGGATGTCTATGACAGTTGAAAGTATCATTTACCTCTGTTGTCATTACAAGACAGGAGGCAGTGGGGTTGATTGTGACGTCACCAGTCATCAATCCTACATCCTGAAATTCTTCATACATTTCTCTGTATTTCTGGTTGGACAAGGCTTTGATGGGACTTGTGAAGATGACCCTCTGTTTTTCTCTAAGCGCTAGTGCAATAGCATACCTATAAAAGGGGACAAGAGTGTATTGAAGTTTAACAGAACCACAGTACTGTACAAGCATATAAAAATACTCACTCAGCACAGACAGTCTTTCCAGCAGAGGTATGAGCAGACACAAGGACAGACTGGTTATTGTCTATACAAAGAATAGCCTCACGTTGGAAGGGGTCAAGTATGAAGGGGTATTCCTGCAAATCAAAACACAAGGACCAAATCAAAACAAGGCAACAAGCTAATGAGCCATTCACAATGCCACCTTACCTTTGCAGCTTTTCCAACTCTAGGCCTTAGGGGCTTATATTCATCACTGGCAGGAAGAGCAACCTGCAAGAACAATAATTACATTTAAGCATTTACACATTTTAAATAAAGTTCAATTCTCCATACCTCATGAGAGCATCCTTCAACAGTCTCAACTTGTTCCACCTTCACCTGAGGCATAAGTTCAGCAAGACTGAAAAGAAAAGAAACGCAAGTTAAATCCAAGCACTGCATATATACACAGTGTAATACATTGATTCAGTAGGTACTTGAGTTCATTGGAAGAAACTGTTTCATGGCGTGGTTTCTTCCCAAACAACACTTCATCTGCGCAGTCACTATCGCCTCCCCTCTTTCCCCTCCCGGACGGACCTGCATCATTTTCTGAACCAAGTTTGTTTGACGATTTTCTGAAAATCAACAGACCATTATATTACAATACAAGAAATACATGATACTTGTTCAAGCGTATCACTGATATTATGTTAGCTGAAAGTTAACAGAGAGAGACACGTGAAGCGTCGGTTTTACGTTAGATTAAGTTAATATTGATATTTCAGACCGTGTAATAGTAAGATGTGGAAATAAGTTACCCGATTTCAGGAGCTGTTGATAAATGAGTCTTTTTGCTGGCATTTGTTTGTTGTTCATCGTCAAACACGCTGAAAAGCCCATCTCCAAAGGCGTCCGCCATGGTGCCAAAAGATTTACCCACAATGCACCTCACTGCAATGTGTCTTCCGCTACGGTAGCCGGGCGGGCCTGAGGTCTATGGTTCTATGGTCTGTCTACCACGAGAGGTTTCTGCTGTTAGCTCCCAGTTTAACGTAGCATCGGTCTGTCATATTTTTCGTATGAATTGTATTTGATATTTGATAGAGAAGTCTCTTCAGGAGGCAGCGCCGTAGGGCCGAATGGGCGGAAAGAAAAAGAAATCAGCGGCGGCAGCTGCTCCAGTGGCTTCCCCTGCAGCAGCAACAACATCCAGGACAGCTCCAGCGACAGAAGAACAGAAAGGCAAGACATCCAGCAGAGCCAGCAAACAAGCCCAGGACAACAAGTCAAAAGGTTTACAGTGTTATCTGAATGCAAACTATAAAGGGTCAAACAAACAACTGTCCATACTGCTCCAGGTTATGATCTTATCTTCAGAGGCCAACTGTAAACAATGCCAAAACAATAAAACATATTACTTTATGTCATGGTTGAAGTTAGCCAGATATAGAACACATGATTTTCCTTTTTCTGCAGCTCCAAAAAACTATAGTCTTGCCAATGTAGCCCAAGTGGACACGGATACCTCTGACAAGTCTATTCTTAAAGTGAGCGTTGTATTATGGTTATTATCACACCCGCACCGTATTTATTCGAGTTGCCAAATGAGATATGTCATATCTTGTCACGACACAGGTTACCATCCAAGGAGACCTTGAGAAGAAAATCATTAGACTGATAAATGACTTTCGGCAGGAGTGTGCAGACAAAGGACCCATATCAGGCAGGCTTACAAGCAAGAAATTATTGGTAAGATTTGTCCAGATTCCTAAGATGACTGTAAGTAATACGTATATTTCAATAAACCTCTCTTATGCATATAGGATCTTTACATAGCCCTGGAAAAATTCAATTTTAAGAGGGAACATATTGAGGAGTCAATGAAGAGCAGTGTACTCTATGGAGGGGATCTCCACTCTGCACTTGATTGGCTTTGCCTCAACCTGAAAGATGGTAGGTGAAAATCTTTCAGTAAGTCCAAGAGACATTGTGCCCATCTATTTTGCTTGTTTTACAGATGAGTTGCCAGGAGGCTTTTGCCAGCAAATGCAGGAAGAGAGTCAAAAGAACAGGCCTAAATTTCAGCTTCCAGTTCAACAGAAACCTTCAACAATTAGTGTTAAAGCACCTCAGAACACAGCTAAAGAAGCCAACGTATGTTTTTGATGGCTACAATGGAAATACTATGTTAGATACTATGTTATATGATGATGAATTTTGATGTCTTGTACTCTTTGGTGTTTATCAGGCTGATGACGAAGCAGCCACTGTGAAAAACTGGATTCTGAGGTATGCAGAACAAAGCTCTGATGATGATGATGATAATGAGGAGGAGGAAGAGGGTGACAAAAGCTTATGTAATCCTGAGCTGGATGAAAAATTTGATCCTGTAAGTGTAACAAGCTGCCATTTGTATGTTTTTATCATTTACAAAATGAAGGGCAATTGTTACTAAGTTAGTTAGAGGCATCTTTGCCATTCCCATCATTCACCACCTTGCCAAATACTTTTCTCTATATATCTCTATTTCACTATTTCTATGTTATGTATGCAGAATGATCGGTATTTGATCCTAACGGCTCAGCTATATGACACCAAAGAAATGGCTGTAGCTGCTAAGACTAAAGGAGACAAGTTGGGACAAAGGACTGCACAAGATAGAATTCGTGTCATACAACAAGGTTTGTATGTCTATCATTAGACTTATGAAGCTTTGTGTTGTAAAAATGGAAATAGTGTTTTTTATTTATTTCTAGAAATGAAGCAGCTTGAAGGCCACCCCATATTTAACCCTGCTATCAAAGTCAGAGATACACCCCAAAAAGAAAGCAAAGCTCATTCGTCCAGTGAAGACAAAGAAGATTTAGGATTTAAATTGTTTGAAAAGGCAGAAAAAGAGCCCCCTACAGAAAAAGGTGTCCCTGTAAATCTATAGCTCTATATTGCTTTTAATAATAAATAATTTAATTTAAATAACAGATCTTGTTGAATGTTTTGCAGTCAAAAAGAATGAGCCAAAAGATATACGCAATTTTGACTACACGGCTCGAAGCTGGACAGGAAAATCTCCTAAGCAATTTCTTATTGATTGGGTCAGAAAGAATCTCCCCAAGAGCCCACCACCTGCTTTTCACAAGGTTGCTGCTGGACGATACTGGAAATGCCGGTATTTATTTCTTCAGCTGTGTGAATGTTGATGGTGATCTCTTATCCTACCACTGTGTGCGCTCTTGTCTTTGTCTTTCTTGTATTTTGAAGTTGACATGAAAAATCACCAAAACTTGTGTGAATTTTGAAATAGATGAAAGATTGTAAGAGTGAATGGTTTATGTGTATGTCTTGGCCTGAACATTGGCCAAAGTTAATGACATTGCTAGTTACCAGAGCAGCTACTCTTAGAATAAAAATAACAAATCTCTAAGAATAAAAGTGTTTTCTTTTATTAGGGTACGAATTCAAAGGCCGGATGACGTACTTGAAGTTTGTCCAACTATTTTGACTGAAGACAGTATGCAGGCACAGCATCTAGCAGCAACACTTGCACTGTACAACTTAGTGAAAGGGCAGGTAATGTTTCAACCCATCTGCAGTATATGTCCTCACCAATTCTACCTTTAATGACACAAACCCATTTTGTTTAGTCAGTGCATCAGCTACTACCTCCAACCTACAGAGATGTCTGGCTAGAGTGGAGAGACAGTGAACGACAGCAGCAGGAGGAGAGTCAAATCGCCGCCAACAAACCCAGAGACCAGTTTATATCACGACTCCTCGCCAAACTCAAACAGCAGCAAAACCAAGGAGCTGCATCACAGGTTCCACTGGCAACGGACAGGGAGGAAGACCAAGAGCCTGAGGAGTCATGGGAAAACTTGGCCGCCTTGGATTTAGAAGATACAGGAGGTTGTCATAAGGGCAAAGGTGGCAAGAATGAAGGAGGAAGGAAAACCACTGCATCATTTGAAGCATCAAAAGAGCTATTTTTAAAGATGAAGAAGTCACCACTGGCACAAAAATTACAGGTAAATATAACCCTTTTAATATCATCTTATTTACTTTAAAGCTGTGGTTCTCAAACTGTGGTACATGTCTTACTAAGGATACAGATGTGTTTGTTTACGTCTTGATAGTCCTATTTTTGATCAGGTACTCGGAAACCCAACTAATTTCTTTGGTGGTACTTATTTGAGAGCCACTGCGCTAAAGCAGTCTTACAGTTGAGATGTTCTTATAGGCAGATCGGGAGCAGCTGCCTGTCTTTCAACACCGGCATCATATCCTGGAGGCATTGCAGCGCTATCCCATAGTGGTGGTTGCTGGAGAAACAGGCAGTGGAAAGAGTACACAGATCCCACAGTTTCTATTGGAGCATATGTTGACTGGGAGTAAAGAGCCACAGCCATGCAGCATAGTGGTAACGCAGCCTCGAAGGATATCTGCTATGAGTCTGGCCTGCAGAGTCAGTGAGGAGCTGGGCTGTGAGGATGGGCCAGGATCTAAGGTAAAAGAACAATTATACACCAAAGCTTTACCATTTGAAATACATTTGAAACAAATTCCCTGAAATTATTTATTGTTTTTAGTCGTCACTTTGTGGATATCAGATCCGAATGGAGAACATGTCTGGAGAGTGGACCCGCCTTCTTTACTGCACTACTGGAGTTTTACTGAGAAAACTTCAGCAGGACAGACTGCTTAGCTCATTGACACACATTATAGTGGATGAGGTATGTTTTAATATGTACTTATATAATGTATCAACAATATTAAAGGAACACTTTGAAAACATCAGATCTCAATGTGAAAAAAATATGATGGATAGATACACAAATATGTATTTGATTATCACTATTGGGAGTATAAGGCCATTCCATAACCCTACAGAAATTGCACAGATTGTCCAACTTCTCCAGATGTGCCATTGCAAGAAGATATAATGTGTCTCTTAGCAATATGGGATAGATTTCAGGAGCCAGGCAGTTACTCTAGGAGAGCTGGACAGGGTCATAAAAGGTTCTCAACCCATCAGCAGAAGCCATATCTGCTCCTTTGTGCAGCAGGAACACTGCCCGTGCCCTACAGAATGACCTCCAGCAGTCCACTGGTCTGAATGTTTCTGGGTTTGGCTTGAGTGCGCCACATCCTATAGTGGGCCCTGTGCTCACCGTCCAGCACCGTGGAGTTTGGCATTTGCTAGACAACACCAGAATTGGCAAGTCCACCGCTGGTGCCTTGTGCTTTTCACAGATGAGAGCAGGTTCACCCTGAGCACCTGTGATAGACCTGAAAGAGTCTGGAGAAGACAAGGAGACTGCTCTGCTGCATGCCACATGGTTCAGCATGAGCAGGTTAGTAGTGGGTCAGTGATGGTCCAAGGAGGCATAGCAATGGAGGGACGCACAGCTCTCTTCCGCCTTGAAAACGGCAGTCTTAGTCATTAGGTATCGGGATGAAATCCTTTAACACATTGTCAGACCCTACGCTGGTACAGTAGCTTCTTCCTGATGCATGACAATGCCCAGCCTCATGTGGCAACAGTTCGCAGGCAATACCTGGAGGATGACGGGATTGATATGATCAATGATCACCTGACTTAAACCTGATAAAACATCTCTGGAACATTATGTTTGGGTCCATCTGATGCTGCCAGGTTGCTCCTCAGTCTCTACAGAAGCTCAGTGATGTCCTTACACAGATCTGGGAGAACATCCCACAAGACACCATCTGTCGTCTCATTATGAGCATGCCAAGGCATTGTCAAACATATACACAAGCACATGGGGGCCACACAAGATTTTGAGAAGCATTTTGAGTTGCAGTAATTAAATTTTGACTAAATGGACTAGCCTGCCACATCATTATTTCATTTTGAATTTAGGTGTGTCTATAAGCCCCTTGAAAAATGTATTTCCATTAACAGAGGTGGCATTCTTTTGTTCCTAAGACTCTCCATATTTGTATAGATATCCAGCATATGTTTTCACATTGAGATCTGATGTGTTTTCAAAGTGTCTCTTAAATTTTTTTGTAGTGTAGTATTTCACAGTTATTTATTTACTGTCCCTGCATTTCCCTGTCACTTGCACAGGTTCATGAGCGCAGTGTTCAATCAGACTTCCTCTTGACAATTCTAAAGGATGTCGTTATGAGGAGATCTGATTTGCAGCTTATTCTTATGAGTGCCACGGTTGACTGTCACAAATTCTCAAGCTATTTTAACCGTTGCCCCGTCATCACAATCCCTGGCAGGACTTTTCCAGTTGAGGTAAGAATGAAATCACAGCTTCTGGTAACATTCTGACACACATTCTGAATTATTATCTAAAAATATTTATGTTAGGTTTTTCACCTAGAAGACATTGTGGAGGAGACGGGATACATTCTTGAAAAGGACTCCGAATACAGTCAAAAAATTCTGGAAGAGGAGGAGGAAGTCAGTATTTCAGTCACTCAAAAAGGGGGAAAGACATTACAGCACCAGGTAAAATTCATGTTGCAGTGAACATAATATGTTTTGTACTTAATGTAACTTTGTGTGTTTGTGTGTTAAGGAAGTGATTATGAAGGACTCCCCTGGCTGGGACCTCGGTCCAGACTTGGATCATTTCAGCAGCAGAACCAAACATGTTCTTCAACACATGAATCCCAATAAAATCAACATGGACTTGCTGATTGACCTTATGGACTATTTAGGTACATCAGATGTCGTGCTTGTTTTAAGTGTAACATATTTATATATCTTTGCTTTAAACTCTTGATTTCCTTTTCTATATAACTCAAGGTAAATCCCCCCAGTTTGCTGAAATAGATGGGGCTGTTCTAGTGTTTCTCCCAGGCATAGCCCACATACAGCAGCTTTATGACCTTCTTTTATCAGACAAGAGATTTGGAGACAAAAACCGGTAATCAAATGAAAATTATAAAATGTGTACAGTAACAACCTCTGAAAATACACATATCCCTCTAATTCTGCTTTTATGATTTTTTTTTTTTTAGGTACAAGATTGTGGCCATTCATTCCACCCTCTCATCCAAGGACCAAGCTGCTGCTTTTACAGTGCCTCCTGCTGGTGTTAGAAAGGTACTGCTGATTGCCTTGGATAAACATGGGCAAAATGTTTGGCAAAACTTCATTGCTTCCTTATTTTAGATTGTGCTGTCAACAAACATTGCAGAGACAGGTGTAACTATTCCAGATGTGGTCTTTGTCATTGACACTGGAAAAACCAAGGAGAACAAGTAAAATGCCTTATACAGACTAAGAATAATTATTTCATTATAATTTGAATTTCATAATGAGACTACTAATACATAGTCTTTGTTTAGATATCACGAGAGCAGTCAAATGAGTTCTCTAGTTGAAACATTTGTATCCAAAGCCAGCGCCCTCCAGAGGCAGGGCAGAGCAGGTCGTGTTCGGAATGGTTTTTGCTTCAGAGTCTATCCAAAATACAGGTATTAGCTACAGCATGTCAAATATACTGTACATAATGAACATTGTTAATCATAATCATAATCAAAACACTGTTATGGAGTTATTTTTGCTTTAGGTTCCAAAGCTTCATGGATTATTCAATACCAGAAATACTTCGGGTCCCGCTGGAGGAGCTCTGTCTGCATATTATGGTACACTAGTTACTACTAAGTATTAAAATTCAAGCTTGAAATCTACTGTTCGTCAAACTTGTGTTCTATTTTCTATATTTTCTATTACCTCTCCTGTGTTTCCCTCTAAAGAAATGTCAGTACGGTTCTCCAGAGGACTTCTTGGGGCGAGCTCTGGACCCTCCTCAGCCTCAGTCAGTTAATAATGCTGTTAATTTGCTGAGGAAGATAGGGGCGTGTCTCCCCAACAGTCATGTGCTCACTCCCCTGGGACACCACCTTGCTAGTCTGCCTGTGAATGTCAAGATTGGGAAAATGCTTATCTATGGAGCAATTCTTGGCTGCCTAGAGCCAATTGTAAGTTTCATTTGAATATTCGTTTGCATGGTGAAGATGTACCTCTTAAAAACAATTGTGGATTTCTTTTTAGGCCACCATTGCTGCAGCCATTACAGAAAAGTCTCCATTCTCTACACCGATAAACAGGAAAGAAGAAGCTAACCTGGCAAAGGCTGCACTTTCATTGGCCAACTCCGACCACTTAACTCTATACAATGCTTACCTTGGGTAGTGCTTTAGTTTTTCTACATTTCTCACAGGAAGTGAATGTGTATGTGAATGGGTTTCACTTTGTAACTTTTGCTTTCTTGTAGCTGAAAATACATAGTTACAACATCAGATAGATAAAATTATATTTTAAATAAGGAGAGAGTTAAAATGTAAATACAACTTGGGCGGCATAACTTGCCTTGCCTTGGTCTGAGCATGAAAAAGCTCACCTCACATTTGACAAACACCCGTGTGCCTCTTAAAAATATCTATGTGCTAACTGTGTAATTTACTGATGAGTGTTGTGGGTGTTCCCCAGCTCATCTCGCAAAGCTGCTTAAACTAGCACTTTACACTTAAATTGTCAGTTTCTCAATTTTATGAGATGCAAGGAGGAGTTTTGTTGTTTTTTTTTTTAAAGTTATTAATAAACAAGGCTTTTTGTTTTAGGTGGAAAAACTCACAAAAGGAGGGGTACAAAGCAGAAATGTCCTACTGTAGAAAGCACTTCCTCAATCGCACAGCCCTGATTACACTAGAGGTAGCTCCCATTTCTACTTTCACTATGGAAAAAGGCACTTGTGTTAAGGTAATTCATTTTTTTTCCAGAATGTGAAGCTTGAGCTAATGAAGATGATGGAGCAAGCTGGTTTTTGGTCATCTCGTTACTCTTCTCGCTTCAAACTTCATGCAGGCACTTTGTCTAAAGCCCAGATTTCTATCCTCAATGCGGCTCTTACAGCTGGTCTGTACGACAGTGTGGCCAAGGTTTTGTGCATGCCATCGGTGGATGTGCTGGAGCGTGTAGCTTGCACTGTGGAAACTCCACAAGGAAAGGCCCAAGTCCATCCATCATCTGTCAACCGAAATCTACAGACACATGGATGGCTGCTTTACCAGGAAAAGGTATATGCAAAATTTTTACGCAAATATTGATCCTAAAATATCATATCACACTGGATATATTTACATGGCCTGAAATAATCAGATAACCCAACAATTAGATCTAGTGTGTTAACATACATAAAATTTATGTGATAAAACACCTGGTGGTGATGAGTCCATTCGTGGATGAATTTTTAGAGGAACTATTTTATTTGGAAGTCAACGTGCAATACTTTTTAAATAACTCAATCTTTAGCATTTCCTCTTTCGCCTCTGTTTGTGCTACATTATTTTCACCTTTTTGCATATTTTCCCTGTCATTTCAATAGTCCTATAACTCGAGATTTGTTGTGTGCATGTAAACAGAGCCACTGACTTATTTCTGGTTCTTTGTTCTGGTTCATCTAATCAGCTCTAAAATGCTAAATTCCTTCCTTTTTTTGTTTTAAGGTCAAATACACAAAGATCTATCTGAGGGACACAAGTCTGATATCTCCCTTCCCAATGCTGCTGTTTGGAGGTGATATAGATATTCAGCACAGAGAAAGACTGATTACACTGGATGGATGGATGCATTTCCAGGTCAGAGGTCAAACAGTTGACAATATCAGAGAGTACTGATCCATATACACTGATTTTGATTATTCTCTGGTTATTAGGCTCCTGTGCGGATTGGCGTAATTTTTAAGCAATTGAGACGACTACTTGATGCTGTGCTTGAGAAAAAGATGGAGAATCCAAAATTGAATTTGGAAGGTAAATACAAATGTGACTTGTTTTACTTACAAATGTGGTTATTTAAATTACTTTGTTGTTGTACTACAGATGAGACGGCCATCCAGGTGCTTTTGGAGTTGATCAAATCAGAGCATGCACAGTGATTTCTGGAAAATTATTTGTTCATACCAGCAATAATCTTGATATTCATAACACTTAACATTTTAAAGGAATGTAGAAAGACAGCATAATGATGAGTGAACTATTTAAAATAAATTAGTTTTATCAGGTTTATTGGTGTAAATAGTACATTTTGTCAAACTGTTGATTGTTGAATGGATTATTTTGGGTGTCTTCAGAAATCAGGAAATTCACACAAAGCAAAAGGATTTTAAGTTACAGTGACATGAAAATGGCTCTACGGACATACATAACACTAGAACCCAACTATGCCCACAACCCTGAGATTAAGACAGTCCTGATCAAAATCTTAAAACCAGGTAAATATTTCTAGCATTTCTATTTCTATATTTTTGCATGTTTCAAAATGATAGATTTATGTTAGGATTATCTTCTTAGAACAATTTAGTTAATCTATATCAATCAAATGGGTAGGTAAAGACATACTAATGCATAGCACCTCCTGAACTGTACTATAGACTTCTTCAGGACAATAACATAGTAACATAGTAACAGTGTTATTTTGGCAATGCTGCTCACTGTACATCAAAAACATGTAGGGGATGGATGGGAAAGTTTTACAAAAATGAGAAGTTGCAGACTGCAGAAGAACTTCATGCAGTATATGGGAAGCACTTTCTTAATTTAAGTTTTTTAATTAAATAAAAATATTTGCCTGATTCAAATTGTTGCAATTGATCTATCATTCCTTTTGCATTTGCCTTGGTCTTGAGATTTTGAGAACTGCACTATGCTGTGCATTACACAAAAAACAAATGGTATGAGATGCACTGCTCTTTCAGTCACACACAAAGTTGATTTTTACACATTTGAAGCTGCTACACTAGTGTCTGACCACACTGTACTCTGTATCTTGCACAGTTGAATAGATTGGTCCGCCTGTAACAGACAAAAGACTGACGTCAATACTTTTACAGCGGCTTTAAAAAAAAAAAAAAAAAACTGTACTTGGACATACCACTGGGACTTCCTGGAACTGGGAGCGCCTCTCTCCTTTAAATATATAATCATATTTAAAAAAAACAACAAAAAACAGAGATCAATAGCTTGTTTCAGTTACATTAAGTCACTACCTATTGACTGGTGGAGGCATTTGAGGAGCAAGAGGTGTTGCAAGTGAAGCTCTCTGACCACTATAGAAATTTTCATACACAAGTGCACCTGAGAAGAGGATTCACATTATTAGCAAACTAGAAACTAAAGAAAAACAAAACAACAGCCAGGTGTTTCTAAAATTCCGTCATACCTGGTGGCTTGTCTCCAGTTCGCCTAAGATTTACAAAGTGATCGATATCTTCCTGAATGTTGCATTGTTCCAAAGACTTCCTAACTTCCTCATACAGCTGTAAACACGAAGGCAATATAAAATGTAATATTTAACTGAACAAATACTTAGTAGTTATAATTACCTCATCACTGGTAACACACTGCTGTGATAATAGGTTTAAATGTGTCCATACTGTGTTTCTGACAAAGTTTATTCTTTCTATAGCCTGCTTCTCAAGTATCTGTGGAACAAAATGCTCAATTATAATTAAGGTAATGTAAGTAAAAAACACAAATTATATAACTAAAAAGAAATTTGTAAAATAAAAATATTACTATTTCTAAATGTGATATTAGTGAACCTAGAAAAGTATGGTAACATTATCTTACTGATAAAAAATAATCTACTGCTATCACATTATTTCTAATACATTTAGCTGTGCAAAGTACAAACACTGCAATAAAACAAACTTTACCTCACATGCATTCATATGTTCCTTCAGCCACTCATCTCTAATATTTCCCAGCGTGGAGACATTCTGCTGGTATGACCTGTCTGGTTAATAACAATAATGTAATCGACAATCATATGGTATAAAGAGTTACATCTCTTTTTAGTAATAAATGTACCAGCTTCTTCTGAGTTCAGTTTGGCCTGCTGCGCTTTTGCATTAAACTTAAACAACAAGTTAGTCAAACCAGCAATACAGGTTAATAGCATACAAATAAGTATGAAAGGAGTGAAAGTGTTAAAACGAGTTGACACTACCTTCTCGATGTTCTTGGAGTTGTTGGTGTTTCGATACACATTCTGATCTGCCTCTTCTTTATCTCTGCATTTTTGCTCATATGTTTTTTTTGACTATACAGGACATGCAATTTTTAAAAAGTTACTGATATTACTGTCATTCACAAACATATCCCTTCTATATAAAAAGAATAATATACACATGCCCATTGCTCATTAAGTACTTTTACTAAGAATTTTAATTACAGGATATGTAACCATGTTTCTGCCCTATATATTACAGTATAATTGGCTGAAAACATGTTTAATAGCTTGCATTCACTTAATAGAATTTGATAATGTGATCATTCCTGGTAGACAGCAGGGGCCTACATAACTCTATGGGTAAATGATCCACAAATGTTGGCCTTATTGTTCATTAGGGACTGGCTTTACAAACTTGCCTATGATGCTATCAGTGGTACTGCTGGCAACAAAATACAGGAGCTTATATAGTTGTATCAGATGCTTGTCCTGCTACTTACATCCAGTGTTTTCTTGAACTGTGACACCTTCTGTTTGTGAAGAGCATCCATGTGTTGTTCTATCTGTAAGAACATGAGTAGAAATTTTAGCAAGAACCTTAACACTATTGTATTGAGCACTGTCAGTGTCACCTTTTTTCTGGCTTCCTTTTGTCTTTCTCTAAATTCCTCCAGTTTTTTTACCTCCTCTCTCATGCTCTGTGCCAGCTGCAAATGAGCAAGACTGACATTTTCCATTTCTGCAAGATCAAATTATCCATAACGATTAATCACTTAATCATTTACATGTTACTAAATACAAGAAAAGGGAAGTAAAGATAAAAGTGAAACTTACGCAATTTAAAAATGTCCAAGGACCTTTTTAAAGTGCTTAAAGAGACAAATAAAAAATATATATATACAAATTATAGTCCATTTCCTCAGTGCAATGTTGTGTTATTTATCTTAACAGTATACGGTGCCCCCCTACTCAGTTAACAATTTGCCATCTTCCTCTTCCTTCTTTAAAGGCTAGCACATGCAAACTGAATATGCCCTAAAACAACTCAGACCTTGTGACTGTTGACACAAAAGGAACTAAACTTCATACTATAAACATATATAGAACTCTTTATAATTCATATGAATATGCTGAATGGCTTATTCAACAAACAATGATTGCATTGTCAGGACTGAAAGACGACAATATGATGCAATAAAAGAAACAACCACATTAAAAACATACTTACTTCATTTCACTGTGACCACACACTTTCTTTGACAAACCAAGTAGGTCTTTAGCGTATTTCTCTTCAATTCCCGCTCTGAAAGGAAACAATTCTGTATTTGCATTTACAGATAACACATGATAACATCTTTAAATTTGGGAATGAATCCTGTCAATAATTTAACCATATGATTTTTTGTTTTTATCTAATCTGAACAAAGGTCAAGTAGCTGTTCAAAAGGTAATTTAAGACTAAAGGAATGTAGCAGTTTGTTAGTTTACAAATACATCTTAGGTGAAAATAAGGCTGTATACATTTCTTACCTGGCTTTCAGAAAGTCTTCCACCTCTTTACAAGTTCTTTTCCCCTCATTGTGATATTGAATAATGGCATCATATCCTGCTGTGCTGGTTAAATCGTTGTTCTTTAGCACGTGAGAAAATAAACTGTTAATTACACCAGTCTGTGTTCTCCAAAACCCATATTTCTGCTTGTGTTGAATTATTATACTCATCACATGGTGATGAAGGTCAAATAGATGTTTTGACTTGCCACTCTCCATAATTTTGGTAAGCCCAAATACAATCAAGTCTAAATGTGATGTCTAATCTTCTCCTGTTATTAGGCTCAATTTAAAGACGTAAAAAGCAAAATAAGATGAAAAGCAATAACGAAAAGAAACAGAAGAAGACAGATAGGGCTCAGCAACAGGTTTCAGTAGGCTGCATTCATAAATTCAATAGAGATGAGTTATAGACATACCAAGAATAAATAAAACTCACCCAGAAATTATCCTTAAAATGAAGGTGTTTCATATCTGCGAGTATAAGCTCGAGACTCCGCCTGTTACTGGCTCGAGAGTGGCCCTGCTACCCCAGCACTTCTGTAAAGTCTGCTGCCCGGCAGCCTCTCAGTGCGTGCGTAGGCTTACTGCTGGGCTGACCAAAGAACAAATAGTGGTTCACACATCCATGCATGCACGCTCACTTACATCACAAATACACACACACACGTGCGCGCGAGCGCGCACACGCACGCGCACACACGCACACACAAAGTGAAGCTGCAATTTAGAAAAGGCTAATTGTGCTGCCATCTAGTGGCAATTAACGAGCATTTTTATAGACCTTTTATCGACAAAGAAACCTTTATCCTTGAGATGAACGCCACTGCCAATTTAAAATATATTTATGAGTTGCCAAAGTACTGTAAAACTACAATATCAAGAAGTATACGTGAGTATGTATACATAAGTAGAACATTCCAGGCAAATGAATAACATGAAAGCAAGTCAGGAAGTGTACAGCAACAACACAGGACAACTTACAGGAGCGCATAGAAGGATTTCCTCAGCTCTATTGTATATATGTATATATGTATATGTGTGTGTGTGTGTGCGTGCGTATATATATATGTATGTATATATATATGTATGTATGTATATGTGTTATATATATATGTGTGTGTGTGTGTGTATATGTGTATATATATATATATATATATATATATATATATATATATATATATATATATATATATATATATATATATATATATATATATATATATAATATATATTATATATATATATATATATATATATATATATATATATATATAATCAGCTTGTAAACATGTGTCTAAGGAAACTTGGAAACTCTGTACTTTAGGCCTTTGCATGGATTGTGCGTTGGTGGTTATATCATCACTGAAATAGGTTCAGATGAAAACAAGCACTTTTTACGTCAATTCTAGTTATCTTATCACAACTAGATTAAAACAAGGCACATGTTAAGATCAGTGTATTGTTGTTGTATAGAGGACCTGTTTTACAGCATTATTTTCTTTGGCATGAAAAATAATGAGTCATGAGCTCAAACTTTACCACAAGAATGAAATGTCAATTTGTTTCCTTGTTTCTCAACCTACTTATTTAAGGAGTGTAGCTCTGAAAATGTTGGCCCAGGTGTGAACATACCACAGTCGTTTGTAAGCCTTTACCTAGAACTAGTTTATGTTTGTGTCAACATTTGAAGTGTTAGGGTTAATTAATTAATTAATTAATTAATTAGTTAATTATTATGAAATCCAAAATGTTGTTGGCTTTTGGATAGGTCTATAATAACAGATTGTTAAAAGTTACTGCTTTTATATAACAGCTACTCTTGGCAAAATAAGAGCAAAAGGTACCACAAACAGGGCACTAAAGTGGGAGGAACTTGGCTTTGACTTCAGGGGATTCCTCATGCTGCTGCGTCACAGCTGTTATTTAAGATCACCTGCTCACAATAGTTCAGACTACTCTTTTTTTCTGATCACAACCATTGAGCAACCGTTGAGAAAGAGAATACAGTTTGGATTATTGACTTTCTTAATAGAGATATTCTATCATGAAAATGCCTGGCTGTGGTAAGTGTTAATCTTGAGTTTGTAAGAGATAACTCGTATAAATTAGGTGTCTAATCATAACTAATTTTGTTGTCAGATTTGCCAGCCACCATTGTGCAATGTGCACTTGAGCTTCGTGAAGTTGGAGACAGACTTTACTGGAAATACAAACTTGTAGAACTTTTACTCTACTACAACAATGTGACTCATATCAAATGAACTATCATGGACACCGTGAGGGGAAAAAAAAAAAAGCCAAGTGGCCTAAAAAATACCACTGAAAGGCACAATGGACGGGCCTGGTTCAAATCTGGACTCTGTACTGGTGCCGGTATGAAGGAGCTCCAGCAGAAGCCTGAGGACAGATCCTAGAGGATGTAAGCAGCCAGAGAACTACTCGTGTTTCCTGGGAGACAAGATTTAAAATGCTGAAGTCACCAAAAACATGGAAATGGAAACTAAGAGGAAGTTGGCTGAAGAAACCTATTTTATCAGAATCAATAGGATTAAACAAAATAGTTTAATATGTTGCTGAATTACATGTGGAGAATAATAAAAGATTGGCGATTATTGAAAATATGCCAGATGCGTATTCAAAATTTATTTTGCAGTGTATAGTTGACAGGGTGATTTTGGTGTACTTTACCTTCTTGCATTAATATAGTATTTGTTTATATTTGGTGGACTCCTTGATTCAGTCCTGGTTTAATTAAGTTACAATAAAACCCCTGAATTACTTCTGGTAATAAACAACATTATGCTAATGATTGGTTAGTTTTGTTTTGTGTCGTGCATATAACAGAATAGATTAGACATACTAATTTCACTATTCACTACTCATATTTAACATAATTACAGTTAAGAATTAACAAAAGTTTAGAGGGTTTAAACAGTCAGAAAAATGTGTTCCTTGCATGTCAATTGTCCCTGCATTTTGAATGGAATTTTCAGTGTTAATGACAAAGGTACAAATATTCAATTTTAGAACTCATCAACTTTTTACCACAAACTGCCCCTGCCACAACTGATGAAAAACAAACAATGCTAAATATTTATCACAGGTACTATCCCACCAAATCAAGAAAAATTTGAAAAAGATTAAAATCTGTCACATGCACTTCTGTGCTTACAGAAAGAAAACACAACCACAGCAACTGTGCAGAATTCAGGCACTTAAAGGATCCTTACTTTATTTTCTGTGATAATATAAAAGCATACAGAATTATAGAGGATAGAGAAGAAGATCCCTTTCATTGAATTTCATTAGATCGTACACATAAAATGACTAATAATTACATACAAGCCTCTTCTCTTTCGCTACATACGCTCTCTGTACCTCAGCCCTCAACCAAAAGCATGCATGCCTCTTGCTGTAAACAGACGGCAACAATTTTTAATTTTTTGTAGAAAAATACAGAACTTAATTATGTCATAAATTGTGATGTGCTATCATCCATTACACTCTCACTGTCAAGCCAAATGAGTCGAAGTACTTTTGAATAAGATTTTATGTTGCAATGACCTGCTCAGAGTCATTGAGGGAACTTTTTCAGTCTTGCAGCTTCATTTGGGGTCCAAGTAACCCTAAACACTCAAAACAACAGTAACACAAGCCTTAAGAACTAAATTTTGACATTAAAAACATAACTAGTAATTGAAAGCGGAAAAGTCTGAAAGACTAGTTTATAATCTTGATTTCCCTCTATATGCTTTTAGCATCTTACAGAGGTGTATGCAAGAAGGCTGTACTATGAAAAGATTTGTTCATGTAAATTAGAAAATGTAAATATATACTGCCTGGTGACTTGACACCAAGGTCATTAATTAAGCATAGTGTTACATTTGGACAGTACTGGTTTGTGTCACTTATGATGGCCATTTCATTTTAATAGTCCACAAGGTTACCCGTTTGCCTGAATGAATAATCTCATTAAGATACCATATCCACTATAGAAGAAGTGAAAGACCGCTGGTGCATCTTTAAATAGGTCATAGATGCATGCACATTTTGAAACTCTCAAAGGTCTGAATACTAACATTTTTAACCATGGCAGTTGACAGTAAACCTTTTAATCTCATTTTTGGTGAACTGCCTGACATATAAATATATCTTTACTACTGACTTAGCAGACTGCTTACTGTGCAAAATAGTCAACAAATTAAGCTCAAGCACTGAGTTGCTAAAAAAAAAAAGATTAAAAAGAAAAACAAGTAACATTATGCAAGTTTGAAAAAAACTGAAAATTAAAATGGGTTAAATTTGAGGTTCACTTTCATTTTGGTCATACTGGTGTGACTCCATGTCCAATCAGCTGGTAAAAAAAAAATCAGTTATAAAGGATAAAGCATTTATCAGTCTGCTGCTGATAAACTAAAATGAGAAAGAAAAGATATTACATCAGTTGTATCTGCTGTATATCAAAAGTGACTAGCATGGACTCATACACAATATGGAATGGAGAAATGGAAACAGAGGAGCTGCAACAGCGCACATAACAGGCATTTAACTTTATCCTTTCATAGACTTTGGGAAAGAAGAACGCAGTGTGCAGGAGTGTGGACAGACACCATTTTGAGGGAGATACAATGTTTCCTTGGTATTAAAGGGAAACTTGGCCCCATGTAAATCTTCATATTCACCAGGACCGCTGCTGATACAGCCTTTTGTCTTTGTCATTAAAAGGCTCATCAGTCGTGTTGATTTGATGTCTGAAGCATATCCAGCCTCAGAGTGAAAAGATGTTGTGTCTATCGCGGTGTAAAGCAGCCAGTCACTGGTCTTTTCATAAACAAACCAATTGTTACTTGGTGTAGCCCACCACCAATCAGATTACACTGGGTTAGCATGGACTACCACCCTAATATCATCCAGAATAGATGTATAAACAGGCTCCCCAACCAAAAATAGATTGTCTTATTAAGTGAAGTCTGTCTCATTGAATGAAAGTCCTTCAACCAATTAAATATAAGAGACCATATTCTGATCTTCCAGTTCTCCAGAAGAACATTTTTCATTTAGTGAATGCAGCCACCACAGCCCACATCAGTTCGTTGGCACTGGGCTTGGTACTCTCCTTCTCGGGCTCCAGCTCTAGCAGTGAGTGCACTCTCTTCATGGCCAGGTCGTACTGGTCGTCTTGGAGAGGGGCGAAGGCATTCTCCAGGACATCAGAGGAGTGGGCCAGGAGGATCAGAGCCAGAACACGCTTGTCCATCCGATGTGGGTCATTCACCCACTTCTCCAAGACAGAATCTTGAACTTTCTTCACAAGGCGCTGAGAGGCAGCAATAGAAAATGTTATTTAAAAAAAATTCAAGAAATGCAACAGAGATGCATAAATTCTGAAGCCCTACTCTTGTTTTGGTTAGCACCCTACTTTTGAGAAGCATTAGCTTTGAGTATGCAACTCTGTTTTTAAACTATCTTTCAAATATTTTAATATGAATTATAAAACCCTCAGTGGCAATACAGCTATATACATCAAATGGCATGAGACTGGAAACTTTCCATGCTAATTTATCTGTTTGCTGTTTTTCAGTCAGTCCGTTTAGCTTATAAAAGAATCGGCTATGCAGGATCTTAAATTCCGGTTTTGAACAGAAGAATGTAACAGGGCATCTAAATTATTCCAATGATATAATACAGATTTACATGGCATCATACCTGTTTAATTGTACTGTTAGTCAGAGGGTGTGTAGTCATGTCAAAAAGAAGAAAATTCTGTTTCTCTGTGGTTAAAACGCCCTTTTCCACAAGGTTCTTTGCTAGACGTTCTCTCACATTTCGAAGCTGGTAGTGCAGCTTCAATGGATTCCAGGTCTCTCCTGTAGAATACACATAGGAAATGCCATAAACTTTAACAATCACCTGTAATTGTGTACCTAAAAGTATGACCACGTAATCTCACCACTGAGCAACTCTATCCAGCTCTGCACAGTCTCTGGAGGTTGAGTGTCTTTTATGTGCTTCAAAGCCTCATCTAGAAGCACATCTCCTGTTGGAGCATCTGATTTACAGATTACCTAATGAACAAAAGCAATAACTAGGATTACAGGTTTGGTCACAACATTACAAAAGCAGGCAATCATTTAGTTTCTATTGAATAACTGGTCCAGCAAAATACGGTGGTGTATATTTTCGCTTGAGACAGGAGAGGCTAGACGCTATTCTTTTAAAATATAGTGACATGAATCTCACCTTTCTGGAGAGCAAGCCTTTTCGCCTCACCCCGCAGGCCTCCAGCTGTAGCCGGCCTCTCAGGGCCAGTTCAACCAGCATACAACCCCTGAGGCCGGAGGAAATACAGTCGTTCCAGAAAGACGTGTAGCCCTGCAAAGAGGAAAAAAACACCAAGGTACAGCCTGTTAGCTTAGCTGACGTGTAGGAGAGGCAGACCTGCCTTACTTCCAGGTTGAACAGGAGTTGACGTTGCTCCTGGCCATTTGTCAAGTAAACTCTTACTGTTAAGAAGTTTGTGTCTGTCGTGTCATTTGGGAAAGTAATGTTTATTTTTCCCAAAGGTCATTCAGTGTTGGAACGTAAAAAACTAAACAGTGTAACATAAAAAAGTGCTCAACATTTTAGTACTTTGCCACTGAGCTGAACTACAGCGGAGAGCGCAGACAACATATTTACAACATCAGGTGACAATTACAATTCCAGGTTTGAATAATCGAACATTATTAGTTTAGTAATTAGTTAATGCTTTCCTTACACAGCTAAGTTAGCTAAATAACATGGCACTGACTGGAACAGTGTGTATTATTTAACACAGGTCTCACCTCTCGGTCCTTGAGGCCCAGCAGCAGCACTTCCTCCATCAGTGTGAGTCTGGTTTCCTTGGAGTCTCCCTTGTCGTCGTCTTCGTCGCCGCGGCGGGCCTCCTCCTCCTCGCCGCCGGAATCCTTCTCTTTCTCGGCCGCAGCGCTGCGAATGGCCTCGGTCCTCCGCTGGACGAGGCCCGAGGGCCTTTGCGAGAGAGAAGTCATCGCTCGCGTTGTTGTCAAACGATCAGATCCGGAGTAATGCGTCTACCTTGACCAAACAGAAAGCGACACAGCATGTAGTTAAGCTGATTGTTAACGGTGAGATTTGTGAAACAGTGACCGATCGGATAAAGACGGCCGTTAACGCTAAGCTCGACTCGGCATTCCGTCTCTGCCCACTTCCTGATCAAACATGGAGGCTCTCAAACTGTGACGTCCAATGTTGACGGAGCCCTGAACGTACCTGCTGCGTTCAGGACTCGTAGGTAATAATATGGTAGTATACATATACATTACAAAAATGTGGTCAACAACACCCACAGAATAAAAATATAATAAAAACAGTTCCACCATGCAGCCCATTTTAACCCTCTGAGACCCACAGTTGCAGAATTGCAACATTTACTTAGAGCTGTCTAGTAATGCCTCACATTGACTGAATGTAACAAAAAGTGCATATACCAGCACCCAACACTCTGTATTACATTATATTACACTTTTGGAGGGAAAATATGAATATTGGAGTGAATATGACATTCCAAAGTCAAACGACAGGGCTGTCTTCTACTGACCACCCAGCTCTCTTTTCTGGATAAATTTTAACAATTGTAGAAGTAAGTAAACAATCTGTGATTTTTTTTCTTTCATTCTTAACATGTTTAGTGTTAGAAAAGTTAAATATATTTTTTTAAAAGTATACTACATATGATTTAGAGTGATTTAAGTAAATGTTGCAAAAACGCAACACTGGGTTACAAAGGGTGCCCTTTTTACACAGAGAATCCCTCACCCCTGAGTGTTGAGCCAATAGAATGTGTGTGTGTTTATAGTTGTGTACTATATAAAATTGTATAATTTTGAAATAGAATCAGAGAACAGTGATAGTGAGAACTGTTTCCAGTGCTGTTTTCATCCTTCCACATTGTGGATAACCACAGTGTTACAGAAACAAGATCAACTTTGGAAGATTTGGCTATGGTTGAAGTCCTTCAGGGAGAAGTTTCTACAAATAGTGCTAGAAAATCATAATGAATACATTTTTATTTATTTACTATTATTTATTAATTAATTAATCATTGCATTGCATTTATATAGTGCCTTTCAAGATACCCAAAGTGCTTTACAGTTCATTATTCATTCACTCCATACTCAGTGGTGGTAAACTACTACTGTAGCCACAGCTGCCCTGGAGGCTGCCAATCGGTGCCACCTGCCTGTCTGACCTCCACTGCACACACCACTTTCATACTAGGCAATGTGGGTGAAGTGTCTTGCCTAAGGACACAACGATGGGGTTTTTGCAACTGGCGCCCCACTGTGGCACCTGGAATTCACAGTGGTCTCCCATCCAAGTACTAATCAGGCCCGGCCATTCTTAGCTTCTGAGATCCGACGAGATCAGGCTTTGACAAGTCAGGATGGCCAAAACTAACTCCATTGATGAAATGATGATTCCTTTCAAGGGAAGGTTCAGTGGAATCAGGCAATATATGCGTTGTAATCCCCATTCCTGGGGCTTTAAGATCTGGGCAAGAACAGGAATCTCCGGCATACTCTGTGACTTCGATGTGAACCAAGGTAGTGTGCAGGGTAAGCCTGCTAGGTCTAGCACCAGACCATGGCCTAATCTTCCAAACTTTGTCTTGCTTCTGTTCATCCCTAACACTGAGGTTGTCCACAAAGTGGATGGATGAAAGCAAAGCACTGGAAAAGGGTACAAGGCATCACATCAGCTATGGGGCCATGCCGTGTACTTAGTGCTGTTCTGTATAAAATAAAATAAAAATGTTTTTTTGTTTTGTTTTGTTTTTTTCAATTAAATTTATTCATTTTAAAATATGTTTTAATTTTATTGAGTGAGCAATAACTAATACAAAGTTGGCTTTTATTAAATGTGAAGTTTGTAATATTTGTAACCACTAAAACCCAATGTTGCAATTTTGCAACATTTCCACAGATTCCTCAAAAAAAAGAAGAAAAGAAAAAACTAATTATTTTCTGTATTAGAGGCTTAGTACAAACATGTTAAACAATGTTAATTTTTTTTTCATCCAGGAAATTAATGCTTGGGTCTCAGAGGGTTAAAATCCCCCGCCTATCCCATTGATCTATAAGGCCATATGGTGCCCTGTATGAATATGGTGGGAGGTCCGACACCTCCTAGTCACCATGGAGGTGTTATAACATTAAACACTTCTATCTCCAGGCAGGGAAGCAGGTGTTTAACCATTTCGATGAAATGTGGAGCAACTTGCTCACACTGAAAAATAATTTTAAGGTATTTTGTAATTTTAAGGTAATTGTTAAAAAAAAATAAAAAATTATAAAAAATAAATAAATGAAACATAGATATGTTTAATGCCATACTGTGGAACATTCTAGCATGACCACAAGCAGTTGGTGGACAATAAGAACCCCTCACTAGAAAAGTTACATATTAAATTGCTCTCGTTTCTCCCCTTGTAAATGCAATAAAAACTATGACCACATGGTGGCAAGCAAAGCAAAGCATTAACTTGAATCAGCAAGTCAATGCTTTGCTTTTTTTTTTTTTTTTTTTTTTTTTTGTACAGGTAAAATAGAAACAGAGACAATTACAATAATAAGTTAAATTATTGTCATCTTTAACTAATTGCTATTGCTTCGCCCTCACACCCCAAACCCACCTAAAATATTTCAAAGCATCTGGAAGGTTGAACCTCAGACTGTGGGACCATACTGTTGCCCAGGTCCAGACCTGGGGGGGAGATACCCCACTATATGTCAACTCATTAAGAATTTGTCTGATTAATAAATTCCATTTTGAGATGATGAATAAGGTACATTTAAATTATATTAACCCAATAAATAAAAATAAAATAAATAAATATATTATTTATGATAACATAACAGAAAATGCCTCTCAAAGCACTTTTAAGCATATCTTTGTAGATGACTCTGAAATGAGTTATCTGTGATTTCAAATGACATTATGTCATAACATTTTGTCTTCTGATTTCTGCTCACTGATCCAGGACCTCTGGTTCAGACATACATTGTATCTCAGAAGATGGCAAATGTTTGACCCTTTACTCCCTCATACAGAAATGTGAACACTCTGTATCACATGCAACCCTTTAAAGGGGCAGATCGACACCTATTGAACTAAAATAAATAAGGTCTACAAATGACTGAAGTGTCTCTCTTGACACCAAACACCAAAAACTGCTCAGAAAGGACAGGTTATTGCATAGGAATTAGCCTATGTTTGCTTCCAGATGCTAGTAATAAAATAAATATGATAATATAGATAATATAGATGTCTCATCTGCAATTGCTAAGGCAGGAGTACAAGTATCAAAAACTTAAAAAACACACACACACAAACCCCACCTTTTTCAACTACTTTTCTGACTATACTTACATGTTATACTCCCTTTCTACTTCTTTCTCATAGATTTCTACAGGAAATGTTTAACAATGGAACTTTGCCTAAGGTTCAAACAGCTGTATGCATGGACACACCAACACACACATTAAAGGCAAAAAAAAAAAAAAAAAAAAAAGCATCTTGTATTGTTTGAGTTCTGAAAATACTAGGCTGAATGTAGATAAACATTGTTCATCAAGGACCCCATTGAAGATTTTACATAAACTGGAGACTTGAGAACTGAGTGAAAACTCGTTTATTTGCCAAGACGAGCTGCTGTGTAAGTAAAGTCTGCTCATGCAGTGCTTAGTAATCCTCACCAGATGATTTCATGTGCTACTTTGAGGCTGGTCAAAGGTTATAGCCCTACTCAGCCTGTGCTCCAAAACAGGAGAGCTCAGGTTTGTAATGCAAATGCAAAGTGTACACAATCAGGCAATTTAAAAACCTTGTGATCCTAATCATTATCTAGTTACTTGCTCAATGGGGTGGACTATGGGAAGGTTATATACACACACACTGAATCTCCCACTGAGGGGCTACATTTTCAGTTCTGTGTCTGGTATATTTTAATCTTCTGCCCATAAATAAAACTGGCCACTAAAACTACTGAATGAGATCAGGAATTGAAATTTCTAACATTTATAACAAGTAACATGATAATAAGTGCGTATACACATGAATATTGACACAGCTAAAGATTCTCTTAACATGTTTGGCTCAAATGTCATGTGATCACAATTCCTGGACTGCTCTGTTGAAAAGGAGTCATGTTTCAGTGTATGTATGTTTTTGTGCTTTGTAATTTATGCAACTTGTACTGGCTCACCAGTCCAGGCAATGGCTGCTTCAAAGTTGAAAATGTATCCATGTGTACACTATGCATCTATGTATCTATGTGTAAACACTAAAATGATCAAAACAAGTCTGGTGAAGGTGATATTAAAACATGAAAGTGTACCTCCACCAAGCAAAGTGTTAAGAGGGAAATTGGGAAATTGACATATAGACACAGATAACATCTCCCTCATCTCCAAAGAGATCATCTTGTGTGAACTGTGCTGCTGTCTCAGATGTTCTGGTAAGAAATGACTGAGGCTGGATACGATATCCTCTAATCACAATAAATGTATTTTGTGCCAAGGGCTGATGTCACATTCATTTACACACATTACAAGTCACACTGACTTCACATTTCAGGCTGTGATAGTTCAGATTTTGAAGAAGTTCAAGAATGTATTGTGAAACTTTTTAGCAAAGACCAAGGTGAAAAATGTGTGAATTTGCATAACACATTTGTTTTGCATGATTAAAAGCTGCACTTCTACTGTTATATGCAACAATGTGCCAAAATCTGCAGTTATCTAACTCTAACTCCAATGGTGATCTGAGCTCTTGAGTGTATGCCAGTCTGCTATAGAAGTGGCTGTAACTGAAGCTCAGAATCCATGTTGACAGAGTCAAAGGGTCAGGACCCTGTCAGGGTCCTGTGCGGAGTGAAGGGAAGTTAGAAGTCTCATCAGCATGACTAAAAGGTGAGCATGCCCAAAGAGCACAAGTGGAGAATGTCCATCTGTCACATTGTTTGCTCCTCTTGTAAATATACCCACCTCACAAAGCATACTTTTTAGCCACTTTTAGGCTTTTTTTTCTCTGTACAAAAAGCATGAATATGATGGAGAGACAATCATCAGAGGTAAGAATGTAAGACATTACCATTTGGCCTGCTGGTCTGCGAATTATTACAGAAAGGACATGATGAACTGTTATGAGTACAGCCTAAAACCTACAGATCTGCTTTCTATCAGCAACCTCTGTGTTTCATCTTAACGTTATTGAGAAATAACATTTACCACACTGATACAACCAGAGACCTGTTCTCCCAAAACATATAACCATCATATGAAAAATTACAACGTCTCAGTGATAATTAAGCAATTCTTCTTACTCACTGTTTAAAATGGCAAGATCTTATCAGAATGCCATGCAGTGACTATCTCCATATTTAGTTAGTGTTTACTGAGAGATGTCAGTTATAAAGCACATAAACCATGCTGCTGTATACACTGGAGATTCCAGTGAACACTGACACAGAAGGAGGCTACGTGACCACAAGGGTCCTCACCAATGTCTCTAATAAATAACTTGGCAGCACTAACCCAACATTGACCTTATATAATTTTAAGGCAAGAAAAATCACTTTCTTCACAGATTGGTCATTTATATAGTTATATAACACCTGTGGATATAATTAAATTGGCAAGTAAAATAATCATCATGTGTTGTATGTTAGCGTTATGAATGTGTATTACAATAATAGCATTAACAGTATCACAACTGACTAAAAATTAACAAAATTTATTTTCTTTTCTATACGATATATCATTACATTCTGTAGCTCAGAACCATTATGCAAAATCTATAAGAAGATCAATAAAAAGCAGTATTTCAATGATACATTGGAGATGTGTTGTATTCATTCTATTATCTTCTGTGAGCTTGAGCAATTGTCAAAATTAACACACTGATAACTTTTCAAGTTTAGAGTGCAGTAAACAAACAGTAAACAGCATCGAAAACATGAATGCTGCATGTTGCCTTTGCGTTTTTCCTGGACATAAAAGATGTCGTTGGGTGAGTTAAGAATGAGGAATGAGGAAGGGGGACAGTGGGTGGGGAAGGGTCTTGCTCTGACGGAAATACACGGAAACTAATCAGTCTTCCTGAGTCGGCCCTGATACATCTGCAGGGCTAAGGACAGGAAGGACTTCTGTAAACTGTCTCTTCTCTCACAGTTCCTGATATTCAGTCCTGAACACATCTAGGAGTAACTTTCATGTGGGTGCATTTTGTTTGTATCCTCTCACTGATGACACAACCATCTTTGAAGTATACAACAGTGATGATATGATGTAATGTATTTATGCACTTTGTGCAGCTCACAGCAAAATAAAGATAAGTCTATTTATAAACTGACCACTCGAAACTCACAAGATACCACATGTGCACTTGCTCTCGTACCGCGCTATTAGCAGGTAATGTAAGGCATAAAAAGTGTGCCTGCCAATAGTATAAATGGTTTTACTAGCAATTTAATTAATTTGCACAGAAATATTAGACAAACCACATAATCAACAGCTACTGACAGGAGGAAAACAGTATTCACAGCAATAAATGTATTTATAGATGCCATTATACAAAATAACAGATAAGCCAAAGGAAAGAAAAGCTAAGTCTATGATAAGAAGTAGTATTAAGGAAATAGGGGCAGGTCATTAAGTGATTGAGTGCTATATATAAAGGCAATTTTACACTGACTGCATGTGGTGTCTTGGTGAATACCTGAATAGCCATAATTATGTGGAAGCATTTTGCCTTTAAGTTTGATATGGCTAATCATCAAAGTTTAGTACTTGATTATTATAATGGTCCCATTAAACCAGAACAAAATTGGCATCTTTTTAGACTGTTTATGGAAGAAGGTCGAATAACTTTGTGCCAGATTAGCTGGATAATATACACCACTCTTCCAACAATTCTGTTAAATGACGAGATCCAGTCGATCCAGCTGTTTGGCCTCTGTAATTTGCTACACTTTTCAGCCCATCTGTAACTCTGCACTCTGCACATGGAGTTGAGGTGGGATTATCAGCTTTACTGTCATTACAGCCAAGTGTCTCAACATAAAGACAAACTAGATTATCTTAAATGTCAGCATTTGAAAAAATAAACATTGAATATATTTTAAATTCAGTAGACCAATAAATGTATGCGCCAAGTTTTAAAATGGTGCAAAAACAAAAATGTTAATGCGATGTGAACAAGACAGGATTTGAGTTCACATGTCAGGGGTGCTGCAAGACTTTGCTTATAAACGTGGACTATGGATCTTTTCTGCTGGATGGTTTGCAACCTGCTTGTCTCTATAGAGATGTAGGTCTAGTTGCTTTGCCTGGGATGTTTCATAGTGTGGCACTTGTATCCATTCAGTTGCATGTCTTTAATTGCTTACAAAAACGTATCTACAGGCATACTTACTGTCAGTGGGGTCGCATAACCACATAATTGACGGTAATAAAAAAAAAAAAAAAAAAAGTAAATGTAATTTTTGTAAAAATGTAATTTCATGTGCAACATTCCAGTAGCGTTATATTATTATTATTATTATTATTATTATTATTATTATTATTATTATTATTATTATTATTATTATTATTATTATTATTATGTAGTCTATATCAAACTACATGGTCATGTGCATTCTCTCCTTAGTTACAACTTCCCACCCGCCCCTTTGCCTCACCCCTCCTCTTTCAACACTGTAGTCCCGCGCAGCTCTGACAAGTCAACGTAATGACTCGGGGCTCGTCCCACCTCGGAGTCTCCCCAAACAAACAGTTGAGCGGTGGATACTGCGGAGGGAGCGATGACTTGTAGAGTGGATTAAGTCTCTTAGCTTTGGTTTTAAAGGGGGATATCTGCCTTTGTTTTTCTTCAAAGAACGCAAAGTCACTCAAGCTGTTCAAGCCCACCCGGATACATCCACTGCGGCAAGATGCTGGATGCGAGTTGGCATTTCACTTTGACAACCGTGTCTGTTGTTGGTAAGTCTAAACTAATCCTGGTTTAAAATGAAGAATTATACATTTTTAACCAAGGCCAGGTGGGTTTCTGGTAGACAGCATAATTGAAAACTATGTGACTATAGGCATCTAGGCAACATTTAGTCTACTTAAATGTGTAAATCACTTTGGCTGCGCGATGGTCTATTAAAACGTGACGTTGGCACCACGGTGTCCTCGTAAAGTGACCTCAAAACTTTATGTCAGTGTTATAAGCCAATGACTGCTAGAAAGAAACCGCCGGGAATAATTGTCTCTGTAGGATACGCGGAGCATGGATTGGGTCTTAATAATTGGAGGGCGCATGTGCATCAAGTTGAAATCCATATTGAAACTGTCTGGTGATTAATTGTACAAAGAATGTTTATGATTTTAAAGACCGAATATACTAATTGTGCTGTTTAAAAGAATAAATGTAGGCTGCCGGGCAGTTAATAATGAGGAAAAAAAAAAAATTCTAACATAAAAGCTCATAAAATCGGATTTTATGTAACATGTTCTCTTTCAATTTACAGTCCATTCATGTTTTGTGCCACACTGCAACCAAGACATTTAACACATTTGTGATGGAATGTAAATATTGTTTGAATACCACATAGAGAATATTTATTTATTAACAAGATATAAGTCTATGCGTGGGCTGCAACTTTGTATTTATATATCTTAACACACTGACTTTGTGCATTGTGCCTTGGACTTTAACTCAGTACAACAGCATTGGAGAACCATTGCTCTTTAAATTAAGATAAAAACCTCCCTTGACTTCATGTGATGCAGGCTTGTGATGTTCATTACAGAATTGAATTAGCTATGTGGAGTGTGATTGGTGTTTTTTTGCAAAAGTTTGCAACTTCTTATCGCTAAATGTTTATTCGAACTTGGCCTTAGACTTTATTCTAATTTGTTTATTCTAAAGTGACCCAAACTGGCCTCTTGTTAGCCCCTTTAATCAGGTGTCTAATCAAGAGCTTAACTATGAGAAACAAATGGTGCTGTCGTGGCTGGTGGTTAGGTCATTGGTTGTGGGTGTAGATTCTTTATGAGTTAAGAGGTTCCTTAGAATTCTACAGACACTATTGTAAGCATAAACAGAGCTCAAAATTAAGCCTTTTCATCCTGATTTAGGAAAAAAAAAATCCAAGTGCACATTGTTTATGATTTCCCATATATGCTTTGTTTCCTCCTTCCAATTTACTGCAGTTCTGTTAAATCTTAATGACGTATCCAGTGGTTTGTCCACCCAACATCGTTAAAATCTCATCATGAACATCACCACCATCAGCTCTATACTTCCTGTCTGCTCCCATCTCTCTCCAGTGCCGTCCTGTATGACCTTTCAGAGCATGACCTCAGCTGTTGTGTTACACTGGGGTCCCTGGTACGAGGCCAGTCCAGGGAGATCCCATGTTACACTCTGGTAGGCGCAGCTCCTGCCTCAGAGGCTCACATGTGGTTCTAGTAGCGGCAGCATTTAATCTCTGAAAATTCCTCACAGAGATGGGGCTACAGGTGGTTTGAGTTTTGGCGCGGCATAGGAGAAATGTGCATCTGGCTTTAATCAGAACATGTCAGGCTGTAGTGACCAAGCACATTAAAAACAAGAACAACATGACCACCTTAACACTAACATGTAATGGTTATTTTAATGATTTAAAGGATTGTCATTAAATAGTGCAAAATTTTTATCCTGCAAGTGAATAGGATTTTTATTTATGTATTGATCAATTAAAAAGAAAAAGTATAAAGACTACTTGAACAATTGCAATTGTGTGAACATAACACATGATGGATAATTTATTTGAGATGAAGAACAATCGTAGCTTTAGGGGTGTAATCCTTTAGCCAATTAGTCGATTAATTGGTTGATGGCGTCAACTTTTTTATTGGTCAGTTAATGATTTTATTGTATTGGAGGTATATGCACAAAAGCAGAGAGCAGAATGCTTGGAGGGAGTTAGCTGGTGTATTGGGAGTTACTGGACTGTTGCCTTTTTATCTGCATCATACCCCTTTTAACTGATTAATCGATACACTGCAGAGCATGTTTTTATTCTCTCAAAAATTACTACATGGCATTTCCAATTGCAAAAATTAAAAATCCTTAATATGAATGAAGTATTATGAAAAATGTTGTGATGAATGAAAATATTAAATTGAAATATAATTAATGCATGTCCAAAGTAAATAAACTAAATATAAGAGATATAGGAGATGAGCATACTGACACTGAAATTGACAATGAAATGGAAATCCTTGTTTTTCAGTTAGTCTTCCTTGTTTTTGCACTGTTATGTTGCCATGGTATACTGGTATAGATATGGAGATGCTTTATGAATCTTTGAACTTTAAAAGAATCTTGGAGTGCAGTCTGTCAAGTTTCAAAGCGTTATTTAGGAATGCCTCAACATTCTAATGTTATCTCTGAGAGGAGGAATGCTGCTGCAGATGTCTGTACTTTTTGTTAATTCAGATAAAAGGCATAAGGCCAGTGAGATCCAAGTCTTTGGAACTTCAAGATCTCAGCTAAATTTATGCACTTCAGAACAGTAGACACAAACTCACCCTGTTCAGTTATAAGTCTTTTTCTATTGCCTGTCCTACCTCATTCATATATCTTGAATCAGCTCATCCCGGCCTTGCTTCAATCAGATCAAATTGGCATGAACTGTCTGCCGGCATGGAGATGCAGCGTCACTTAAATTAATAAAGTCCAGAATAGCTTCTTTCTCTTTTATGTAATGTTTTTATTTTTAGCATTCCTTCAAGTGCAGCTCCTAAAATCACAGTAGAAAGGAACGGCAGAAGTAAAAATAAATTCCCCATCCCAGTCTAAACATTTCCAACTTTGAGGTCTTCAGAATTTTAAAATGTAACAACATTCAGCACTCATCTGTCCTCTCTGGTAAATAGCTTTAACTGCTGGCCTTGTCATGTGGTGCAGATGCAGCATGTCTGGCTCTTCACACGGCTCAATGTTAAACTAACACTTACCTCATGGTGTAGATTTCATATGCATTTAGGGGTTTAATCTGTGCTGATGTTATAAGTGACTCTAGCACACCTATTATGCTGTTATATACTAGAAATATTGAGCTTGTGTTAAAATTACAATGCATGGGAGTGTGACAGGAAGTATACTTTGAAGTTCTTTACCGAAAACCTCACTCCCAACATAATGACCACAAAAATGTCAACAGTAACCTCTATGTGGTCACCATGTAGATAATGCCAGTTTTTACAACCCCATGTAAAATAAATAAATAAATAAATAAAACATGTTCAATTTGGGCTAATATATGCTTTGCCTTAATAGACTGTTTATTTTCCATTTGCATCCTACTGGAAGTGAGGTGGAATGCAATAGAGTATATGTACACCTATTGTTGCCTACAAGACGATAAGTTATTAATGTCAGTGGTTGGTACAAAAGTAATAGGAAGTAACAGTCTTCCTGCTGAATGGAGGTAAGAGGTAAAGAAGATAGATTTAGATAGATTCACGATGAGGCCTGTGTTAACCACAGAGGCCACCCACACACATGAGCACTTGTTCAAACCTTCCTCATGTGTGCTTTTCTGCGCTGTCTGCAATGTGATGACCTTGAAAATACATTTCGGCTCATTCAGGAGGACAGGACACACAGAATTTCTTTACTTCAAATACTCTATTGAGAAACAAGTAAAAATGCAACATCCACAATAATAAGCAAATAGTTGAATCATTTTACTTTTCTTCACCCCTAACACAATTTTTGATGTCACATCAAACTTCTCATTTTTGCTTGAGCCTGTGAGCTAGAGTTTCCTGTGTGTGAAATCTCCACTTGCCATGTCTTGCCATGCGTAGAACTTATATTTTACATAGATGTAGATCTCATCAGGTCAACCACATAGATATATTTCCCATCAATCCTCTTCATCAATTGTCACTAAGCCACTTCTTTCAAACTTGATGATAATTGATGTGTGCACTGTAGGCAAAAATTCATGCTCATTTACCAGTTCTGGAACATATATTGAATAATTTACTGGTGGGCCATACCTATTATGGTATACTGCACTGTGTATGTGTCTACAATAATAATAAGTTCTTTGCCAGTGCTCTGGTGCTAGTGTGGCATCACACATAATTTAATCAATTTCATAAATTTCTTGCTGGGACCCATGTTCTGAAGTGCACCCGATTTAACTAATTGTAACTTTGACCTCCCATTGATACTTCGAACTACTGAATCCACCCTTCCACTGTGTGCTGTCATACTGACATGCACCTTGAACACTAAGCCACTTGAACTCCATCTGTTTACATTTATATGTCAAAGAATGAAAAAAAAGTATGAAGAGGGAGACAGCTGATTGTTGTAAAATAATCACATGTACATCATAAGTGCATGCCACAGGAGCCTAAGGCTGCCTCTAGTTAAATGTGCCTATGAGAGTGTTTCTTAGGCAGTCACAGGCAGTGCACAGTTGTTGCGAGATTTCAATGAAAATCTGACATGATCAGCAGAGACGCAGAGGAGACAGAAGGGCAGACAGGCAAAAGGGGAAAGTGTGTGGAGAGAGGAGCTGGTGGTGACTCATCAGGGAGACAGGTCTAGCATCTCTCTGACAAACACTGTGGGGGAGGAGACAGGGTTTGTCTGGTTAGGGCCTGAACAGCAGCAAAGAGGGGAATTCAAGTGAAGAGTTCAAAGGTTATGGGAAGAGCAGAGAGCTAAAACTGCTGATTTTTGAAGCAGTGATGTGTTAAAAGATATGTTTCAGATATGGTTCAGGCACAGAATGTAACATGCACCGGTGTTCCCCATAAAATCATATTTACTGAGTTGAAAAACAATAAATTAATAAAACAATAACCTTTTAAAGCCACAATAAATTTTTCATATTTTTTTCTTGTTAATTACAACAATATTGTATTTGCTGCTGTGTTTTTCTTGTAAGGGGTGAATAATAGTGTTGTGTATACAGTTGTATATACAG